ATATTTCAGTAGCTTTGTTTCCCATTATTTTGCTTTTATGGGGCTGGTAGCTTTGCTTTCCCCTCCAAAAGGAAAAAAAATATATAGTGAAATCTTTAGATAGATGTGTGTGTGTGTGTGTGTGTGTGCGTGTGTGTGTGTGAGAAAGAGAAAGAAGATAGACAGATAATATACACAATGATACATACATAGATAGATAGATAGATAGATAGATAGATATAGATAGACATAACAGATATAGAGATGATAGAAAGATGAGAGAAATGATAGATAGATAGATAGATAGATAGATAGATAGATAGATAGATAGATAGATAGATAGATAGAGAAGATAAGAGATAGGAGACAGTAGAGAGAGATAGATAATAGAGATAGATATAGATGATAAGTAGATGACAGACAGACAAACAGATAATATAGATAGATGGTAGGTAGACGACAGATAGACAGACAGATAATAGATATAGATGGTAGGTAGATGATGGATGGATAAATAGATAGATAGATAGATAGATAGATAGATAGATAGATAGATAGATAGATAGATAGATAGATAGATAGATAGATAGATAGATAGATATTTTTTTCCTTTGGAAAAAACATCATACATCATATATAATACATCATGCACCATGCATCTTAAATATATACCTTTATTTTACCAAAGCCCTTTAGACAGCCTTCAGGAACCAAGTGGTTAGAGTTACGAAACATTCTGCATTTTGTTTTGCACGAACAATATAAAAACCTATTAGCTTTATTTCCTTAGCCAACTTTTGGCCCCAAATGTGTCACACCCACCTGATGGATTGCTGCAACTGGCTGTTTCCTTAGAAGGACAAAGTTAAGCAGACATTTATTTTTATTTTACTTTAACCATTTACATGGCTGCCCACTTTACGCAATTCTGGGACCGTGCTCGGATGCTGGAACGCCCCTGCAGAAGCTATTTTGCGCCTATGGGGATATCAAGAACGCCCCAGCGTATAATTTCCCACACTTAATGGTAGATAAAAGCTAGGATGCGTGACCTCCATTGTTCAAGGGAACTAGATTTGTAATTTTATTTATTCATGCGCACTTTCCTCGGTTACAATTGCTCCTTGATCCACCCTGGCCATGTTCGTTAGCCCAGGTGATTATCACAAAGGTATAAACACCCCTGCATCCTCACTGTTATTGTTCAGGTTGTTTGAGGTGCGCAGTGAATAAAAAAGTAAGATTCACACACCTTTTTTCCGTGAGCTCCAATCTCCATTAAAAAGAAAAAAGAAAAAAATAACAAGGAAGACACGGGTAGGTTTTTCTGAAAGAGAATCACTGACTCAGAGAACTTCTCTAGCTGAATTTGACTTGAACATGACTTTTTGAGCTTTTAATCCAGGTGTCTTATTCCAGCCACTGGATCATGATCGCACTTGCTACTGGATATCATGAGACACAGACTTGAATCAGCAAGCATGTATACCCATCGTCAGCTATTCACACCGCGGTACATCCCAAATATTGGTCAATGACAAACGCACCATTTTAGCTATTTATTTGGAGCCGGAAAATAGAGATGCATATTTGAGAAGTGCCCAATTTCTCTTGCAGGTGGTCACCTGAACTCCAGAAAATTGTCTGACCTTAAAACAATATGTTTCAGGGTTGTTAAGATCTGTAGGGCATCTCTGAACATTGATCTAGGGACCGTGAAGGTTTTCTATTCCACCACTCCTTGTCCAAGGCAGGAATCCTTACCCCCATCTTGAACAAATGGCCATCCAATCTTTTTCTCAAAGCTTCCCACGATGGAGCACCCAAAACTTTGGAAAGAGGCAAGCTGTTCCATTGATTAATGGATTAATTAACTCCTTAGTTCCAGATTGGATCCCTCTTCCAGCCGTTACTTCTCGTCCGGGGCTCATATTTGGAGAATAGGTCAAGTCCTTCTTTTTTGTGAGAGCCCTTCAAGTACCAGAAGACAGCTATCATGTACCCCCCCCCTCCCCAATTAACTAGTTGGGTAATGAAACTTCTTCAAGGAAACAACAAATCTCAGAGAGCATCAAAATATGACGTATTTTCTCCTATCAGGTTTTGCTCCAATTTCATGCTCAGTCTTAGAATACCAGGATTACCAGATTGTAAAACTGAACATGAAATTGAGACAAAACTATTGCATGCGCTCTATGTTTTACTACACTTCCCAAATGCCATCACTTAATCTGGCTGCACAGCTAACTTCTAATAGCAGGCCAGGCTGGCTGTCATCTTCCTGTTCCTCTAAATCAATGGTTCTCAACCTTTTTAATGCCGCAACCCCCAACCGGTCGTAAGTCGAGGACTGCTCAACTGGTGCAGCACCGTTTGCAGAATGGGACTTTTGGCGGGCTCAGCAGGGCAGAGACAGCCTGGACAATTCCTATTGGCTTTTGAAAGCCAATAGAATTAGACTCTATTCAAGAGAGTCTCTTCTATTGGCTTTCAAAAGCCAATAGAATAAAAGGGAGTAGCACAGCTAAGGAAAAGGGGGAAAAAATGGCGGACTGCGTTGTTTGGCGACCCCCGTAAAATGGTTGTTCGACCCCAAATGGGGTCCCGACCCACAGGTTGAGAACCGCTGCTCTAAATTCTCTGAAATCGATCAAGATTTGGACTTTCTGATTAAATCATAGAACTCTAGACCATTAAGATTTGTAGAGAAAGGGTTTGTGCTTCTATTATTCCCCCCTCCCCAAAGATCAACTACAGACATAACCTTGTGCCAAGACATGTAAGAATCTCAATCTTATCTCTTTTTTCGAAAGCAATACAATTTTACTACTCTTACGTTGGTGGAAAATCTGGGTCAATCTGACATTTTAGTTTAGAACAAACAAGTCACCGTTTGAAGTGTGCTACTACCTTTGCTCTTGAATGCTTATCTGTAGGAATTATTCTGCAAGATAATGTAAAGATCCAAGTGCATTCTAGGCCACTCACGTTGCTTGACAGTAGACAGGCAAAAAAAAAAAAAATATCTTCCAATCTACGAATATTAAACAGAGACGATCACTTGAAACGCGCTTATTGATTTTCAGCGAAACCAAAGTCAACCGCCCCCTGCCTTCCGGGCCAAGAAATACCTTTCTTTTATTCATAAAAGGATCAGGATTTCTAATTCTTCTTCTAAAATTGAGTTGTAGACTCACAAGATGGCTTTGCAGCGAGAAAAATTGATCAGTGGACTTTATTTCACTCCATCTGCAATGATCTTATGACTCTGCTAAATTAGAAGTCTGGTTTGTCAAGTTAGAGCCACAAGCTTTTTCTACATCTGTTTCGAGGACAGGTAAACACTTGGATTAATACTTCCTTAAGAGAGAGACAGACGTTCTGGCAAACTTGAAGAAGGCTGGAGTATGTTCCTTTCTGAAGAGGCCAATCCTGGATACAGGAGTTTTAGATGATTACATTCAACCCTTCTTAACCTGTTGGAATTCATTGTTGGACTGTATATTTGTGCAACAACTAGAGTTGTATTCAGCCAGTAGATGGCAGTATTTACAAGTTTGGGTCTATGGTATACTCTAAGTATCCTGTTTCCTGTTACAGACAAAACAGTTAAGCAGTAAAGCACATGGTGACAGTACACTTTGATCAATCTATGGTGCTATATATAAACAGAATTTCTAACATAACCAGTTCTACAGTACCTACATGAAGCAAATGACCTGGGCCCTTTTTGAATTTGGTTTCCAAACTGGGCAGAGGTTACATTAGCATTAGTTGCTCTTCTTTATGGACCTATTTTGGAAAGTAGAAATCTTTTATCCTTTTGGACCTCTCAGTGTCCTTCAATACATGGTATCTTACTGGTCTGCCTCCAAAGGGCTATCACTGTATAATACTGGGATAGAATAGAATATAGAATAGAACAGAACAGAACAGAGTAGAGTAGAATAGAATAGAATAGACCTCGGAGGTCTTCTAGTCCAGCCCTCTACTCAAGCAGGAGAACCTATACCATCTCAGACAGGTGATTGTCTAGTCTCTTCTTAAAAATGTCCAGTGATGGAGCACCCACGATTTCTGGTGGTCAGCTGTTTCACTGGTTAATTGTCCTCATTGTCAGGAAGTTTCTCCTTAATTCCAGGTTGCTTCTCTCTTTGTTCAATTTCCAACTATTGTTTCTCGCCCTGCCCTCTGGTGCTTTGGAGAATAATGTGACCCCCTCTTCTTTGTGGCAGCTTCTCAAATACTGGAATACTGCTATCATGTCTCCCCTATTTCCTCTTTTCTTTAGACTGGCCAAACCCAAGTCCTGCAGCCACTCTTCATATATTTTAATTTCCAGGCCTTTGATCATCTTAGTTGCTCTTCTCTGAATTTTTTCCAAATTCTCAACTGAAATGTATTGTCTTGATGTTCATGTAGGTACAAAGCTATTTCAATATCTATGTTGTTATGCCCAATTGTACCTTACCTGAAAATTTACTATATTCTGATTATAATTCTGTATCAAGAATTCTTTGACATTAATTAATCTTGTCCCAAGAGCGCTCCTTTAAAAATCCAGTTCAGATAATTTTTTTTTTTTTTGCTAGTTTGGAGTTTCCAGGAGAAATTGTACTGATTGATTAATATTAGTCGTCTTAGGTTAGAAATCAAACATTAACTAGTATTCGACACACACTTGAAGTAATTTTCCAACCTGAATTTAACTCACTAGATTTTTCTAGTTTGCATGGCATCTCAAGCTTTCAAACCTTAATTGTAAAAAAAAAAAAACCACACACACACACCCTTCATAATTCTTGACACAATGCTGGAAATTACCAGAAACTGAATGATGAAGTTTCTCCGAAGTTATCTAAAATGACATTCTTTTGAGACAGGTGACTACTTTTTTAGCAGCAGGCAAACACTAAAGTTGTAAAAGGACATTTGTTTTGGATTAAAGCAGCTGAAAAATAATTTGACGATGGAAGTGTCGATGAGACAGGGATTGTGAAATGAAAAGCGCAACCGAAAAGCACAATCACAAAATAATCTCTGTATTTTATTTTCCTTTACACCGCATTTTGAATACCGCCAAGGGTGATGGTGGGGTCATGGTTTAAGACAGGGGTCTTCAAACTTGGGCCTTTTATGACTTGTGGATTTCCACTCCCAGAATTCCTCAGCCAGCGTGCCTGGCTGAGGAATCCTGGGAGTTGAAGTCCACAAGTCATAAAAGGGCCAAAATTTGAAGACTCCTGGTTTAAGAGACTTCCCCAGCCATTCTCCACGTTACTCTGGCAAACTTGGGATAGTGACACATCGACAAAAAAACCGTGACATCTAAAAGAGACCACTTGTTTAGAAATCCAGAGAAGCAATGGAGTTTAGGAAACGGCGGGAATATCAAAAGCTGGACCATGTTGGCAGGAATATCTGAAGACTTGTTTGTTTCCAGTTGTGTTATTCAGACAGTGGACCATAACACAAGAAAGAGAGGTTGGCAGAATGTGAGTTTTAAAAACCAGACAGACGGAAAAGCACACAATTCTTCCATAACTTCATTTTCCAACAGAAGGACCACATGCCCAGTTCTTCTGCCTAATGTCCAAGACCCCGAAATGAACATTTCTTTCCATCTTAGAAGCTTGGTTGAGACCTCATCTACCAGCTCAGCTGAGCCAAGTGATGCACTTATTCTCCTTCAACCGTGTCTGTTGACTGGTTGAGTTCTTCTTGAGGTAGGCCGACAGCCTGAGGCACTTCCTCCTCTTCTTCATCCTCAGCTTCTCCATCGTCTTCATCCATTTCAAACACCCGGATGTGCCTCAGGTTTGAACTTAGCTAGGGAAAATACGAAGAACGGTTGAATGTTAAAGCCATTTGCCTCAGAACTGAACTTTCGGTACTTAAGACAGAGAGATGTCACCAGCTGGATGCTGTCACCCTAAAATTAAAAGTGATTTTTTTTTGCCCCAAGGAAGATAAACCGAGATGACTGAGATGAGGTTACAAGAACTGGTCCACTGGACTATTTATATCGTTCAAAACCAACAGCGCGTTAAAAAATCTTACAGATAAACAAAAAAAGCAATTATCAGAAAAAAAAAACAGAATTGTAAATAGTCAAAAAGGTCAAATACTTGGGAATATATTTGACAGCAAGATGTTCAACAGTAAAAGGAGATAATTACATTAAATTGTTAAATCAAATAAAGCTTGATTTGGAAAAATGGAAGACTCTTCAACTGTCGATGTTAGGAAGAACTGCTAGGGTGAAAATGAATATATTACCAAAAATACTATTTTTGTTTCAAACGATACCTATAAAACTGGAGAAAAAATAAACCTGATTTTTTTTTACTATGTATGATGCCAGAAAAACTTGATAAGCAAAATACATATTTGATTCTACGTGTGATAACAGTGGCAAAAATTATATTTGCACAATATTGGAAGAACGAAGAAACATCACCAGAAGAAGAAATAATCAAAAAAATACTAGACTGTGCGGAAATGGACAGACTTACTTTAAGGCTGAAAGAAAAAGAAGAAACAGAATATTTTCAAACTTGGGACCTATTTTATTAATGGTTAGAGAAAAGATTTAGGGATTAGGAATTTAATTTGTATTAGTGAATAAGATACTCAGACAACACGTTTTGCTGAATAATTATTATTGAATTCTGTTTAAAGATAAGATAAGATGATAAGATAACCTTTATTTTCATTTTTTATACTGTGGGCACAACGGCACACATAAAAAATGAAATTTAGTTGCCCGCTCTCAAAGTGAAACACATACATGACACACACCTAAACATACTATGAACAACATATGCATAGACCCACATCCCTACATATACGTAGCAAATAAATATTAAATATTGTCCATCTTGAATATAGAACGGGAAGCTTGAGAGTTCACAAGGTTAATGCTGTATGGAATGAAACTATGGCTGAATCTGGATGTTAAAAAAAATAAAACTGTATATATATAAAAAGAATTGTAATCCTGAAAGAGGGTAATAAATAATAAAAAATATAAAATCAAATCTGAAAAAAAAAATAAAGTAGAGATTTTGTATTTATTCTCTTTTTTTTTTCAAACTCCTTTCTGGGAACAGGCTAATTGCAACTCTCTTCACGGATAATGGAGAAGCTTAAGAGTGGTTATTTACAAACCAGTCCCCTGAATTGTTATCAGCCTAGGTCCGGTGATGATGACCACCAGTGTGTCTCCTGAAGTAAGCTTTTCAGCCTTTGTTGTTCAGAAGCAGTCCAGTTTTTATAATTTGTTTTTATTTCGGCCACAGGCCAGCGTGAAACAGAGGAAAATGAGTAAGCGCTCCAAAACAGAAGCAGAGGAGGAGTGAAATCTCATGTTGATGAAATAAGATAAACCATGGGTAGCTATGTAAATAAGATGGACATACTTCTCCTCCTAGTTCTTGACTTACATTAAACGGTTTAATGACCATTTGAAGTTACAGCAGCGCTGAAAAAAGGAACTTATGGACATTTTTCATACTTACGACCGTGGTCACGTGATCAAAATTCAGACGCTTGGCAACGGATGCATATTTATGACGGTCAGTGTCACCTGATCCCTTTTTGCGACCTTTTGACAAGCAAAGTCAATGGGGGAAGCCAGATTCACTTAACAACCACTAACTTATCCACTGCAGTGGTTCACTTAACCACTGTGCCAAGAGAGGTTGTAAAATGGGGCAAAACTCACTTAACTGTCTCGTGTAGTAATGGAAATGTTGGGGTCAACTACAGTCATAAGTCAAGGATTACCTGCAAAGGATTCTTCCTCCCCAGGAACCCCTGACAACGTCAATTCTCCTGAGGCTGATGGGCAAATTTTACGGCTTCCTGACGGGTCTGGGACAACTGAGTTACAATAATATCGTAGGAATGGTGGAATAGAATCGTTGGAGAAAGGATGCCGAAGGAGGGACAGAATGAAAGGGGAATGACAAAACTGAAATAACCTTTTAATTACTTTAAATACAGCAGCGAGCTCGCCTGCAATGAGTTGGCCACAGAGTGTTGTCCATTGTGAGTTGGGCACGATGAGTTGGCCATAGTCAGTTGGCCATGGCAGTTGGCCAAGGTCAGTTGGCTACAGCAAATTAGCCATGGTGAGTTAGCCACGGTAAGTTGACCATGGCAAGTTGGCCACGGTGAGTTGGCCACAGTGGTTTAACCACAGTGAGTTGACCATGGAAGTTGGCCACAGTGAGTTGGCCACAGCAAGTTGACCACCATGAGTTGACCATGGCGAGTTGACCACAGCAAGTTGGCCATGGTGAATTGGCCATGGCAAGTTGGCCATGGTGAATTGGCCATGGTGGGTTGACTACGATGAGTTGGCCACGGCAAGTTGGCCATGGTGAATGGGCCATGGTGGGTTGGCCATGGCGAATTGGCCACAGTGGGTTGACCACGGTGAGCTGGCCACGGTGAATTAGCCATGGCAACTTGGCCATGGTGAGTTGGCCCCACCAAGTTATCCCATTCTGCTTCCTAACAACCCAACCATCAAGGAGACAACCCATTTGTACCATTGGACAAGTAAGTCATCCTTGAAGGTGACACTCACCACACAAGACACCTTCCGAATACCGTTCACGGTGACATAGTGAGCCTTCATATTCTCCAGCACCCTGCACTGAGTCTCCGCGGTGACCGTACACGTAGGGATGCCGTCCCGCTGCAGGTCTAGCCTGGCATACAGACGAAAGCCAAATGAGAGGAACGTTCACTGTTGACCCCCCTTGCCAAAGACGTCCCAACAACCTTACAGGCAGTCCTCCACCTACAACAGTCTTGCGAGAGCCGCAGATGCTCGTGGCCTCATTTGCATGAGCGTCACAGGTGCTCTCAGCTCCGCTCACGCAAGCAATTGTGTGCGCATGCATCGGCCCCGGCCACAAAACCATCCCCTCTCCCCCCCCCGCCCTGCCCTGGTTGGGTTCACCGGAAAGGTTGGGGAACCCTGATAAAGAGACCTTTCAAATAAACAAAGGGCCAGTTAACCTGAAAAGGCTAAATGGCGTCCCCGTTTTGTCTCTCTCACCTTTGACCAGAATTCCAGTTAAACTCCATTCCCTGGTTTTGCTCCCTACAGATGGAGGACAGAGGCAGCTGAGCCAAAAGCCGTTCCTTCCCCTCCTGTTCTGAATTTTCCACCAGGATGACCGTGATGGTTTCGTTGTCGTAGAAGTGAGCATCCAGACAGCTGTAGGAGCTGGACTCCAAATAAATAACATCACGTTTCACACAGAGACATATAGATTTGGGAGAGTATCATTTAGTGGCCGTTCAAAATTACAGCGGCACTGAAAAAGGGCGTTTTTTTCACACTTACGACCGTTGCAGCATCTCCAGGGAGGGTCAGGCGATCAAAATTCAGCCAGTTGACAACGGGGTTCATATTTATGATGGTTGCCGTGTTCTGGGGTCATGTGACAGACTCCCTTTTGTGACCTTCTGGCAAGGGAAGTCAATGGGGGAAGCCAGATTCACTTAACGACCACATTTGAGTTCAGCATTTCTGTCGCTAAGCGAGGCAGTTGTTAAGTGAATTTTGCCTCATGTTACGACCTTTCTTGCCACAGTGATGAACTTAATAACACAGTTGTTAAGTGAATCTGGCTTCCCCCTTGTCCGAAGGCCGTAAAAGACGGTCACGTGAGCTGGGACACTTCAACCGTCATAAATACAAGTCAGTTTCCAAGCGTCTGAATTTTGATGACATGAGTACCAGGATGCCGTGAAGGTCGTCAGCATGAAAAAAGGTCATAAGTCATTCTTTTCAGTGTGCCGTTGTAACTTCAAATGGTTACTAAACAAATTGTTTAGGGTAAGTCGTATTTTTTTCCCCACCTATTCATTTCTACATGTTAACATTATTTTTTTATTATTATTTTTTTGCCAGGTTTTAAGTTCTTGGTTGTAGAGCTGAGCTAGTCTTCATTAACCAACACACCACAACTGAACATTTTTATAATTCAACGAATCATTCAAATTAAGTTAGTCGGATTTTGGAAGGTTTTCATAGACTGACCTTGTTTCCTTATTTTCGTTAACACTTTTGTTCAGGAAATTCCCAAACTCCACAGCAAGCAGCCCGTTATTAGCGGATCTAAACATCAGGGGGGAAAAAACAACACAAAACATTTGCACAGTATTGGAAAAATGAAGAAACACCAACGGAAGAAGATTTAATTAGAAAAAAATTTGGACTGTGCAGAAACGGACAGGCTTACATTGAAAATAAAAGGGAAAGAAGACACAGAATATTTTCAAACAAGGGATAATTTTTACAAATGGCCAGAAAAACGGAGTAGAGAGTAGGAATGGAAGATGTATTATTATTAATGCTAAATATGTGGACCCAGACAACACTTTGTTTATGAAGCACTAAAGATTGTAACTGTAAAAACCTAATAAAATATCTATTAAAAAAAAACACACACAAAACGGATACTGGAGGTTTTTCCAAAGATGTTTTTGGCAGAATTGTGTTTGAAAAAAGAAAACAAGACACGCTCAGTGCTACGGTTACCTTGATATGTCGGTGTGCCTTCTCAAGATATAAAGTTTGGAAACCGAGTTCTCTAACATGGTGAATAAAACGTAATGCAAATTGTACGATTTGTCGTGCCACCTGCAAAAAATAATTTCGACCGTTTGTGAGCAACGAAGCACCCGTGATGTATGGAACCGACCGTAATAAAGCACACATATACTCACAAAAAGGGCAGCTTAAGCAGCTGAGGGGTCGAGTCCTCACTAAAACAGGGAAGAAAAAATTAGCAAAGGATGTGGAGTTTTCATACGCGTACTGTGTATGCTAAAGGGGGACTGGAGGCTAAAGCATATAAGGAACGGCTGCTGGAATTGGGTATGTCCAGTTTAATGAAGAGAAGGACGAGGGGGGACATGATAGCAGCCTTCCAGTATCTCAGGGGCTGCCCCAAAGAAGAGGGAGTCAAGCTATTCTCCAAAGCGCCTGAAGGCAGGACAAAAAGCAACGGATGGAAACTCATCAAGGAAAGAAGCAACCTAGAACTAAGGAGGAATTTCCTGACAGAACAATTAACCAGTGGAACAACCTGCCTCCAGAAGCGGTGAATGCCCCAACACTGGAAGTTTTTAAGAAGAGACAGGACAGCCATTTGTCTGAAATGGTTAGGGTTTCCTGCCTAAGCAGGGGGTTGGACTAGAAGACCTCCAAGGTCCCTTCCAACTCTATTGTTGTTGTTGTTGTTGTTGTTGTTGTTGTTGTTGTTGTAAATACTGTAGGGATTTTTATACAGCCAGATCAAGTCTATTTGTAAACATAAGGCAGTAGGCTGAAGGAATGTCAAGATTTTGAACCCAGTAAAATATTTAGGAAAAAGGGGCCCAGAAATTGTCAAAATAACCTACTCAACGGTATAGGCTAGGTAGACGCAGAAAACTGATTCCCTACAAGCAGTTCTCAACTGACAACAGTTTGTTTAGTGTCTGTTTGAAGTTACAACAACGTTGAAAAAAAAGTGACATGACTGTCTTCACACGACAGCAGTAGGTAGGATGAAAAAATGATTGTAAGTCACTTTTTCCCCCAATGCTGTTGTAACTTCAAACGATCAGTAAACAAATGATTAGTGGTGAATGGTTGCAAGTCGAGAATTATCTGTAAAGGTGCTTTGATCTTTATTGGACTGAGCAGGATCATGAACTGTAGTATGAGAAATAGACAAAATAAAATAAAATAAATTGCCCACCTTTTTGAGGCTCTATACAAAGGCATGCAAATGGCCTGATGGACGGTTTTTCCGATCACATCCTGGAGAAGAGAACAATTTAAAAAAATAATCTACAAATCTGTAATAAAAAGAATTACTTGCAGCAGCACTAACAATAGCCCTGGCATAGTAATAAGGGAACTGGCTCTGTGGGAATAAAGGAAACTGGAACGCCTGTTAATTGTTGTCAGTGCTTCCTTCTCAAGGATTTACGTAAGTCAGAAATCTACAACGAATCTCTGATTTAACAGACCCCCCATTTAGTGGGCTTCTGATTCAACGGACCAATTTCCTTTCCAGCCCATCCACCAAAATAACGGCTAAGTTCACTACAAGTGAAGTAGTCTGGATGGCACAGTTAAATTTATGTTAACCTTGTCTTAGTTTTATAGCATTGGTGATGTTTTACGCCGTTTGTGTGATGATGTGAACCTCCTTCCTAAGAATGGCCTTACCTGAAGGAACGGTAATATTTTTGTGGAATCTGCTAGAACTGGGGATAATTAAAAAAAATGGAACTGGGCATTGTTGTTGTTGTTAATTGCGAAGTCGTGTCCAACCCATTGCGACCCCATGGACAACGTTCCTCCAGGTCTTCCTGTCCTCTACCATCTTCTGGAGTCCATTTAAGTTCACACCTACTGCTTCAGGGACTCCATCCAGCCATCTCATTCTCTGTCGTCCGCTTCTTCTATTGCACTCAACCTTTCCCAGCATTAGGCCCTTCTCCAGTAACTGGGCATTACTTTTCCTAAATCTGAGCTTTCTTCAGCTTGAACTCAAGGACAGGACTGTGACCTCGTTGTCCTATCATCTGGGAAGGACATCCAGAAGACAGAAGCTCAGTGAGTGCAACAGAGTGAGGAAAATCTAAATTTAAGGCCAATCTTTCCATCAGTTTGCAACGTGAGAAACCACCTTCTCCTTAACTTCGTTTTTATTCCATGCTGGATATCTTCTAATTTCCTTTCAAAGTAACGCAAGGTAGATTTTTCAGGTGTCTCTACCCTGTCCTTATCTCTGAGGGCCAGAGGCAAGTATTTTATTTATGCCGTTCCTTGTCTAAGAATTCCCAGCACTTATTAACAGCACCAATTCTAAGTTACTTCCTGGTTGGATCTGCCTCATTTTTACACCACTCTCCTTTAATCAAATCTGGATATTTCTTAGAGAGACATATCTGGGCCTATGCTTAGAAGTAATCAAATGGATTGCAGGTGACCCATAGATTTAAGCCCAATTCTGCGGCTCTGTTTTAAAGTTCACCACTTCTTTCATGAATTCTTCTTTCCTTCCGTGTTTATTTATTATACATTTAGTGTATGGCATTTACGGAGGTCAGGCAATCACGGATATGCAACACTAATAAAAAGCATGTGTTTAAGTAAAGCAGATAGATAGATAGATAGATAGATAGATAGATAGATAGATAGATAGATAGATAGATAGATAGATAGATAGATAGATAGATACAGAGAGATAGATAGAAATGATAGATGATAGAAAGATACAGAGAGATAGATGATAGATAGATGATAGAAAGATACAGAGATTGAGAGAAATCAAGATAGATAGATGATAGATGAAAGATAGATTGATATCAAGATAGATAGATAGATAGATACAGAGATAGATTGAGAGATATCAAGATAGATAGATGATAGATGAAAGATAGAGATAGATTGATATCAAGATAGATAGATAGATAGATACAGAGATAGATTGAGAGATATCAAGATAGATAGATGATAGATGAAAGATAGAGATAGATTGATATCAAGATAGATAGATAGATAGATAGATAGAGAGAGAGAGAGAGAGAGAGAGAGAGAGAGAGAGAGATTGAGAGATATCAAGATATAGGTAGGTAAGTAGGTAGGTAGGTAGGTAGGTAGACAGACAGATAGAGACAGACAGACAGACAGACAGACAGAAAACTATGTGGATAATACAATATATGATATAAAATATTTAGCGAAAGCAAAATCCTAATAAAATCATCTTAATACGGCACCATGGGATTGCAATAGGACAGATGTTATAATTCCTTGTGTATGAGAAACTTTTTTTTAATCTCCTTGGTCTTGGACCATAATAAAATTATCTATATTTAAACAAGCTGCGCTCAATTGGACGGCTTGCCGTACCCAACTCTGATAGACCTCCAGATACTCACAGCTGGTTTCTGGAGACACTGATCAATGATAGCTTCCATCCTCCTCTTTACAAAATGCAGCGATTTCTGAGGGTAGTATGGAAACAGCAACGGGCTTTCTAAGCAACATTTCAAAAAAGAAAAAAAAGTCAAATTATCGACACATGCGAGAAAAGGTTTCATTTTTAATAACACATTTTCTGTTATGAGATACATTATGGAAGACAACCAGTGTGTGAACATAAGCAAAAAATGAGCTTTGTAACGTTATAGATCAGGGGTGTCAAACTGCCGGGCCGGTTTCATCACACGGAAGCGCGCCCACCCCATTGCCGGCAAGGGAGTCGCGATACGTCACGACACGTCACATGACATGGCGAGTTTGACAGCCCTGATATAGATGACCCTTGACTTATGATCCTAGTGGAGCCTGCCCATCACGGTCATGAAGCCTTGACGGTCATACAATGACCTGATCTGCTTTTGACTACCTTTTTGCAGTGGTCACAAAACGAAAACTACAATCGATAGGCAAACCCATTGTTTGTATGGGCCATTCCCGCTGAAAACTTTAAAAGGCGTTTCTTCAGCCAGCCAGCCAAACAAAGTTTGTTTTAAAGGTAGTCGGTTCCACACTATCTCAGCCTAATGGTTGAGACTCTAGAAAGAGTGCAGAGAAGAGCAACAAAGATGATTGGGGGCTACAGGCTAAAACATATAAAGGATGTTTGCAAGAATTGGGTACGTGTGTTCTAATGAAGAGGAGGACGAGGGGTGACATGATAGCAGCGTTCCAGTATCTCAGGGGCTGCCCCCCAAAGAGGGAGTCAAGCTATTCTCCGAAGTATCCGAAGTTAGGACAAGGAGCAACGGATGGAAACTGATCAAGGAGAGAAGCAACCTAGAACTAAGGAGAAATTTCTTGACAGTGAGAACAATTAACCAGTGGAACAGCCTGCCTCCAGAAGCAGTGAATACTCCAACACTGGAGGTTTTTAAGAAGAGACTGGACAGCCATTGTCTGAAATGGTATAGGGTTTCCTGACTGAGCAGAGGGTTGGACTAGATGACCTCCAAGGTCCCTTCCAACTGTGTTATTCTGTAATCAATTCCTCCATCCAATAATTAGCCACATTTAGTAGTATGCCCAGTATCTACTAGATTATTTTTCCTACTCTAAAGTAGAAAAGTTTCTTCAGGTCTTTATTTGCCTTCTCTATTATACAGGTACAATGAGAGAATGGTTTCCCTTTCAGAATTAATCTCCGTTACATAATGGGTCAGAATGTACAATAACTCAGAGGCAGTTGTGGAATTCATTTATTTATTAAAAGTGCCTCCAACAAACTGGGGTTTTGCGGCCAAAAATATGGCTCAATTCCTCCCATGAACAGAAGCAGCTTTTCTTATACCAGCGACAGAATATTAAATTTACTTTACTTGTTCTAAAGGCTTAGGGTTAGGTCACCATGAACTCGTAGAGCAAAATGGACATCGCCAACAAATTCGGGGTGCTTGGGTATGGTTAGGAGGGCACTGACTTTTCTAGGCTGCCCTATCTATGTTTCCTGGTAAAATACATGGGAAAATCCCATTGGAGGAAAATTCCACTTAGGGTTAGGTCACCATGAACTCGTAGAGCAAAATGGACACCGCCAATAAACTCGGAGTGCTTGGGTATGATTAGGAGGGCACTGACTTTTCTAGCCTGCCCTATCTATGTTTCCTGGTAAAATACATGGGAAAATCCCATTGGAGGAAAATTCCACTTAGGGTTAGGGTTAGGTCACCATGAACCCGGAGAGCAAAATGGACATCGCCAACAAACTCGGAGTGCTTGGGTATGATTAGGAGGGCACTGACTTTTCTAGGTTGCCCTATCTATGTTTCCTGGTAATATACATGGGAAAATCCCATTGGAGGAAAATTCCACTTAGGGTTAGGGTTAGGTCACCATGAACTCGTAGAGCAAAATGGACATCGCCAACAAATTCGGGGTGCTTGGGTATGGTTAGGAGGGCACTGACTTTTCTAGGCTGCCCTATCTATGTTTCCTGGTAAAATACATGGGAAAATCCCATTGGAGGAAAATTCCACTTAGGGCATGGTGTCCTGTGTAATTTTTTTTTTCCTGAAATAAATCACAACTGCCTGTAACAAAACTCACACTGCTGCTTTGAGCACTGCATCTGGTATTCAATTGAGTGAAACCAATTGAAGGATTCACAGAATTAATTCCTCTTATAATTTTATAAGAGGTTCAGAGAACAGCAAGAAGCAACTAAGCCCTTGGAAGAGTAAATGAAACATTGCAAAATGTTAACTTTGGGAAGGCCAATGGTTAGAAAAGTACAATCCAGATTTATTTACTCTCGTTCCAAAATGCAAGACCCTGCATAATGAAAGCAGGAGAACCAAAGGATCAGCTAACCCATCTCCTGAGACCTTCACACCTCAACACCCTGAACCACCCCAAACTTCATCTCTAAAGGACGCACAACTTCCTTTTTGCTTTGGCCATTGTCAAGGATCTCGTATTAAAACCAGGCTGTACCTTTAAGGCTGTTGCTATTTTGAAGGAAATTAAACCACTGGTTTCCATCCGTGTTGGGCGGAGATACAAGATCATCGTCTTCATCTTTTAAATACTGAAAAGAGAACGGTTTTAATAAGTATCTGGGGGGGGGGGAATACGCCAGGACTTCAGTTTGCAATAAAATAAAATAAAATGTCAGATCTGATTTTACTCTTCTTTTCAACCGGGAAGCAGAAAAGCGGTTAAGAGGTCTAGTCATTTTGTGGTAAAGCCTTTGAAAACTGGTTTATTGCCCAGTTTTAAATCTGTTGATCGCAGCTTTTTCTCCAACCGGTCTGTTATCTTCGCAGAGTGGAACAATTTATCAGAAATGGCTATAAACCTGTGCTCCGTGAAACCAGCGGCTACAGTGCCTTGTGACTTTAAGAGTTGTTCATTAAGTGACACATTTTATGCTTCGAGAGGCACTGGCCATTCGGCCTGGCCACGGAAGAAACGCACAACTTTTCTCCGAGCGTTGTCGCCTTCACAAAACCCCACTTAGCCAGGTTCCAGAAGGCCGTACGTTTACATCTATCTGCAGGTTGTCCTCGGCTTACGGCCACCACTGAGCCCAAAATTTCTGCTGCTAAGCAAGACACCTGTTAAGTGAGGTTCGCTTCGTTTTACGACCTTTACGTCAAGCGAATCGCTGCGGTTGTTTAAGTTAGTAACGCGGGTTTTTTAAGCGAACCTGACTCCCCCATTCTGACCTTGCAAAAAGGGGATTGCCATCACAAAGACAAGTCAGTTTCCTAGCCTTTGGTTTTTGAACATGTGACCGTGGGGATGCTGCATGAAAAACGGTCGTAAGTCACATTTTTCAGGGCCGTTGTAACTTCGAACGGTCACTAAACAAACTGTTGTAAGTCAAGGTGATTCATAGTTATGGCGGTCATGGTGTCCCGGGGGGGGGTCACGTGATCCCCTTCTGCGGACTTCTAACAAGTGACGTCAACGGGGGAACCCAGATTCACTTAACAGCCAGGCTTCTAACTTTAACAACTGCAGCGATTCACTTAGCAACGGCGGGAAGGTCGTAAAATGGGAGATACCTGACTTAACGAGTTTCTCAGTTAACCACATAAATTTGGGGCTCAACTGTGATCGTAAATCGGGAACTTGGCTGTATCTCTTGTCGGGACTCAGGCTGCCCAACTCTTTGTTTCTCAAGGACTTCCATGGCCCAGACCGTCCCTCAAAAAACAAAATGGCGGCACCTTACCTGCCCAACTCTTTCCACATTAAAGTATTTCCCTTTACGGCTGTAGAGCTCTGGGGCCTAGAAAGCAAACAGGGAAGATGGCAGACAGACAGATGGCTTAAGGAGAACGGAGAGGCAATGGTTTTATTATTAAATTCTGAGAATTGGGCGAGCCTCGAATCAGCGGTCAAGACTTGACTGGGAAGTCGGTTTAGTCCCCAGCCTTTGTTTAATCAGTCAACAAATAGAACGTATATATATTTCATGCCTTTTTTTAACTGGGTTTTAACCATCCTACATAGCAGGGTGTGCCAATCTTGGCAACTTTAAGATGCGTGGACTTCCGCTCCCAGAATTCCCCAGCCAACCATGATGGCTGAGGCATTGTGGGAGTTTAAGTCCCTACGTTTTAAAGTTGCTAAGGCTGCTATATCATCACAAAAAAGAGCTTTAAGGGAAGTGGCATAAATAAATGTTTAGCTACGTCAAGATGATCTGAACATGCTCTTTTGAAAGGAAAATATCTGCAAATAAATAAAATAAAACAAAGAATAAAATAAAAGAATAAAATAGTAAAGTAAAATAAAATAAAAGAATAAAATAAAAGAATAAAAAATAAAACAAAATAATAAAAGAGTAAAGTAAATAAAATAGAATAAAATAATATAAAATACAGGATAAAATAAATAAAATAAAAGAATAAAAAATAAAATAAATAAAAGAGTAAAGTAAATAAAATAGAATAAATTAAAAATAAAATAAAGAATAAAAGAATAAAAAATAAAATAAATAAAATAGTCAAGTAAATAAAATAGAATAAATTAAAAATAAAATAAAGAATAAAATAAAATAATAAAAATAAAATAAATAAAAAAATAAAATAGTAAAGTAAATAAAAAGAATAAAATAAAATAAATAAAATAAAAGAATAAAATAGTAAAATAAAATAAATAAATAAAATAATAATAAAATAATAAAAAATGTAATAAATAAAATAATAAAATAGTAAAGTAAAATAAAATAAATAAAATAAAAGTAAGCTTACTTCATTGAAATGCTCCGTGAGAAAATCAGCCACAAAAGTAATGTCTTTCTGTGTCATCTTTGAGAAAAAGAAACGTAACAAATCATTACAACCACAAATTTACATTTCACGCAGCTACACAAAACGCAGCACAACCGAAACCAACAGCTGTCCCAATTCTGCAAATCGACAAAGCGCCAGGATGACCTTTTCAAATAACTTGGACAGGGGAAAAAAAACAAACACCCAAAGCAGTAATGCAATAATATTTTGAAAAGGAAACGTAACGAAAACATCATTAAGCTAATCCTAAAATCCTTTCGACGGCTTTTGTATTGAGTCGGCTTTTAAGATGAGGAAAACATAGAATCATTTTCTAAGAATAGAAACAGCCTGGCCAGTTTAAAAGGCTATTTTAATGTTTCGTTTACGAAAGGAACTGCTTGCAGATTGGAAGACACGGAATTTAACAGCAGGGTGACTTTGCAAGAAGCTTAGAGAGGGCTGTGAAGCGGTATATAAGTCTAAAGCAGGGTAGGCCACCTTGGCTCTTTTATGACACGTGGACTTCAACTCCCAGAATTCCTGAGCCAGCCATGCTGAGGGGAAAGGGAGAGCCATGCTGGCTCAGGAATTCTGGGAGTTGAAGTCTGCGAGTCATGAAGGAGCCATAGTTCCCCCATGCTGGCTCAGGAATTCTGGGAGTTGAAGTCCACGAGTCATGAAGGAGGGCATGGTTCCCCCATGCTGGCTCAGGAATTCTGGGAGTTGAAGTCCACGAGTCATGAAGGGGGGCATGGTTCCCCCATGTTGGCTCAGAAATTCTGGGAGTTGAAGTCCACGAGTCATGAAGGGGGGCATGGTTCCCCCATGTTGGCTCAGGAATTCTGGGAGTTGAAGTCCACGAGTCTTGAAGGGGGGCATGGTTCCCCCATGCTGGCTCAGGAATTCTGGGAGTTGAAGTCCACCAGTCATAAAAGAGCCAAGGTGGTCTACCCCTGGTCTAAAGGCTGTTGCTATGGCTACGGATGGACCAGAAATATTAGAAGCCTCTCATCTGTGCACATAAAACGGAGGACATGACGATTACCTTGTTCAGCTCGGGAGGAACATGATCCTCTGACATTCGCAGCATGGCTGAAAAATAAAACAAAAACAGTGCGACCCACCATTGGAACCCTAAATCTCCCTTTGCTAAAGGCGGCAGCTTTGCTCCCTTTTTACGACTTTCCTTGCCACAGTTGTTAAAGGAAACCACGGCAGTTGTGAAGTGAATTGTGAACTGTGCGGTTGTTAAGCGAATCCAGCTTTGATTTTGCTGGTCAGAAACCGGCTGGGAAGATGACAAACGGGGAATCAAACGACCTCGAGACAAGGCAACGTTCGTAAGCGGGAACCAGTTGCCGAGTGCCCGAATTTCGATCACAGAGACGCAGGGGGCTGGACTAGAAGACCTTCCAGCTCTATTCAGATTGATTGGTTGATTGATTGATTGATTTGAAATGATCCCTTCCAGCTCTATTCTGATTGACTAACTGATGGTCTAGGGTCTCTGCTTGAGCAGGGGGTTGGACTAGAAGACCTCAAAGGTCCCTTCCAGCTCTATTCTGATTGATTGGTTGATTGATTCATTGATTGGTTGGTTGGTTGAAATGGTCTAGGATCTCCTGCTTGAGCAGGGGGTTGGACTAGAAAATTTCCAAGGTCCCTTCCAGCTCTATTCTCATTGATTGATTGATTGATTGATTGATTGATTGATTGAAATGGCCTAGGGTCTCCTGCTTGAGCAGGGGGTTGGACTAGAAGACCTCCAAGCTCCCTTCCAGCATTATTCTGATTGACTGATACAAACAGACAACAAAACCCACACTCCTGTGCACTACTGATGTTATCAGTTGGATAAATAATATGTTTGCAAGCACACAACCCAGCTCAGGCAGCACAAAGATATCCCAAATAATATTGCCTTTCCTTTCACATACACAGAGGAACCTCAGTCGTTATAATTGGTCACTGAACTCAAAAGGCAGCTGTAAAGACCACTGTGTACATATTATTATTATTATTATTATTATTAGCGCTAATAATAGTAATAATAGTAATAACGATGATGATGATGAAGGAAGGGATCTTGGGGGTCTTCTAGTCCAACCCCCTGCTCAGGCAGGAAAGCATATATAGCAGTGGTGGCGAACCTATGGCACGGGTGCCAGAGGCGGCACTCAGAGCCCTCTCTGTGGGCACATGTGCCGCCGCCCCAGTCCTAGGCCTTCAGCTGGGTTTTATAAAACCTTTTCGCTTTAGGCCTCCGCCGCCGTGTGCAAAAAAAAAAAAAGGTTCAATCAATTTCAACTTCTTGTGGGAAAAAAAAAGATCTTGCAAAGATGGAATTGATTGATTGAACTTTTTAATCCCACCCAGTCTGCCGTTATCACGGTGGCCACGCCCACCCATTGGGCCACGCCCACCTGGCACTCGACGATGCATAAGTGGGTTTTAGGTTGCAGTTTGGGCACTCAGTCTCTAAAAGGTTCGCCATCACTGATATATAGCATTTTAGACAAAATCAATGCCTTCTCGTTGGCACAAATCACCATTAACTTAGATTAACTTAGTCAATCTAAGAAAGCTGGGCAGCACTTGCTTTGAAGCCAGCTTTTTAAGAGTCCAAATGGACAGAGAGAAGGCTAGGAGAAGAAAAAAAAGAGAGAGAGAAGTATTTAGAATTAGGAGCGTTTTTCTTACCTACATAAAGCCAACGGAAAAAAGCCTTGAAATTTTTCATGCTGCTGTCTATAACTCTGGGGGGGGAAAGAGAGAGAGCAATGTAAGGAGTATTCCTCCCCAGCCGATGGGATTTATTTCTATCAATCATTCACAGGTCGGTCTCAAGTTACGGCCACAATGGAGCCAAAACTTCATGCTGCTAAGTGAGACACCTTTGCAAAGTGAGTCTGGCCCCATTTTACCATCTTGTTAAGTGACTCACTGCAGTTGTTAACTTGGTCACCCGGCCGTTAAGCGAATCGGGCTTCCCCCATTGACCTTGCTTGTCAGATGTTCGCAAAAGGGGATTGCGTGACCTCGGGACACTGCGACCATCGTAAATATGAACCAGTTGCCCAGGGGTTGAATGTTGATCGTGCGATCGTGGGGGCACAGGAAAAGTCCTAAGTTTGCAACGATGGCGAATATCTGGAAAACATTCGCCATCGAGTCCGCACTAAGTCCTGCTATAAATACTTCGAAACCTCCTCCCAGAGGGGAACAAACGAAACAGACCATGAAGTGAGGTGTGTGTGTGTGTGGGGGGGGGGTGTCTCTAACAATGCTTTGAGCTCTAAGCACATCTGAGCACTTATAAGCAGCATGCTGAATACCAGGGAACGAGCTTCCTATGATCTTCTCGCTGTCCTCACCACTCTCTGCATGATGGAGGGGGGTTTTGCCAATCCTTTCAATGACTTACTGGAGCAGTTCGTTTGCTTTCAGAATGAAGGAGCCCACCGCAGTGATGGCGTCTGGAAAATGGAGAATAAATGTGAAATAAAGGCCGGCTGAAGGCACTCTCCACATCGAGCCAGCGAGAAACGACGCAATTACCTTCTATTCCCGATGCGTCCAGCCCGAGGGACTCGTACTTCTGCTTCCACAGAGCCATGCCTTTCAGCTCGCTTAAGTGGTATAGCAAGGCCTCCGAGCCGCTGTCAAAAGCAAAGTGCGAAGCCCATGAGCAGAGGTGGAAAGGAAGGGTACCGAAAGCAAGGCGTAAAGGCCAGGAAGGGAAGAACACACACACACAAACAAAATTGTGAATTTTTTTCTTTCTCCCCCTGGACTTTGTCTGACAGACTGAGAAAACAAATCAACATGAAAATAGGTTTATGAGGGTCTTCACTTTTCTCTTTCTTTCTTTCTTTCTCTTTTTTCTTTCTTTCTCTTTTTTCTTTCTTTTCTTTCCTTTCATCTTTTTGCTTCCTTCCTCCTGTCCTTTCCCTTCCTCTCCTTCTTCCACTTCCTCCTCCCCCTTCCTTCTCCTCCCCTTCTCCTCCCTTCCTTCCTTCCTTCCTTCCTTCCTTCCTTCCTTCCTTCCTTCCTTCCTTCCTTCCTTCCTTCCTTCCTCCCTCCTTTCCTTTCCCTTCCTTCATGACTTGTGGACTTCAACTCCCAGAATTCCTGAGCCAGCATGGGGGGAACTATGGCCCCTTCGTGACTCGTGGACTTCAACTCCCAGAATTCCTGAGCCAGCATGGGGGAACTATGGCCCCTTCGTGACTCGTGGACTTCAACTCCCAGAATTCCTGAGCCAGCCACGCTGAGGGGAAAGGGAGAGGTTTCCAAGCTGAGCCAGGCTGGCTCAGGAATTCTGGGAGTTGAAGTCCACGAGTGATAAAAGAGCCGAGGTTGCCTACCCCTGGTTTAGGGCCATAACTGAGAAAAGAGCAATAATAATAATATTGAGAACACTCCAAGTTAAAAAAAAACATCACAAACGTTATCTAAATCAACGCAGCTCCTGAATTTTTACCTCTGCAAGTGACTTATCACCAGCTTTTGAATACTGGAGTAGGAAGATTCCATGGACTGGCCCAGTTTTTTTAAACCCTGTGGGAAGAAATAGCACTTTTTGTCTGGCTTGACAAACCAACACAAACCACCATAATTTCATACTATATAAGCTGGCCTACCTTTACTGTTAGCTGATTCATTAGCAGTGCCTGAAGTTCAATACTTTTGGGAGAAGGAGAAGAAGGGGGGGGGGGAGAGAAAAAATGGACACAGCATTTTTTTTTCCTGTTGGAAGAACAGTCAAAATCTGGCCAGGGTTTGAATGCTCACCTTGCTTTGCCCCACAAAAGTAACTCCATAAATTCATCTTGCACAGAGGTGGTGGTATTCTTCTCCTAAAGAAAAAAAGAAAAAAAGAGAGATTGTTGCACCCAGGCATTTCAATCGCCACAAAAGAATACAGAGAAGGCAGATCTCAAGGTTTATAGGCAAGAAAAGAGCAGGCTGAGTCACCATCCAAATATTATCTCTGAATTTTACTCCTTTCCTGTCTTCCATATGAATTTTCCATTGTTATTCCCAGCTGATCTCCCAATAGCCAAGACGGTCGGACCTGACTGGGATGGAGACTTACAGGAAATCTCAATCTAGTGGACTTGACTGACAACGTCAGAAGAATCCTGGAAGATGGCACGGATAGGTCACCTTATAGGGGAGATTGCTAGCATAAGATTTTAATAAAATACAGGTAATCCTCGACTTACAACGGTCAGAACGGGATCACATGTCTCTGGGACGCTGCAACTGTCATAAGTACATGTCAGTTGCCATGGATCTGAATGTTGATCACGTGATCATGGGGTTGCTGCCGACGGGCATAAGTGTGAAAAACGGTCATAAGTCACTTTTTTCAGTGCTGTTGTTAACAATTCACTAAATGAACTGTTTAAATCCAGGACTATTTGTAATTAAAAAGTGTACTGGGTAATGCAGGATTAAAATAATAATTGGAGGGGATCGTTTTTTCACCATACCTGCACAAACTTGGTTAATCGCGAATCCATTTGCATCAATATTTCTTCCCAAGCTTCACACATACAACTCAGGGAAAGCTTGATGTACTGTTCACAAATAGGAGAAAAACCATCGTTGTTTTTTAAATAACGTTTTATTGATTTTCTATTATTACATTTCATTAGTGCTTAGATTTGTGATTTGCTTTGCTTAATAATACAAGTTAAGCTCTTTTTCCAGCCATTGATAAGTTCCACATATTTTGTATCTTCTTTTTCTTTAATACTCAGTTCATCAAATATTAGTGGGGAAAGGCATCAATTGTACATTTCCTTATAATCACATTCTGTTTAGCTTTCCCTTTTTTTCAAAGGGGGGGGGGGAACCCAGCGCACACAGCTATTACAGGATAAAAGAATTACAAATTGCAATAAACCCCCTGCTAAAACTGGCTTTATCATACCAAACTCATCATAATCTCTCTATAATGGATAAGAAATATTAAATGCCCACGTTGCATTGCTGACTTGAAAACACTGTAAAGCTTAGAGAGTGGCACGTCAGAGTGTGCACAGTCTTATCGCGCTGAGATAACCCAGGAGTAAAGACAGTAAGCAGTGGTTTGTATTAAATGGTGATTTATCTTACACTATCCACAATATACACTAGGAATAAAATACATACATGTGCTAATAAAGCAAGATCCAACACACAGCAGTTACAGCAGGAAAATGGAAGAGCGCAAGCACAGCAGCTGAACCTTCCTTTTTATACAAAAGCTCTTAAAGAGACACAGACCCTGCTGGCTCTTAAAGAGACGCAGACCCTGCTGAGTCATTCCCATCATTACATCTTACATTACATCAGCTGACATGGATTTTTTTTTAACATCCCCCCCTTTATAGAATATCTTTTGGTTGGTACAATATGCAAAGGTGTGAGATTTTATTACCGTACCTGCAGGAGAGTTGAAATGTGTGTAAATTTTCGGGCCATTCGAGTCACTTCTGGTAAATAGGTTGAGAGCAGGCTGGTATCCATCTAAATTAGAGAACTAGTTTGTAATCTGACAAATGGTATAGGGTTTCCTGCCTGAGCAGGGGGTTGGATTAGATGACCTCCAAGGTACCTTCAAACATCATCATCATCATCATTGCTTTCCCCTCCAAAAGGAAAAAGATAGATAGATAGATAGATAGATAGATAGATAGATAGATAGATAGATAGATAGATAGGTAGGTAGGTAGGTAGGTAGGTAGGTAGGTAGGTAGGTAGGTAGGTAGATAAATAGATAGATAGATAGATAGATAGATAGATAGATAGATAGATAGATAGATAGATGTTGTTCATCCATCAATTTCGATGAAGACCTTGACATCTTGTGGGTTGTGGGCCATCAACGATGTGTCCGTAGGTGGCTAATAAGACCGATGTTAGCACGGCATTCCGTGCTAACATCAGATAGATAGATAGATAATTGATGGATGATATAGATAGATAGGTAGGTAGGTAGGTAGATAGATAGACAGACAGACAGACAGACAGACAGATAGATAGGATAGATGGAGGGATGGATGGATGGAGGGATGGATGGATGGATGGATAGATAGATAGATAGATAGATAGATAGATAGATAGATAGATAGATAGATAGATAGATAGATAGATAGATATTAATAGATGGATGGATGATAGATGACACAGAGAGAGAGAGAGATGGATGGATGATAGATGATTAGGTAGGTAGATAAGATAGATAGACAGAGAGACAGACAAACAGAGAGAGAGATAGAGAAAGAAAAGGAGATAAAGATATTTAAAAAAGAAGTTTTAGCCTTCCTGTGGAGTTGATTTCTTGGTCTGGTCTACACAGCGGAGCTCACAAAACAAGCCAACCTAGGAACAGGATGGGAGTCACATAATCACATCCTGCTGGTGAATTTCCAGAAGTCGTTGGCTGAATAGCTTCAAAAGTAGCCTCTGATGGTCTCATCTAAATCAGGCCTGGAAAATTCTTAACAACGTCCATGAGAAATCAAAGGACCATTCAACTGGAAACACTCGACCCTTCCACTCACCTGGAAGTAGGTTATTTCTGGATCTCCATCCGGACCGGTGTCGACTTCTGTCACAACTGAAAGCGATTTCAAGTCACTGGATAAGCACAAGGCCAAGCAGGAACCTCTCACCTGGAACAACAGGGTCACAAAATGATAAAACCACATTTTCTTCATTGTTAAAAACCGTTCACAGCGCAAGCGGTTGAATTTCTTTGTCTCTCTTCTTATCTCGGTCATTAGCGATTTGTCATCATTGATCAAAACTTAGTTTGTTTTTATAATATTTTATTAATTTTCCAATTTTTACATTTGAATATTTAAAAAGCAACGTGGTGACTGGGTTAATCAATAGTTCAATAACAAAATCTTAGTGCAAATCTCAGGTTATAACCTCAAATATTTCTTCTCTTTTCCCCTTAACATTTACTGTCTCATATTCAGGTTAGTACATTTTTAATTAAATATTATGAATATGTTTGATTTATTGATTAACCCAGGCTATCTATCTATCTATCTATCTATCTATCTATCTATCTATCTATCTATCTAGTGGTTTTGATTTATTAAAGGGGATATTGTGTGATTAGGTAGATGATTTAATATGGTGGGAAATAGATAACTCTTAGGAAACAGAACAAGATTGTATTAAAATGTGTATTTTGGATGTTATAGTTTGTTATGAAGTGAGATAAGGGAAATTTTGGCTACCCAAAGTCTGAAAATTATAAATATCAAAGGTTAAATTGGAATATTAATAAGAAATTAAAAACTGAGTAAAAATCAGTAACAGGAGATGGATTGTTTATAAAGATTGAATATAATTAAGATATGCGCAAGCTAAAAAATTATTGATAAATGTAATAATGATGTTCTTATTGAGTTGATATAATTAGAAATGTACTAACCTGAATATGAGACAGTAAAACTTAGTAGTTTTAATCAGTGATGACAAATCTGTGAGTCTTTATTCCCGTCTTTATTGTTTATTCTGCTGTGTTTAGAGGTGCAACTTACAAACGTAACTGAGCCCAAATTTAAGGTTAGCCCAGCGAGATATTTTTAAGTGAATTTTGCCCCAATTTAGGACCTTCCCTGCCACCGTCATTAAAGTGAATCACTGTAGTAATTTAAGTTAGTAACACAGCTGTTAAGTGAATCTGGCTTCCCCCATTGAGTTTGCTTATCGGAAGGTCGCCCAAGGGGATCACATGATTCCCTGGGACACTGCAACCGTCCTAAGTACATGCCAGTTGCTAAGCCTCTGAATTCTGATCACGTGACCCTGGGGATGCTGCAACGGTCGTTAAGTGTGAACTCTTCTCTTCTGAAGAAGTGAAGAAGCTTCTCGAGATGAGAAGCGAAATGTTTTCGAGGTAAAAAAAAGAACCAATAAAGACCAGCTGACTTTTGGAAAAGCATCTTGGGGATTCTGAAGGGAAGAATGTTTTTATTTACCACCACCACCACCCCAGCTGAACAAGTGTGAAAGTGGGACCACATACCCCTGTTATCGTCGCAATCTTGTACATTCCGTAAGCATAGATCTCAATAAACCCATTGACGCCTCCGAGAACGAGAGCATTAAGCCTACATAGAAAAGGGTTTTTTTGTAAAAGAGAGAGAGAGAGAGAGAGAGAGGGAGAAAGAAAGAGAAAGAGAAAGAGACAGAGAAAGAAGGTAATCATGGATGCAGTCAGGTTAGAAAAAAGATCTGTCAGGCATGTATTATCATGTTTCGTGAACATGAGACAAAGCAAAGAACTATTGGAAAAAAGATACATACTTGGTATTATTTTTAATAGGTATAATGCCAAAAGACTAATAAACAAAGCTTATACTTGACTTTGCACGTTGCAATACCGCAAGAATATTTGCGCAAAACTGGAAGAATGAAGGAGTACCATCAGATGAAGAAATAATTAAAAAAATACTAGAATGCGCAGACATGGACAGATTGACTATGAGACTGAAAGAAAAAGAAGAAACGGACTATGATAACAAACCTGAGATTTATTTTACCATTGGCTAGAGGAAAGAATACCCAGTGATATTTAACTCAACGGTTATTTTAAAAGGTGTCATACCACTTTAGGTTAATCAAACTAACTGCTGCCGATGTCCCTTTTCAGCATCTTGGCTTGGAGTGCAAATGATAAATTTTTACTACACACCCAGAAGTCCTACCCAGCCTACGTTTGTAGTCCAAACCCCCAGACCCTCTAAAAGAGAATTTGTAGGAAGTTTTATTCCCTTCCTAATCAAAACTTGCTGGCTTTCCTATTAGACACCCACAATCAGAATCTAATTTCCCCCCCCCCTTTGGGGAAATAATAAAGAAGCTCGGTTACCTGACGTCGCCCATGAGTTTCATAATTTCATCGGATTTTTCTTCACTAAAACATAATATAGTCAAGATCAGTTAAAAGAAGCAAAAATCAGGAACTTTTATTTTGGGTTTAGTGGATAAAGACTTGGAGGGCGGAATAGAACTTGGATGTTAGATACGTTGACGGCAGCAAGATTACTTTATGCACAAAAATGGAAGGACGCTTTGATTTCCCACAATGGATGAATGATGGAAAAATTGACCGAGTTAAAAGAGGGGGCTAAATTGACTGCTTTGATTAAAGGGAGGGGGGGGGACCACAATTAGTTTTGTTTCTACTTGGAAACCACTTCTGGACTTTGTGCTCGAGGTGGGGGGAAAAACGAAACTTTGATTTTGAGTTTTACTGGCTAGATTGGTCTGTTGTTATAGAAATGGCTAGTTTATATTACTATGTAAAAGTAAAAAAAATAGAGGTTTGATGCTATCATCATATTCCACTACACCAGGGGTAGGCAACCTCGGCTCTTTTATTAGTCGTGGACTTCAACTCCCAGAATTCCTCAGCCAGCCCGGCTCAGCTTGGAAACCTCTCCCTTTCCCCTCAGTATGGCTGGCTCAGGAATTCTGGGAGTTGAAGTCCACAAGTCATAAAAGAGCCAAGGTTGCCTACCCCTGCTCTAAACTAATAAAGTCTACATTAATTAACATTAATTATGCTTTCATATGTTCCTCTAAGTGAGGGGTCTTCAGCCTTGGCCCTTTTATGACTCGTGGACTTCAACTCCCAGAATTCCTGAGCCAGCCACGCTGAGGGGAAAGGGAGGGGTTTCCAAGCTGAGCCATGCTGGCTGAGGAATTCTGGGAGTTGAAGTCCACAAGTCATGAAGGGGGCCATAGTTCCCCCATGTTGGCTCAGGAATTCTGGGAGTTGAAGTCCACCAGTCATAAAAGAGCCAAGGTTGCCCACCCCTGGCCTACACCAAAGGGAGTCAGAAACCAATGGCTTTTCTTTCGTTTTCCTCCTCTCCCTTCCCTTCTCCCTCCCTTACTTTCTCACTATTTTGTGTTTTATATTAGAAACCAGTAAAAAAAAAAAAAGATCAGTTAAAAGAAACATATCTTGTTGTCCAAATTCTCAGGAATTAACAAACAGAAGATGAGTTTTACCTGAAAATCTTTGCTGTGGTGCTGTAGCTGCATTAAAAAAAAAAAAAAAGGAAGAAAGAGAAGCAAATTCAGGGAGTGATGCCAAAGTTAATTAAACAAGGGAAGGAGAGATGAATGGATAGATCAGTGTTTCCCAAACTTGACAATTTTAAGGCATGTGGACTTCAACTCCCAGAATTCCACAGCCAGCGTTGCTAGCTGTAGAATTCTGGGAGTTGAAGTCCTCATGCCTTAAAATTGTCAAGTTTGGGAAACACTGGGATAGATGGATAAAACATCTTCATCTTCCCTGCAGTTATTACAACATAGCATACAAGTGGCATTATCATTTAGGATAAGTCAAGACTTATTCATTCTATTCCTGCTTAAGACTAAGGCAAAACCTCTTCTAGGCGATTCCATTCCAAGATAATCTGGAAATTTCCCCCCCCCCCAAAAAAATGAATCTTCCAAACTTGACCTATAATCACGAAACTGTCCCCAGAATGGTATGGTCCAAAAACATCTCTGACTATTCTTGTACCGGTGAAAAACCATCATGGATTTTAATAAACTGTTGCTAAGGTTGAAACACTATTTACCGTATTTTCCGGCGTATAGGACAACTCGGCGTATAAGACGACCCCCGACTTCGGCACCGATTTCCATGCCTAGAAAGTCGTCTTATACGCCGGAAACTACCGTAATTTCCGGCGTATAAGACGACTCGGCGTATAAGATGACCCCCGACTTCGGCGCCGATTTCCATGCTTTAGAAAGTTGTCTTATACGCCGGAAAATACGGTAACTCAACCAGGTTTATTCGGAGCCTCTGCACTGCCTAGGACAGGGTAGGCAACCTTGGCTCTTTTATGACTCGTGGACTTCAACTCCCAGAATTCCTGAGCCAGCCACGCTGAGGGGAAAGGAAGAGGTTTCCAAGCTGAGCTATGCTGGCTCAGGAATTCTGGGAGTTGAAGTCCACCAGTCATAAAGTGGCCTAGGCCTAGGCCAGAGGTAGGCAACCTTGGCTCTTTCATGACTCGTGGACTTCAACTCCCAGAATTCCTGAGCCAGCCATGTTGAGGGGACAGGGAGAGGTTTCCAAGCTGAGCCATGCTGGCTCAGGAATTCTGGGAGTTGAAGTCCACGAATCATGAAAGAGCCAAGTTTGAAGACCCTTACCCTAAGCCTAGAGTCTAGACCAGGGTTAGGCAACCTTGGCTTTTTCATGACTCGTGGACTTCAACTCCCAGAATTCCTGAGCCAGCCATGCTGAGGGGAAAGGGAGAGGTTTCCAAGCTGAGCCATGCTGGCTCAGGAATTCTGGGAGTTGAAGTCCACAAGTCATGAAGGGGGCCATAGTTCCCCCATGCTGGCTCAGGAATTCTGGGAGTTGAAGTCCACCAGTCATAAAAGAGCCAAGGTTGCCTACCCCTGGCCTCAGAGTAAGCCCATTCTACTCAACAGGCTTACCTCTTGCATAATACATGGTCTATTAAAAAAAACACCTGAAATCATAAAACAGCCAACAATCAGGGCACAAATTCAGCCGTCTGTTCAACGTCGCAAACAGCCTTCAGTTCCAAAAATGGCTTCCTTCAACTCTCAAAGGCTTGTGAAGCCGGCTCCGTACACACTTCCACAACCTCACTCTTCCCTCCCGACAACTTACTTCTTCGGCAAAGGAGGCAACTTTGGAAGGAGAAGGCTGGCTTCGTCTTCAGCGTTATAAAACGAAATGAGGACGCTGAAATGAAAAGAACAATTCTTGGATTTAGTTCCAGGAAGATCCTGGTGAAAATAAAACTACCTTTAGTTGTTTTTTTTCCCCCCAACACGATTCTCTTTCTAGGTGTGTTAAGGTTACAAACAGTCCTCAATGTGAAAAATGGTCGTAAGTCCCTTTTTTCAGTGCCATTGTAACTTGGAACAGTCACTAAGCAAGCTGTTGTAAGCCAAGGACCGTCTGTATAAAACAAACTGGAGCAGTCAGGAGACCAAAGACACATCCCAAAATTGTGGGTTAGTGACCCTGACGCACAGGATGGTATGGTCCAGATATTTGCCAGTTCTAATTGTAGTCTTGGGACTTTTCTTTTAAATACAGGAAGGCTGAAGAACAGAACTGAAATCCACATTTTACCCACGGTCTGGAAGCGATCAAAAGCTCTTCCATTTTAATCATTCTTGTCCAGTCAGTGAGCTGGGCAAAACCACAAAGGCCACGGACGAATCTTGACCTTCAACGCACCTGTTTTCCTCTGTAACTTCCATCCAGTACATGAACGTAAGTGGGACGTTGACCGAAAAAGAATGCAAACTCTCCGGCTTTTCCACGTCACACAGGATCACTTTCTTCGTATCGGCAAGCCCAAAAGCCAGAACTGCAAAAGCAATTGGAGGGGATTAAAAACACGCAATGCGTAGATTGAAGACGCTTCCTGTAAAGGTCTTGGATCAATCAGGATGAGAAAGCAGAAGGATGGAGGAGAAAAGAGGAAAGGAAAGATTGGCTTGGTAATAAGGCGCACAGAAGGGGTTTATAATAATAATAGTAATAGTAGTAGTAGTAGTAGCAATAATAATAATAATAATAATAATAATAATAATAATAATAATAATAATAAAAAAAAAAAGCAAGCAAGGGTAGTACCAATAGTAATAGGCTCCTTGGGTGCAATCCCAAAACAACTGGAGCACCACTTGAACACCATCATCGGCATTGACAAATTCGCTATTAAGTCAATTGCAAAAGGCCGCCTTACTAGGAACTGCTTCCATCCTGCGACGATATCTGTAATACCATCAAACATCCACATCTGCCTATCCCAGGTCCTGGGTAAGGACTCGATAGGTAGACAAAATGCCAAATCCAGTCTGAACATCTGGCTGACTGTGCGATGATTGATAATGATAATAATAATAATAAAGTTGGAAGGGACCTTGGAGGTCATAGAGTCCAACCCCCTGCTCAGGCAGGAAACCCTATACCATTTCAGCCACAATTTCTGGTGGCAAGCTGTTCCACTGGTTAATTGTCTTCCCTGTCAGGAAATTTCTCCTTAGTTATAGGTTGCTTCCCCTTCTGTGCGCCTTATTACGGTCGCTAAAAGAATTGTTATAAGTCGAGGACTACCTGCATAAGCACGCACACACACACACACACACACACACACCTACAACTATGAGTACATATTTATTGGAAGTGGGAAATATTTGAAAAGCTTTTCAGCAAAGCTTGTTGGACAAGATGAGAAACTGTAGCAGGACGCAGGATAATTTTTGCCCCCGGATGCGTAACGCTTCCCTTCCGGTCTGCCATGTTAAGAATTCTCCCACATGCAGAGGGTCTTCCTGTTTTGGGGGAAACCCAGTCATTTCAAAAGTGAATCTTTCATATACAGTTTTATTTATTACTTTTGCCATCTGGTCTCCAGGCCAGAGCAGACACTTCTTTGCCCGTGCTTTCATTCGGTGGCAAGCTCCAGACGCGCTGAAAGTTCGCCAGGCGGTGAAGCAACACCTAAGAAAAGAGGGGGGGGGGGAATTAAGTCACGTCCACCTTCAGAAAGTGAAGTTCTACTAAAACTCTACTATAACCTAAGGTTATTCCTGCTGCCCATCGCAGGGAGAGGCCGCCAGTGGAATCCACTGCCTGGCCCGGTTCCTAAAGCGTCTGCCACAGCAAACAAATCGGAAATGGATTTGCACAACTTTTTTTATCCAAGAAACGCTGGAACCAGGTAAGAAAGAATCATCCAGATGAGGGGTGGGGAAGGATGGGCCTTTTATAACTTGTGGACTTCAACTCCCAGAATTCCTGATCCGGGGGGGGGGACCACGGTCCTTTTACATGGACTTCAACTCCCAGAATTCCTGATCCAGTAGGGGTGGGGAACCATGGTCCTTTTACATGGACTTCAACTCCCAGAATTCCTGATCCAGCAGGGGTGGGGAACCATGGTCCTTTTACATGGACACCAACTCCCAGAATTCCTGATCCAGCAGAGGGGGGGACTATGATCCTTTAACATGGACTTCAACTCCCAGAATTCCTGATCCAGCCGGGGTGGGGAACCATGGTTCTTTTACATGGACTTCAACTCCCAGAATTCCTGATCCAGCAGGGCTGGGGGGAAACCAAGGTCCTTTTACAAGGACTTCAACTCCCAGGATTCCTGAGGCAGCCAGAATTCTGGGAGTTGAAGTCCACAAGTCCTAAACAGGCCAGCCCTGATCCAGACCAACCACTTCACCATTGCAAGGTCTTCTCTTTGAGAAGATTGGCAGCTGCTCCCAAGTTTTTTGGGTGCCCTACCACCGCCGTGCCCCACTTGCCACAGGACCATCCCCACTTACCTCTCCCACTTTGTTGGCCAAGGCAATCAGGTCCCTCTTGGGCGACCAGGCCATAAAAATAACTTCCTGAGGAAGCTGCTTCTCTCCAACTTGCCGGAAAGCTGGCATGGTGGGGGCATCGGGACCTGGAGACCAACATACATAAACCGTGATGAGGGGTAGCTCAGATGCAGTGACTCTGACTGAAGGGAGCCACTCTGGACAGCGGCTGATGGAATGGCGGACACAAGACAGGGACGGAGTAAAATGTTTGAGAATGAAGGTGCAAATCGCCAACTCACAACATGCCCTAAGGAGGAAGAGGAGCCGGTTTCAGGGGTGGTTTTGTAAGGAGCAGGAAGAGAAGGAGGAGGAAGAGGAGGAGGAGGAGGAGCTGACTTCAATGGCAGGTTTGTAAGGAACAGGAAGAGGAGCAGGAGGAGGAGGAGGAAGAAGAGGAAGAGGAGGAGGAAGAGGAGCTGACTTCATGGATAGCTTTGTAAGGAGCAGGAAGAGAAGGAGGAAGGAGGAGGAAGAGGAAGGAGGAGGAAGAGGAGCCAGCTTCAGGGGTGGCTTTGTAAGGAGCAGGAAGAGAAGGAGGAGGAAGAGGAGGAGAGGAAGAGGAGGAGGAGCTGACTTCAATGGTAGGTTTGTAAGGAACAGGAAGAGGAGGAGGAAGTGGAGGAGAGGAAGAGGAAAAGGAGGGAGAGGAAGAGGAGCTGACTTCATCGGTAGCTTTGTAAGAAGCAGGAAGAGAAGGAGGAAGAGGAAGGAGGAGGAAGAGGAGCTGACTTCATCGGTAGCTTTGTAAGGAGCAGGAAGAGGAAGAAGAGGAGGAGGAGGAGGAAGAGGAACTGACTTCAACGGTAGCTTTGTAAGGAGCAGGAGGAAGAGGAGGAAGAAGAGGAGAACGAGGAGGAGGAAGAGGAGCTGACTTCAATGGCAGCTTTGTAAGCAACAGGAAGAGGAGGAAGAAGAGGAGGAAGCCCCCCTTCCATTCAAAGCAGCCCCCCTTCCTCCCAGCCGGGGGGGGGGGAGCCTGTCTGCGAAACCAGAATTGGGGGGCGGGGGGCTTTGGCTCGCCCCGACGACCACCCTCCCCTCCCAGGGGGACCCCAAGCGGTAGCGCGGCCCGCATGGCGACCCCCCCTCCAGACCCGGCGCGCACCTGGCCGGCCGCCCCCGCTCCTCCTCCGCCTCCTCCGGCCGCGCCGCCCGGCTCCGCCCGCCTGGCCCGCCCTCCGGAAGCGGCCTCGGCAAACCCGGCCCTTCCCGGCCGAAGGGAGGGGAGGGAGGCCGGCTTTCAGAGAGGCGCGCTCGGGGTGGCCGCTCCGGCTTCGGTTCGCTCGTTTGTTTGTTTGTTTCTCCTTCTTCCTCCTCTTCTTTTTCCTCCTCCTTCTTATCCTTCTTCCTCCTTCCTCTTTTTTCCTCCTCCTTCCTCTTCCTCCTCCTTCTTCCTCCCCTTCCTCCTGCTCTTCCTCCTTTTTCTTCCTCTCCTTCCTCCTCCTCCTCCTTCCTCTTCCATTTTCCTCTTCCTCCTCCTTTCTCTTCCTCCTCCTTTTTCTTCCTCTTCTTCCTTTTCTTCCTCTTCCTCTTCTTCTTTTTCCTTCTTCCTCCTTCCTCCTCTTCCTTTTCTTCCTCCTACTTTTTCTTCCTCTTCCGCCTCCTCCTCCTCCTTCCTTCTTTTTCCTTCTTCTTCCTCCTTCCTCTCCTCTTCCTCCTCCAACCCGGAATACGTAAGATGGGATAATAGGGTTGGAAAGGACCTTGGAGGTCACCTAGTCCAACCCCCCCCCAGTTAAACAGAAGGTTCCCATCCCCCAATCCGTGGACCGGTACCGGACCGCGGCATGCCAGCAACCAGTCTACATAAACAAGCAAAGCCCCATCCGTGAGATGCAGGCAGCACACAAAACCACTCGCCCTGCAGTCCATAGAAAAACCTCTCTCCACAGAACCGGTGGTCCCTGGTGCCCCAAAGTCTGGGGGTCTCTGCCCTATATAATTCCAGATAAATGGCTGTCCATTCTCTTCTTGAAAACCTCCAGCGATGAAGCATTCACAACATCTGGAGGCAAAGTTGTTGCATTGACTAACTCAGAAAATTGGGTGTCATCAATCAAAGACGTTGTCTGTTTCCAAACGTGTGTAGGCCAATTGCCAAAATGGCCTTTGGAGGAAGTTGTCAAATGTGTTAAAATGTGCCAAATGCACAATCCTTCCCCAACTGCGAAACAAAACAACACAAAAGCCCCCAACTTCCTGGGGCTTCCTTGGCGATGCTGAGATACACAAAGGGATGTTGACATTTCTCTTCTTCAATTCCCAGCTGAAAGAACTGTGTGGGACACAGACCTTGTGTCAGAATGCAGAGGCTAACAAAAACACACAAAAGAGGTTTAATCACGGCCGTAAAACGTGCAAGCAGGGTGCACACCTCCCTTTGGTACAAAGACCTGGTGCAACCAGGTCCAAAGCGCCTGAAGGCAGGACAAGAAGCAACGGATGGAAACTCATCAAGAGAAGCAACCTAGAACTAAGGAGAAACTTCCTGACAGCTAGAACAATTAACCAGTGGAACAACCTGCCTCCAGAAGCTGTGAATGCTCCAACACTGGAAGTTTTTAAGAAGAGACTGGACAGCCATTTGAAGTGGTATAGGGTTTCCTGCCTGAGCAGGGGGTTGGACTTGATGACCTCCAAGGTCCCTTCCAACTCTATGATGATGATGATGATGGATCATCGCAGTCAGCCAGATGTTCAGACTGGACTTGGCCTTTTGTCTACCTATCGAGTCCTTACCCAGGACCTGGGATAGGCAGATGTGGATGTTTGATGGTATTACAGGTATCGTCGCAGGATGGAAGCAGTTCCTAATAAGGCCGCCTTTTGCAATTGACTAATAGCAAATTTGTCAATGCCAATGGTGTTCAAGTGGTGCTCCAGTTGTTTTGGGATTGCATCCAAGGCTCCTATTACTACTACTACTACTACTACTACTACTACTACTACTACTATTACTACTACTACTATTATTTAAGACAATCCATGGTTACAGTCTGAAAAGTCAAAATAGAACCCACGACAAGTCAATCAAAATTATATCTGCTAACCACCATTTACGTTGCTAAGTGGGACATTCGTTAAGTGAGTTTTGCCCCATTTTACGACTTTTCTGGCTACCTTTCTTCAATGAATCACTGCAGTTCCTAAAATGAGTAACACAGGTCTTAAAATCAATTCACTTTTCCCCAGAGACTTTGCGTGTCAGAAAGCCGCAAAAGAGAATCACGTGAGCCCAGGACGCGGCGGCCATCATAAATACGAGTCAGTTGCCAAGCGTCTGAATTTTGATCACGTGAGCATCGGAGGTGCTGCAACGGACGTAAGTATGAAAAACAGTCATAAATCTCTATTTTTAGTGCTGTTGTAAATCAGGGACTATTTGTATGAGCCCAAAGACATATTTGGCTGTTTCTAATAAACCTAATTGCCCCTTAATCCAATGACATTTTTTTTAATACCCAGATTAATAATGGGACAACAGTAAATAAAGGGAATGTTGTAAGCACTGAAATGTTGTTGTTTTTATTTTTTGTTTTTTCTTCTTCTCGCAGCTTTTTTCCAACACGTTGTTTTCGTAACAGCCTTCTTCAATTTCTTCTTTTTCTGTTTGGCCTTTTGGCTATCTCTGCAGAAGAAGTCAAGGGGGGGGGGGGACAACAACAATAATTGATGAAAGAAATGGGGGAAGCGGCATTAAATAAATTAAACGCGTGATGAAATTAGAAATCTGGAATTTGGAACTCTGTGGGCTTTCCAACGGGCAAAAATATCTACCCGAAACTCAACTCATCTGGTACCCAAAATGTTAAGCCATAATGTGGCTGTCCGGTTTGGGTTTACTGTGTGTTAACCCAGATATAGTGATTTACTGAATAGACCATGGTTATACAATGGAGGGTCACGGATAGAAGGGAATGTTTGAAGCCCTGGATTGGACTGTGGGGCCCTTGGTGCTGTCCGTGCTTGGCTGCTTTCTGTTGGATGTTTCATGGCCAAACTAGGTAACATCGCCAGCACATTGATGATGTTACCTAGTATGGTAATGAAACGTCTGCAAGAAAACAAGCTCAGAGAGCATCAAGGACCCCACAGTTCTTTACTTCCTCCTCCTCCTCCTCCTCCTCCTCCTCCTCCTCCTCCTCCTCCTCTCCACAAACCCCACCCCCTTCTAGCACTGATGATGTGACCTAGTTGGGTCACGAAATGTCTGCAAGAAAACAAGCAAGCTCAGAGAGCACCAAGGACCCCATAGTTCTCCTCCTCCTCCTCCTCTTCCTCCTCCTCTTCCTCCTTCTCCTCCTCCTTTCCACAAACCCCACACCCTGCTAGCACTGATGAGGTTACCTAGTTGGGTCATGAAACGTCTGCAAGAAAACAGCCAAGCTCAGAGAGCACCAAGGATCCAACAATGATGAGCCCAAAACCAGCCAATCTCATTTTTGCGAGATCAGCAGGCCAACAAATTCCTAGCCTTGCCCCCAAAACTTAACTGGTCAGCTCTGCAGATCTTCTGCCGCTTTGGACACGTGGTGCGTTTGTGATTGGCCTCTCCACAAACAAAGCACCCCGAACGGTCTTCTTTGCAAGGGTGAGTGGGAAGAGCACAGCGCTGGCAAGTGCCACAGTGAACCCAGGCTGCAAACACACAAAGGAACGATTCACGACAAGCAGCCTAAAACGTGTTTGAATTGTTTTGTCCTCAAAAAGCAAACCAGCATGCCGGCTGGGCAAATTTTGGGGAGCTGAAGTCCACAAGTCTTAAAATTGCAAGGTTGGTAAAACAAAACAAAAAAAAGGGAGGGGGCCTTAAGAGGGACTCTGTTGAACAATGTTTTTAAAGTTTTGCGAGAATCTGCAATAAAAGGCTTCAGGAAAAGGCCCAGAGCCAAAGATGAGAATCCTTATTGCTGTTCCCGGACTCTTTGGAAACCGTCACAAACCAGGATCAAAAGGAGGGAATGTTTCCTAAGATATCCATTGATCTCAGTTAAAGGATGGAAACTAACCAAGGAGAGAAGCAACCTAGAACTAAGGAGAAACTTCCTGACAGTTAGAATAATTAACCAGTGGAACTCCTTGCCTCCAGAAGCGGGGAATGCTCCAACACTGGAAGTTTTTAAGAAGAGACTGGACAGCCATTTGTCTGAAATGGTATAGGGTTTCCTGCCTGAGCAGGGGGTTGGACTAGATGACCTCCAAGTTCCCTTCTGTTATTATTTTCCTTCCTTCCTTCCTTCCTCCCTCCCTCCCTCCCTCCCTCCCTTCCTTCTCCAACACTGGAAGTTTTTAAGAAGAGAGTGGACAGCCATTTGTTTGAAATGATATAAGATTTCCTGCCTGAGCAGAGGGTTGGACTAGATGACCTCCAAGGTCCCTTCCAACTTTATTATTATTATTATTATTATTACTACTACTACTACTACTACTACTACTACTACTACTACTACTGTTATTAGGTGTCTGTTTTATGGCTAGGCTAAAGGTAGAGTCATCTTGCCCCAAAGCAAAACATTACAAACCTTTTAACAGCCGCTTGATCTGGCGTTCCCCTGATCCCAAACTGAAAAAAGATGTTGTTTAAAACAAACAAACAACAAACAACAAAACTTACAGGGCTTGACACATTTTTTACAGAGGTTACAGTGAGTCCAACGTCTGCCATCCTATTGCGGGGAAAGAAAGGGGGGGGGAAAAAGATTAACTTTGATCCGGATTAAAAGGGGGGGGGGAAGTATCACTTACAATCAAATTATTACACAACCGAGCTCAAAATGGCAGTTGCCAATCAAGACGCTTGTTGAGTGAGTTTTGCCTCCTTTTTACGACCTTTCTTGGTGCAGTTAAGTGAATCACTGCTAGTCGTTAAGTGAATCTTGACTTTCCTATCAACTTGGCTTTTCAGAAGGGATATGGCAACTGTCCTAAGTACATGCCAGTTGCTGAGCCTCTGAATTTGGATCACGTGACTGCGGAGAGGCTGCAGCGGTCGTTAAGTGTGAAAAACGATCCGGAGTCACTTTTTTCAGTGCCGTTGCCACTTCGAACAGTCACTAAATAACCTCTTGAGGACTAGTGGTGCAGTCCTGCTTTCCAAAGTCAAAGCTCCACTTCCATGACTGCGGATCCCAGGCTTACTTGCTAGATTGTTAGTCGACTATTTCATTGTTTCGTTCCCTTTTTTTAACACACAGCCTAGGTTTCGTATTTTAGATTTGAAAAATGTTTAATGTTTAATAAAAATATAGGACCTACTCACTTTGGAAGGGCAGGAACTGCAGATGTCGCAGTGCTGGTTCTGGGCACTGACGTATCGCTGACAGATGGGGCAAAACCTTGACCGAGAGAAAACAAGGAGGTTTTGCAAAAAACAAAACAAAAAAAGATGCGGCTAGTCCTGAGACAGAGGCTTGCTAAGCCACATCAGTGGGCTTTGTGGGTAATGGGTTTTCTTTTTTTTTAAATAACTCGTTCTATCCAGAAGTTATTCTAACATTGAACATTTTTAATTTAATTTTAATTTAATTTTTAAAAAGGGACTGGGCAACCATTTGTTTGAAATGAGCAGGGGGTTGGACTAGAAGACCTCCAAGGTCCCTTCCAACTGTTCTATTCTATTCTATTCTATTCTATTCTATTCTATTCTATTCTATTCTATTCTATTCTATTCTATTCTATTCTGTGACTGTTCTTTCTGTTCTATTCTTATTCCATTCCACATTCTATTCTATCCTATCCTATCCTATTCTCTGCTCTACTCTATTCTATTTCCTATTCTATTCTATTCTCTATTCTATTCTATTTTCTATTCTATTCTCTATTCTATTCTCTATTCTATTCTCTGCTCTGCTCTATTCTATTCTATTTTCTACTCTATTCTATTCTCTACTCTATTCTTTTCTATTTTCTATTCTCTACTCTATTCTATATTCTATTCTATTCTCTATTCTATTTTCTATTCTATTCTCTATTCTACTCTATTCTATTCTCTATTTTATTCTGTTCTCTGTTCTATTCTATTCTACTCTGTTCTTCTATTCTACTCTACTCTACTCTGTTCTTCTATTCTATTCTATTCTATTCTATTCTATTCTATTCTATTCTACTGTTCTCTATTCTATTCTATTCTATTCTATTCTATTCTATTCTATTCTATTCTATTCTATTCTATTCTACTCTAGTTTTCTATTCTATTCTATCCTATCCTATCCTATTCCATTTTCTATCCTATCCTATCATTCCTTCCCATTCCATTCCATATATCCTATCCTATTCTATTATTATTTTCTATATTTTCTACTCTATTCCATTCTCTATTCTATTTCTCTATTCCATTCCATTCTGTTCAACACAACGTTTACCTGTATCCTTCTTCTGCTGGAAGAACTATGGAACTTGGTGAAATGTTAGTAAAAATACGAACTGGGGATTGTTTGCGGCCTCTTTTCCCATGCTTATATAGCGCATGATTGTCATAATCAACCTAAAAAATAAAAGCGGGGACAGTTAATGAAAAGTAGGCTGTTAAATCTTCCAGGATACAGGAAGAAAGCTTTAGGTTAATTGTCTCTGCTATTTTCCACCCTCACTTCGTGAAAGAACAGAAGCGCCATGATCAACCAAGCTTCAGATCTTAACTGATCCAGTCTTTTTATGTAATCCATTGCCATTTAACTGCATGAAAGTAAGAGGACAGGCAGAGACGAGATGGAGTCAAGAGAGGAATCAGCCTGGAATCGTTACGTTCCCACAAGTGACCTAAGCCCAGCCCCTCTTGAATTCCATTGACTCTTATCTAGTGCTAACTAGAGACTGGACAGCCACTTGTCTGAAATGGTCTAGGGTCTCCTGCTTGAGTAAGGGGTTGGACTAGAATACCTCCAAGGTCCCTTCCAGCTCTATTCTGATTGATTGATTGATTGATTGATTGATTGATTGATTGAAATGGTCTAGGGTCTTCTTTCTTTATTTTTTTATAAAAAAAATTATTAATTTTTTTTTCATCAACATATGTTAATTTTTCCAATCAACAAGTTGTCTGGAGTTTGCTATGCTAATACATGTTCAATTCCTAATCCTTCATTCTCTTCTCTAACCAAGAATAAAATAAATTCCAAATTTGATAGTCGTCTGTATCTTCTTTATCTTTCAACCTCATAGTTAATCTGTCCATCTCTGCACATTCCAGTATTTTCCTGATTATTTCTTCCTCTGATGGCAGTCCTTCATTCTTCCAGTATTGTGCAAAAATTATTCTCACTGCTGTAGTGATGTGTAACATTAAATATAGTTTCTGCTTATTAGTCTTTTCAGGCATAACGCCTAGTAAAAAAAGTTCAGGTTTAAAATCCACTTGTTCGCCCAATATTTTTTCTAACCACCTATGAAATGGTAGGGTCTTCTGCTTCAGCAGGAGATTGGACTGGATGACCTCCAAGGTCCCTTCCAGCTCTATTCTGATTCACTGATCGATTGATTGCTTGAAATGGTCTAGGTCTCCCGCCTGAGCAGGGGGTTGGACTAGATGACCTCCAAGTTCCCTTCCAGCTCTATTCTGATTCACTGATTGATTGAGCGATTATGATTTGATTATGACACCATTGACCCTCCCCTCTCGTGCTCAGCCTGGTCAACTCCTACAGACGATGGATGCCATGTTGGGAATTTGAAGGACAAGGTTGGGGAGACATCATCCCAAAGGGGAACCTGGGTGGATTGCATGGCCAGGTAGCACAATAGCTTCATAGTTTTGTTTTGGGAATAAATAAATGTACTTTAGAAGAGAGCCACCGCTACCTTCGCTCCTATACTGAGGAGTGCTTTTATAGGGATTGGGATCAATTCTCTTACTGGGTCAGTCCAAGATATTGGACTGAGAGTATATTCAGTCCCTCACTTACTCAGATGAGCATGTTTTCATGCATAAGAGGACTGGACAGATGTTAGGATTTGAAAAAAAAATGCCCTGTGGTGTGCACACCACAACTTATCAGGAATGTTTTAAAGCAGCTGCATCCTTCCCTTGCCTCACTGCAAATTCTCTCTGGAGAAATGATTATAATTTTATTAGAAAAAGAAAAAGGACGGATTCAATCAAGGGTTCAGCATAAACCAAAGGAAAGCAAATTTATACTCGGAAACTGACAGATTCCAGAAGTCATAAAGAAATTGGCACTCAAAAGGTTTCTATGAAGGACTCTTTGTCCTTACCTGATAATCCAACATGGTGAAACTTGGAAAAAATTCAAGAATGCGGGACTCAAAAAAATACGGAAATATCCAAAGGATAGGTAACTCTTGGCTGGCAAAACCTAATGAGCAGAATATTCACAGTATTTTTTAAAACACAGATACAAATAAATGAAAATAGATATAAAATCGATACACACATGATATAAAAATAGATATAAATACATTTATATAAATATAATTCTGCAAGGAACAACACAGCAAACACATTTATTGCCTTTGCAAACAGTTTAGGGCGAAAAGGATCTATTTTGCAAATGAAACTTTGCAGCCCGCTCCCAACTGTGGCATGATAGTTGAAAAACTTTAAATAAGTTCTCAGTGGAAGATAGCCGTTAACGCTGTGATCCTTTCCTAGATCATGTCAAAATCCAAGCTTGTCACCTAGACTAGACTAGAGTGGAGGAATGAGGAATGGAATGGAATGGAATGGAATGGAATGGAATAGAATAGAATAGAATAGAATAGAATAGGAATAGGAATAGAATAGAATAGAATTAAGGAATAGAATAGAATAGAATAGAACAGAACAGAATAGAACAAAGGAATGGAATGGAATGGAATGGAATAGAATAGAATAGAATAGAATAGGAATAAGAATAGAATAGAATAGAATTAAGGAATAGAACAGAATAGAACAGAACAGAATAGAATAGAATAGAACAGAGGAATGGAATGGAATGGAATAGAACGGAACAGAATAGAATTGAATAGAATAAGAAGAAATAGAATAGAATAAGAGATAATAGAATAACAGAATGGAATGGAGTGGAGTGGAGTAGGGTAGAGTAAGAAGAGATAGAATAAGAGATAATAGAATAGAACAGAACAGAATTGAATAAGTTTAAAATACGAAGGGATAGAATAAAGAGAGATAGCATAGAGCGGAATAGTAGAATAGAATAGAATAGAATAGAATAGAATAGAATAATAATAGAATAGAATAATAGAATAGAATAGAATAGAATAGAATAGAATGGAATAGAATAGAATAAGAATAGAATAGAATAGAATAGAATAGAATAGAATAGAATAGAATAGAATAATAGAATAGAATAGAATAGAATAGAATAGAATAGAATAAAAAAAAATAACAGAGTTGGAAGGGATTTTGGAGGTCATCTAGTCCATGTGTGCCTGGCTGAGGAATTCTGGGAGTTGAAGTCCACAAGTCATCAAAGGGCCAAGTTTGAAGACCCCTGCTCTATAGCATCGTCCTGAGAAGCTGAAATAGTTTATGTCCAGGATGTGAGGGGTCTGTAGATGTTTTCACAGCCCTCTTTCTGGCTCATAAGTATCTCGGCAATAATTACCTGCAGCTCCTACTGAACTCCACATGGCCATCAGTTTTTGGAAACTAGAAGCCAACGCCTCCACCAAGCCCCCAAAGGGGGGATCGGCCACCAGGACCACGTGCCTCCCTTGGTCTTCCTGCAGGAATTCCTCACATACACGGGAAGCAGCCTGCAAGACAGCCGAGAGAAGACTGGTATTCCTGGAGATCTTGTCTTTTGCAAATTTTACTCTTTTAAAGGTATCTATTATATTCAGAATAGAACTGGAAGGGGCCTTGGAGGTCTTCTAGTCCAGCCCCCTGCTCAAGCAGGAGACCCCATACCATTTTGGACAAATGGCTGTCCAGTTTTTTCTTTAAAACCTCCAGTTATGAAGCACCCAGCAAAGCTGTTCCACTGGTTAATTGTCCTCACTGTTAGGAAGTTTCTCCTTAATTCCAGGTTGCTTCTCTCCTTGGTTAGTTTCTCCATCCGTTGTTTTTTTGCCTTGCCTTCAGGTGCTTTGCAAAACAACTTGATCCCCCCTCTTCTTTGTGGCAGCCCCTGAAATACTGGAAGACTGCTATCATGTACCCCCCCCCCCCAGTCCTTCTTTTCTCTAGACTGGCCATATCCAATTCCTGCAGCCGTTCTTCACATGTTTGAGTCTGCAGGCCCTTAATCATCCTAGTTGCTCTTCTCTGCACTTTTTACAAAGTCTCCACCTCTTTTTTTGTAATTTGTGGTAACCAAAACTGGAAGCTGGTACTCCAGGGGTGGCCTTACTAAGGCTTTCTAAAGCGGTCCTAAGACTTCACCTGATTTTGATTCCGTGCCCCTGTTTACGCAACCCAGGATTGTTAGCTTTACTACACTGGATTAGCCGATGTCTTTGGGGCAATCGTATAAATGATAAGCAGTGTCGTATAAAGGGATTGTCTGTCCCTCCCTGAAAAACCCACTCCCATTCCACTAGCTTGGCAACTAGGATAAAATGTGCATAGGACATGAGTGGCGCTTACCTCTCCAGCAAAGAAATAATGGTTAAACATGTTATAGTGGCAAAAGTCCTCCTGGGGATAGAACTGAGAGTACCTGTAAAGAAATTGTTTCTTATTAGGTTTACACATGAGATAACAGCAGTCAAAGTATAGATGGACAATCAATTGACTCAGCAGAAAGAAATCTTAGTTCCCTTTCTCCCTTGACAGTCAGCTATTCAAAGTCCATCCATCTGACTTTCTCTTCCTTTATTATCTTTTTTACTTCCCTCCTTCCTTCCTTATATTCCTTCCTTCCCTCCCCAATTTCCTTCCTCCCTATCTTCCTTCCTTCCTTCTTTCCTTCCTTCCTTCCTTCCTCCCTATCTTTCCTTCCTTCCTATTCCTCCTCCCTTCTTTTCCCACCCTTCTTTCTTTTTCTCTTCCTTTCTCTCTGTGATTGTAGGCTGAGAACTATCTGCGTAGGGATGACACAATGGAGAGGCATGGAAATAAAGCAACTGTTGAAAAGAGAAAGAACGGAGGAGAGTGTTATCCTTTAATAAAAACCCTACCTGAAATCAATATCAAGCAAAAGACTCTTCATTGCAATCTTCCCTTTGGGTGACGCTTCCAATTTGATCAGTTCGTGAAGCCTGGAAAATTATAGCTAATTAGAATAGAATAGAATAGAATAGAATAGAATAGAATAGAATAGAACAGAATAGAATAAATATTGGAGGATAGAATAGAATAGAATAGAATAGAATAGAATAGAATAGAATAGAATAAATATTGGAGGATAGAATAGAATAGAATAGAATAGAATAGAATAGAATAGAATAGAATAGAATAGAATAGAATAGAAATAGGAATAAAATAGGAATAATAGAATAGGAATAGGAATAGGAATAGGAATAAGAATAGAATAGAATAGAATAGAATAGAATAGAATAGAATAGAATAGAATAGAATAGAATAGAATAGAATAGAATAGAAATAGGAATGAAATAGGAATAATAGAATAGGAATAGGAATAGGAATAAGAATAGAATAGAATAGAATAGAATAGAATAGAATAGAATAGAATAGAATAGAATAGAATAGAATGGAAATAGGAACGAAATAGAAATAGGAATAATAGAATAGGAATAGGAATAGAAATAGAATTATGAAGAATGGAATGGAATGGAATGGAATAGAATGGAATGGAATGGAATAGAATGGAATGGAATGGAATAAGGTAATGGAACCCAGAATTATTGAGGAATTTCGTGACAGTGAGAGAACAATTTTTGTTGAGAGAAAAATTAACCAGTGGAACAGCTTGCTTCTAGAAGTTGTAGGTGCTCCAACACTGGAGCTTTTTAAAAAAGAGATTGGACAATCATTTATCTGGAATAGTACAATAGTACAAGGTCTCCTGCTTGAGCAGGGGGCTGGACTAGAAGACCTCCAAGGTCCCTTCCAACTCTTTGTTATTCTGTAACTTTGGCCTCATGTTTATTCAAGGCCAAAGGCCAAAGGCCATCCCTTGGTTAAGGCCAACTGTGTTGAGGGCACTAAGGGCTCACCTTGGCGTGCCCACACACAGCACCCTTTGGAAACCTTGCGCGACGAGAAGATCCAAGAGGAAGCGGCAACTCCTGTCGGTGAAGAGATACTGGGCGTTCATCTTCTTGTTCTCCAGAGCAGCGAGGAGTTGGCTAGGTCTTCCTAGCTGGGCAGCCGAGATACCAGTGAGTACTGGATGGCCAGTGTGTCTTTCCCATTCCGATGGCAACAGGAGCTGTTGACACTCCTGGCAAAACTTCCTTTTCGGTGGAGGTAGGGCGATGAATTCCTTGTACCTAACAGCAGAAAAGTCACTGGTGTAAGGGCATTGCCTCAAAATTCCCGCCCTTTAATTGAAGCGCCCGCCCACTCAGATTTCAAATTTGGGGGGGCAACGGTTTGTCTTCCGTTTATGGAGTAGCCCTTCCCTTTGTCCTCCCCAAAATATTTGCTTCCAATAGGAGAGAGGATCTGTAGCTCAGCGTTCAATTATGGAGTTTTTGAAGCTCTTTAAGCTCGATTGTTTTCTTACAGACATTTCACTACCCTACTAGGTACCATCATCAGGGTGAGTGAGTGTGGGGTTTGTCGTCTGTTTAGATGCAGTAGCTACTCACTCATGATGTTGAGGAATGAACTTTTCTGCAAGCAGATAATCCACCTTGGAGAGCACCAAGGATTCAACCCCACAGATTGAATTCAGGTTTCATTATTCCACCATTTACAACACAGAGGTGATCAAATTTCCTTTTAATTCTTAATTTTTTAAGGAATGATCCAGTGCCATTTACTACAGGAAGTTGAGTATCTATTTTAGGTAACCAATGAAAACAAAGTCAGCCTTTCAACTCAGACAATTTACCTTTTTACATTGTCCGAATGTGTTTTAGACGGCCGGTGACTCCGATTGTATTTTTCCCGGGCTGAAAGACGGGCTTCTGATATCTAAGGAAGATGTAGAGGGAAAAAAAAAAGAAAGAAAGAATGAGAAAGAATTACTACGAATAGTCCTCACCTTACAATGGTTCATTTAGTGACCGCTCCAAGTTACAACCGCACTGAAAAAAATAACCTGCGATTTTTCACGCTTACAACCGTCGTACCCTCCCCTTGGTCACGTGATCAAAATTCAACACCCTTGGCAACTGACTCATATTTGCAACGGTTGCAACATCCCCAGGGGTCACGTGATCCCCTTCTGCGACCGTGTTTCTAACTTAATAACTGCGAGGATTCACTTAAGAACAGTGGCAACGGAGGTCGTAAAAATAAAACTTTTGTTTTATTTTTAAGCAATTTATGCCCACTTTAGACTTTTGCTTTCCTTCTCCTACGTTCTGTTTTCTCTCTTCTACCAGAATCACCAGAAATTTATGGCTTTATATATATATATTTTTAAAAAGATCCCATTACCATCCAAGTTTTTTGAAATCTGCAAATTTCAAACACAGCCATTTAGGTGTAGGAATAATTCCTCCCCTGCAAGACACGTCCTTAAGGAGAACACAACCATCCCTTGAGAAGGAAAGGCAGAGTAATGCTGTTGTGATGTCTCTCACTTACCTTTTCATCCTCCCACTGGAAAAAATTGCAGTTTTTTCTCTCTCGGCACGCAGAACAAGCGTAAAATCTTCTTGCCTTTGCTTTTCCTGGGAGAACTCTCGTAAACAAAACTGTGGGACCTAAAAAATAACCGGAAATGAGGAAGTGGAAACCATAAAATTATTGCAATTTGTTGGATGCGTAATTTATTTACTCCGCTCAGATATTTGGAATAATTCCTAATAACGTCATTTCCAAAGGAATAAGAAATAAGGGGCCTTTAAATTAGCTCCCGTTTCGGTTGGTGCTTCGGAAAGGCATTTGAGGACACACAGAACCACCAGGGTACATGGAGTCCTCGTCTTACGACCGTTCGCTTTGTTCAAAGTTAGTTACAACGGCACTGAAGAAAGTGTGACTTACAATCGTTTTTCACCCCACTGTAGCCTCCTTGTGGTCATGTGATCAAAATTGGGGTACAGGTGGTCCTCGACTTATAACAGTTCATTTAGTGACCGCAATGGAGCCCATTGTTTTGCTGGCTAAGTGAGACATTTGTTAAGTGAGTTTGTCCCCATTTTACAACCTTCCTTGTTGTTAAGTGAATCGCTGCAGGTGTTAAATGAGTAACACGGCTGAGAAGTGAATCTGGTTTCTCCCCATTGGCTTTGTTTGCCAGGTCGCAAAAGGGGATCACATGATCCCGGGACACCGCAACCGTCGTAAATGCGAGTCAGTTGCCAAGTGTCTGTAAATATAAATCACATGACCACAGGGAACACTGCAACGGTCCGTGTGAAAAAAGGGTCTCAAATCCCTCTTTTTCAGTGGCATTGTCCCTTCGAGCTGTCACTAAATGAGCTGTTGTTAAATGGAGCGCTGCCTGCAGACAATTAGAGAAAACTTATGCAATTGCAGTTGCTCTGGAAGGGCTTCCCTGAGCAGTGAGTTTTTAAATAAGGCATCAGACAAAAAGAAATCTGGGTGAGCAAGCAAAGGAAAAAACACACGTATATACACACAAACACACACACACATAGGATGCAAACTGGCCATCAAATAAAAGGAAATGTGGGGTGAGCAAGCAAAGCAACACACACACACACACAAATACGCAAACATACATACAGAGTGCAAACTGTCCATCAGATAAAAGGAAATGTGGGTGAGCAAGCAAAGCAACACACACACAAAAACACACAGTGTGCAAACTGTCCATCAAATAAAATGAAATGTGGGGTGAGCAAGCAAAGGAACAAACACACACACACACACACACAGGGTGCAAACTGTCCATCAAATTAAAGGAAATATGGGGTGAGCAAGGAAAGGAACACACAGAGACACAGACCCACACACAGACCCACAAACAAAAACAAAAAAAACCGATGCAAAGTATCCATCAAATAAAAGGAAATATGGGGTAAGCAAGCAAAAGCACACACACACACACACACACACACACAATCAAAAACAAACACAGGGTGCAAACTGTCCATCAAATAAAAAAAAAATGGGTGAGCAAGCAAAGCAACACACAACCACACACACAGACACACACACAAACTGTCCATCTTTAAGCAACCGAGGCTCCATCCCAAGCTCTCTCTTGCCTACCTCGCAGGGTTGTTGTGCAAGGGGAGAAGGGGACGGAAAGGCAACCGACCCATCCGATCCCGCCCGGGCTCGACCCTCCCAGCTCTAAGCTCACCGTGCGGGCACTCGGGCGCCGGAGTTGCGGGGGAATCGCGTCCAACCAGCGCCGTCACGCCGGCCGGCTCCGAGGCGGCCTCCATGCCGACGAAGCGCCCTTCCTCCAGGCCTCGCATAGGAAGCGCTCTTGCCTTTTCCTATCTCTAGGAAAGCCGCCCGCAGGGCTTTCGCGAACGCCTCGCCCCGCCCCTTCCGGTTTCCCCTTTGGAATCCCTAGACTTTTAAAGGGCAGAAGCCTTCGGCGAAATTGCAGGCGCTGAAAGGCGAGGCCGCGCGACCTGATTTTGAATGGGGAAAAAAGACGCGGTTCCTTTTTCAATTTCTTTGAATATCTTGCGGGTCTTGAAGGAGATGGCAGGGGCTGTTTTTTATAGGCTTGTGAGATCAGTTAAGGCTGTGTTTCTCCACCTTAGGAACTTTTTAAGACAGGGGTTCTCAACCTTGGCAACTTTAAGACTTGTGGACTTCAGCTCCCAGAATTCCCCCTGCCAGGTAGACCTCTTCAAAGTGGCTAAGATGGAGAAAGACTGAGTTAAAAGATGGATTTGCTCTTTGGTCGTGAAAACAGGGCCACGTCCGTCTTTTTCCCACTTGGCAGCTTTTGAGATGGCTGGACTTCAACTCCCAGAATCTCCTAACTAGCCAGCCAGGCCATCCCGGCTAGGGAATTCTGGGAGTCTTCAAGCGGCCAAGCTGGGGAAAAAAAAAAACACCGAGCTGCAGAAAAGGTGACTTCAGCCAGGACAAGAAGTGGGCTGCCGGTCACATTAATCCTCAAATCTATTCTGGTTTATCCGTGAATTAATGGGGGCATCTTGTAAAGAGAGAACTTTACTAGGAACTGCTTCCATCCTGCGACGATATCTGTAATACCATCAAACATCCACATCTGCCTATCCCAGGTCCTGGGTAAGGACTCGATAGGTAGACAAAAGGCCAAGTCCAGTCTGAACATCTGGTTGACTGTGCGATGATCCATAATGATGATGATGATGATGACCCAGCTCCCTTTTTTAAGCCAGTCTTTATATGCAAACTATTAGGAAATGACCTAATAATACATTGCAATCTGCAAAAAAACTCAAATTGCATGCAGGAGCAGTGCTTTTGGAGTCAGTTTTTCAATCATTTCCCAGGAAGGCGCGCTACTCTTTGATTTGCTGATCTTTTCAAAAACCTCCTCTTTGCTTTTCTGGGTAGTGTTAAAATATCAGAAAACGCAAGATTTTTTTCATTGAAACCATTCATTTTAATGATAAAACAATCGGGCTGGCTAAAAGTGTTTGTCTTGTTATACCAAGTGCTAGGAACATTGTAAGATAGCAGCATGAGAAATACTGTAACTGGGTAAAATGAACCTCATCTTACAAAAGGATTCTCTGTTCTAGATGTTTTTAAACAACAGATTAAATGTAACCGGACAATTGTCGCAGATCTGCACAGACCGTGGTCTTTATTGTTTTGAGAAAGTCAAGTCCATCCTCTTTTCTTTTTAAATAATTTGCAGGAAGTGATCAAAAAACTGAAATCAGAACAAATTTATAAACCCGCAATACAAGTAAATTTTCAATATTAAGGCTTATACATTTTTAGTAGGTCAAGTAAATTATCCCAACAGGCTACATTGGTTTAACAAACTCTGAGATATCAAGGAAACAACAATGCAAGAACGCTGAGAGTATTGCTCTGCAGTTAAAGATACAGCATTTCTGAGGAAGCTAGGCACAACTTTTAACCCAAAAGACCCCCTATTATTGACACAGACGTTTTGAGCTTCAAACCCTGAAATTTAAAACAAGCTTTACTAAATTCCTGGTAAGTGTAAAGTTACTCCGATTATTATTCTTGCAACTGATCAGCTAAAGCCAAATTCAAAGTTTAGAACTGCTGAGGAATTGCCCGACAACAAGATGATTAAAAGCATTTTTTTCTGATTTGCAAGTTTTTCATCTCCTCAAGACCAAGATATGGGTGTTAGGAAGAGGCACTGACATACCATTAAATGTCTACTTTGGTTTCAAGTTAGTGAATTTCATTGGCTTTGGTAAAAGTTTCAAAACCACAACACAATGACAAAATTGCGGCAGAAATATTATTCTAACAAAATACAGTATTTCCCCAATTCATCGCCCTGACCAAAAAAAAAAAAAAATATCACAAGACCAAAGCATACATTTATCAATACGCATCATCTCAGAAAAATAATAATAATAACTTATGTTCATTTTTGTAGTGTTTCCCTCCATCCCGTTCTTGGTCCAGAACACCAACAATTCTTGGAATATGTTACTTCTTAGCACTAAGTAAAACAATGTTAAAGGTGTCTTTTATTTCCTTCCAAAGGATATTTTTCAAGCATCAACAAAGTCATCTGTAAATGGCTCAGTTTTTGTACCCAGAAAACAAAAGAAACTGAAAAGGAATGAAAAATTGGAACCGGATTCCTTAAACGGTGGAGCCCCAAAGAAAAAGACACACGTTTGTAAATTCTTTTTTTCTTCTTTTAGTACCGATGGAGCTCAAATCTATAAAGGCAGAGAGAGGCTGTGCAATAAATTCTGCATGCAACTGTGGGGTGGAAGCACTGACCAACCCTTATTCCTTTCCCAAATTAAATAATACACAGTGGAGTGTGTGTTAACTGGAACTTAGAACTGCCTGCACTCAATGCAAATAAACTGTAAGAACTACACTATAATGACAAATTATGTTTCCTCTGGACTAGCAACATGCATTTAACCCACCTCCAAGCCCTTGAATGCAGAAGGGGTTAGTATTGGTCCTGTGTAGTAGATTATATATGACTGAAAGACAACTGTGTAATGGAGTAAAACGCCAGGCATTTCAATCCTTACATTTATAAAATTAGACTGTAATTTCTGGTATTGTAGGCAACAGAATGTGGTTGTTGTTTTTCCCCCCAATTGAGTCAAAAGTAGTCTTTGGCATCTGTAAACTTTTATTCCCGCCCGCCCCCTTTCCAAACTAAATTAACAGAAAACATTGAACCGTCTATAAAAATATACAGTTTAGGACAAGCTCGTCTCCCTGATGTAAAAAGGTTCACAATTTTAAATAAAACTATAAACTGAGTTACATTCAATATATAAAAAAACTCTCTGAGGTTTTGGCAGTTCAGCATTTTTGGAGGGGAGAGAAATCTTTACGTACTAGTGGAAGGTCTTGCTAAAGCGAAGGTCTTTACTTGTCTTTTACCAGGAGGAGAAAAAAGGCTTCCGGCTGTGAAAAGTCTGAGTAAAGGCATTGCTCAAGTGAACGATCCTTCCTTGAGTCCCCCCCTGGCTTCTCTCCACAACCACCCGAGGCATCTGGACCAGCTGGAGGGGACTTCTTCCATCCTTCAAGGCCTGAGTAAGATTAAGTATCTGCAAAGATTAAACAAGAACGATGCGGAGATAGAAAAGAGTACTTTAGCTTAGCCCTAATGGTAGCAGAAACCGTCTGTCCTAAAAAGAGATGTAGGCTATGTATCCTCTAGGGTAGGGGTCTTCAAACTTGGCCCTTTGATGACTTGTGGACTTCAACTCCCAGAATTCCTCAACCAGGCACGCGTGCCTGGCTGAGGAATTCTGGGAGTTGAAGTCCACATGTCATCAAAAGGCCAAGTCTGAAGACCCCTGTTCTAGATCACTCTTTTCTTGTCTAGGTCCTTCAGTGGTTCTCAACCTGTGGGTCGGGACCCCATTTGGGGTTGAACGACCATTTCACGGGGGTCGCCAAACAACACAGTCCACCATTTTTTCCCCCCTTTTCCTTAGCTGTGCTACTCCCTTTTATTCTATTGGCGTTTGAAAGCCAATAGAATAGACTCTCTTGAATAGAGTCTAATTCTATTGGCTTTCAAAAGCCAATAGGAATTGTCCAGGCTGTCTCTGCCCTGCTGAGCCCGCCAAAAGTCCCATTCTGCAAACGGTGCTGCACCAGTTGAGTAGTCCTCGACTTACGACCGGTTGAGTAATCCTCGACTTACGACCGGTTGGGGGTCGCAGCATTAAAAAGGTTGAGAACCACTGTTCTAGATGGCTTCTGGTTCTCCAGCATCTCCAGCTAGGTTGGGAGGCGACCATGATGCTTTGAGATGAGAGATCTGTAAGTCAGGGGTCTTCACACTTGGCCTTTTTATGACTTGAGAACTTCCAACTCGTGCCTGGCTGAGGAATTCTGGGCGTTGAAGTGATCAAAGGGCCACGTTTGAAGACCCTTGCTCTAGGGTACCATGGGCGCAAGACCGCACTCAGCGTGTGGTCCTCAATGGAACTACTTCATCAATGACCAAGATGAGGGAATAGAAAGGGAACTCATCAAATCTGCAGACCATCCCAAGCTTGTTGGAATTAGGGTGAAGGTTCGTTTCTCTGAGCTTGTGGGTTGGTTCCCAAACGCTTCGTTACCAGGCTAGGTAACATCATCAGCAGAGTGGAGGAGGTGTCGGTGTTCTGTTTGTAAGGGCTTCGGGTGGGGGTGTGTCAAGGGAGGGTCTTGTGACCTGTCACAAGGTGGGTCCTTTACAAAGAGGTTCGTTGTGGGTCCTTTACAAAGAGGTTCCTTGGGGGTGCCTGACCTGCCAAGGCAGACTTTCAAAGGAGTGTAGAAATAAGAATAAATTACACCCTCCTAATTTTAGGAAAGAATAACTTTTCTTTTCCAAAAAGAAAGAAAAAACAGAACTGGATTCTACAATTAACTAAAAAGCAACAACTATATATGATGCAAAAAAAAAAAAAAATACGAATTTAAAACACATCGCCCCTTACCTGTCCTCTCATCACAGACATTTGGTTCTCAAATGTAGCTCTGTCAAACCCTTTGTCAGTCTTTATTGGAAGAAAAATAAATTGATTTGAGAAACCTTCATAATTCAAATCAGATCCACCTATAAATAACCAGACTTAAAATAATAAGGAATTATACCAAACCGTTCAAAAAGTCTTGTGGAAAGTCCAATGAACTTTCCTCTTTTTGACATTTCACTGCATTTCCAGCTTTGAACGACCAATTACGTTACAGGGCCAATATGTCCAAATAGGCTTTATTCTTTGCCGTGCTCCTTTAAACGCTTTTGCCCAAAGTTACTTTTGAAATTACCTTAAAGAGTTCGTAAAGGTCTTCACAGAGATCCTGTACAAAATTCATGTCAGAAATACGAGGGAGTATCAAGTCTCTCGTCTCTTGAGAAAAAGGGACCTTTGCTTGTGGAAGCCAAGCCCAGTGGAATGGATCTGAGAGGGGGGGAAGAGATAAAAAGAGGGAGGTGAATAGAATAGAATAGAATAGAATAGAATAGAATAGAATAGAATAGAATAGAATAGAATAGAATAGAATAGAATAGAATAGAATAGAATAGAATAGAATAGAATAGAATATGGAATGAATGGAATGAATAGAATAGAATAGAAAGAATAGAATAGAATAGAATAGAATAGAATAGGAATAGAATAGAATAGAATAGAATAGAATAGAATAGAATAGAATAATAGAATAGAATAGAATGGAATGGAATGAGGAATAGAATAGAATAGAATAGAATAGAATAGAAATAGAATAGAATAGAATAGATAGAATAGAATAGAATAGAATAGAATAGAATATGGAATGGAATGGAATGGAATAAATAGAATAGAATAGAATAGAATAGAAGAATAGAATAGAATAGAATAGAATAGAATAGAATAGAATAGAATAGAAAAGAATAATGGAGAATAGAATAGAATAGAATAGAATAGAATAGAATAGAATAGAATAGAATAGAATATGGAATAGAATAGAATAGAATAGAATAGAATATGGAATGGAATGGAATAGAATAGAATAGAATAGAATAGAATAGAATAGAATAGAATAGAATAGAATAGAATAGAATAGAATAGAATAGAAAATAATAGAAAATAATAGAATAGAGAATAGAAAATAGAATAGAATAGAATAGAATATGGAATAGAAATAGAAATAGAATAGAATAGAATAGAATATGGAATAGAAAATAGACTAGAATAGAATATAGAATAGAACAGAAATAGAATAGAATAGAATAGAATAGAATAGAATAGAATAGAATAGAATAGAATAGAATAGAATAGAATGGAATAGAATAGAATGGAATAGAATATGGAATGGAATAGAATAGTGAAGAAGAATAGAGTAGAGTAGAGTAGAGTAGAGTAAAGTAGAGTAGAGTAGAGTAGAACAGAGCAAGGAATAGAATAGAATAGAATAGAATAGAATAGAATAGAATAGAATAGAATAGAATATGGAATGGAATGGAATAGAATAGAATAGAAGTTGGAAGGGACCCTGGAGGTCATCTAGTCCAGCCCCCTGCTCAAGCAGAAGAACCTACACCATCTCAAGACAGGTGATTGTCTAGTCTGAAGGGAAGCCTTTCCAAATAAGCAGGCCGAGTGGAACTTTTCAGGTGTAACGCTCAATTAACCGACTTAGGACAAGCAGCTTCCTTATGCACGTAATCCTGGATTCATGACCACAACTGGAAGTGTAATCTTGGTCACTGAGTGAAGTGACTACTTCGGTCAATGACCACAATCCCGGCACGTATGCCAGCCTTTTGTTTGTTAGATAATATTATTTATTATTTTGTATATTAGATTTTTAGCACACGAGGCGTGGCGGCGCAGTGGTTAGAATGCAGTAATGCAGGCTAACTCTGCCGACTGCCAGGGATTCGATCCTGACCGGCTCAAGATTGACTCAGCCTTCCGTCCTTCCGAGGTCGGTAAAATGAGGACCCAGATTGTTGGGGGGCAAAGATGCTGACTCTGCAAACTACTTAGAGAGGGCCGTAGACACTGTGAAGTGGTATGTAAGTCTAAGGGCTATCGCTATCCGAAGTTTTTTTTACTTTATATGTAATTCAAGCTGGCAAACATATATATTATAGTTTTTTCTCCTCTTCTTTCTCCCCACAACAATCACCCAGTGAGGTGGTTTGAGTGAGAAAGAGTGACTCAAAGTCACCAACCTGGCTATCATGCCTAAGGCAGGACTAGAACTCACAATTTTCTGGTTTCTAGGCCAGCACCTTAACTTCACGCTATTGTTCATCTCTAGATATAATGAAATCTACCAATCACAATCCTTGCAATCTCGTGCATTCTTCTCTAGAAAAATCCCAAAACTCACACGCTCTCCACTCATCGGGATGTTTGAAAGGGAAAGCAAGGCCGTTATCAATGGCTGCAATCTTAATAATGGGCTCCTTTTCATCAATCCACTGGATCTCCTATTGGAAAGCAATTTAAACACAAATATAGAAGTAATCAAGGCGTACCCCTTTAACACAAACAAAAAAACAAAAACTAATATTTGAACAGAATATTAAGCCTGCACAGCATATGCCATGCAATTCTTTTCCATTTACAATTTGTCGATAATGTAGCACAGTGGTTCTCAACCTGTGGGTCGGGACCCCATTTGGGGTCGAATGACCATTTCACGGGGGTCGCCAAACAACGCAGTCCGCCATTTTTTTCCCCCTTTTCCTTAGCTGTGCTACTCCCTTTTATTCTATTGGCTTTTGAAAGCCAATAGAATAGACTCTCTTGAATAGAGTCTAATTCTATTGGCTTTCAAAAGCCAATAGGAATTGTCCAGGCTGTCTCTGCCCTGCTGAGGCCACCAAAAGTCCCACTCTGCAAACGGTGCTGCACCAGTTGAGTAGTCCTCGACTTACGACCGGTTGAGTAGTCCTCCACTTACGACTGGTTGGGGGTCACGGCATTAAAAAGGTTGAGAACCACTGATCTAGCCCGAGTGTATAAAATTGATAATTGAGGAAGCATCCCACATTATTTAATTCCGTCTTTTTGCATAAGAACACGGGATGAGAAAAAATTCTTTATAAAATCCACAAGTCAACCTGAACACAAATCACACCAATTCTTGATCATACAGTATCCCTGTGATCGAAACAGAAGACGTTTTGTCCTACCTTCTCAGGAAGATCCGTCCCATCGCTCTGTTTTTCATACTTGACTAACCAGTTATCGTTGCCTCTGTCTGCAAAGAAATTAGGGAGAATCACAATTAAATGAAATGCAAGGGTGCGGCAATAAAATCTGTCACAGTAATGTAATACAGTAGAGTTCAGCTTGTAATATTTAAAGAGCTGGACCTGTTATTTTGAACAAATTGTAGGAGGAGTACAACTCTGGAGGCGTCACGCCTTGAACCACAAGCTATTCTATAGTCTCCTTCAGAGATCTTCTGCCTTTTGGGGCGGATGGCATTTTGGTAAGCATATTATGGGTATTCTCAAAAATAGCTGCTGTGTTGGGCAGGGATAATCACAGCACACCCATCCCTCCGAAGGCAAGCTACTTAAACAGAACCCACAAGGTCATTTTTCTAGCCCGTTTTCCTCTGTTTGAATCTGACAAGAATTCAAGGATAATGTCGTAACCACTCACGAAAAGTTGAAGGGAAAAAGAAAAAAAACCAAAACGATTACACACCAGTATTTCTGATAACATAATCAAGCACAACCAGTTTTTCAAACTCTGACTGGAACTGTTTCCTTGTGTTCTCCGGCAGGGGGTCGGTTTCGAATTTCCTGAGCCAATGGTCGGCCTCTTTGTACCCTTCCACGAAGAGCTGAAAGGAGCCAACCTGTGGGTTGAGAGAAACCCTGCGTTGGTGAAACGGACCTGAACTCGTAGAGCATTCAAAGTGCTATTTATATGGGAAAGCCAATAAAAATACTACAGCAAACTGCCCTTCTTAAGTGCAGACAAAGAGTTAGTGGGAGACTAGTATAACTATTTCAAGCTCTTTAGCTCTCATCAGCTAGTCACACTCCCTGACTAGCTGATGAAAGGTAAAGAGCTTGAAATAGCTATACTAGTCTTCCACTAACTCTGTCAGCCACAAAAATTTTGAATTTACACTGTTGACAGTATGTGACGTCTGCCTGCAAAACATGCTCTTAGATTGGAGCGAAATGCAGAACAGACTGGGTAGACTGGGTGCTCTAGCCAAAACACACATGTACATACACACACACACACACACACACACACACACGTATGTATGTATGTAGGTCTTTGGTTATTCGGGTTTTCTCCCGCGTCAAATTGGAAGTGTCTTGGCGATGTTTCAACGAAGTCTCATTCGTCATCTTCAGGCTGGTGTCTTCGGCTTCGTGCTTCGAGGAGCACAAAGCCGAAAACACCAGCCTGAAGATGACGAATGAGACTTCGTCGAAACGTCGCCAAGACACTTCCAATTTGACGCGGGAGAAAACCCGAACAACCAAAGACCTACATACAAACACCCGCGAAAACCTCAGAAAACAAATATGTATGTATATATATGTGAATATGTATGTATGTATGTATAAATAAATAAATAAAACATTTATTGGGAAGGAAGATATCATTTTTAAGTATCAAAACTGCAGCTGGCTCGAGAATGCCTTTCAAAAAAGTATTTTTAATCTGAAACTGCCATTCAAGAATCAAAGGCCTTGAGGTGGGAAAAAAAATGACATCCTGATTTTGGGTTTTATGGATCAGACTGATTTGTCGATGGAGAAATGGCCAGGGCGTGCTACTCTAGAAATGTCAAAAGTTGAGATTTGGTTTTAAGGTCTGATTTTACTGCAACAGAGAGTCGGAAATCAATGCCTTTTGTTTCTCCCCCCCCCCACACACACACTTTCTTCACACCTTTTTTGTTTTCCCCTTTTCTACTATTTGCTTTTGTATTTTCGCATTTTATGTTATAAATGAATAAAACTAATTTTTAAAAAAAGAAAAGAATCAAAGGTCTCAAAGTCCTCTGATGCATCGGGAAGTAGCTCCGGGGCTTTTAACGAACGGGACTGAGTTTTGTCTGTGTCTTCTTTTCTTCAGTTAAAAAAAATAAAAAATAAATTCTACTGAGGAAATAACTTCACCGTACCTCGACGGGGTAAACAAACCTTTTCCGTCTTTGGCGTTGCGTCGGAATTTAAACTTCTCCTTATTCTTTATACTTTTATTGCTTACAAATTACCCCGGAAGAGGAATAGAAGGAAACAAAAACACACACACAGACACCCACCCACCAATACAACTGAAGCGGGTAAACGTTTTCGGGACGGCTGAGGAAAATTTACCTTAGGAGGTAGTCCAATTCGGTGAAACTTTTTGCCGACTTTGGGCACTTTTTCCAACGCGTATTTCTTGCCCCTGGATTTGGCACGATCGATGGCACTGTAGTTGAACGTCTCGCTGACAAAGCCGACCACCTGAGAACACGGAATAATTTGACGTTTCAATTTGACATTTTCATTCTGACACTGTCCTCACCACACCCACCTCTTTATCAAGCTACCCAGGTGGTCCTCAGCTTACAGCAGTTCGTTTAGTGACTGCCCAAAATCACAACGGCACTAGAAAAAAAAAACCTGACTTCAGACCGTTTTTCACGCAGCATCTCCGCAGTCACGCAACCGGGCACTGGGCGACCGACTCACACTTATGACCGTCGCAGTGTCTCCTGGGGGAGGTCACGTGATCCTCTTTTGCGACCTTCTGACAAGCAAAGTCGGTGTGGAATCCGGATTCACTTCACAACCGTGTTGCTAACTTAATCACTGCAATGATTTATTTAGCAACCGTGGCAGGAAATGTCGTAAAATGGGGCAAAACTCCCTTAACCAATGTCCCACTTAGCAACGGAAATTTGGGGGCTCAATTGTGGTCGTAAGTTGAGGACTCCCGGCATTTTGTCTTTGTCCCTTCTAGCAATAAACGAAGATCAAAACGTTCATTTCCCTCCCTCCCATCTGAGGCTCAGAGAACGGAGTGGCGATTGCATTTGAGCTGCTTCTTCTATAGTTGCTCGCTTCACATTCCAGCTGATATTTTTGATTAGGCCAGTGTCAACACTGATAACATTGGATGATCTTGCTTTGACAACATATGAAGTTGCAGCCTTTTTCTTTCTTATGCTTTACTCTCAAGAATTAGATGATGCTGGGGGAGGAGGCGGAATGTGACCTAACCATGTTGTACTAGTGTGTGAATTCAGAACTTGATATAAGAGATGATAAGGATTGGCAAGGCTGGAGAGCTGGAGGGGAAGCCTGCATTTCAGACTAATTGGGGAATGTGATTTATGACTGTTAATTGGAGGAGGGAATTGTGCTTTGATACTATGGGCTCAGGGGAGGGGAATCCAGTTTTTGGCTTTGAATATGTTAGTGCCGATGCTATGCTACTCAAATAAAGATTCTTTAAGGTAAACAACGTCTCCAAGTTCTTTGAAGAGTTTCACTTGTCAGAACCATGACAGCCAGTTTCGGAGAATTACAACCACAAAATTGCACGTTGTCAAAATTTGCAAGCTGCTGCAAAAAAGGAGGAGTGAAAAAAGTGTACGGTAAGGGGGGGGGGGAAGTGAGTGGCTGGATTCACCCTGAAATCTGCATGGTTAAGAGCGATGTTGGCAGCTCTGTATCTACAACATAAAAGGCTCACAAAATTACAATGGGACCCACAGGCCAAAAAAGGTAAGACCCGGTTACCTGAGCTAATTTTTTTTGCCTTATGCTGAAACTCCCACTGAGACCAGCGTCCTAGCTAGTCAACTCCAAAAGTCAAAATTTATTTCCCCAGTCTGAAAAATTAGTTTAAAAGGTTTTATTTGACTTTTTTTTTATTTACAGGTTTAACCAGAAATACTTTTCTTCGTGCTCAACCGATGTTGCAAACCACTCTTACCTTTGTTTTGGGTACCACTCCTAATCCTAGTTTACTGTCCACCAGATAGGCACCAGCTTCAGAGAGATATCCCTGATTAGGAACAAGACAGCCCCTGCCAAAACAGCAAGGGCAACAGAGTTTGTGGAAATATTTGGTCCATTTTGGATTTAGGTGACCGTAAGGCTCTTCGGATTTGGGCTTAAATACTCCGATAGTTTTCTAAAGGAGAAAAAGAAAGGGAGAATGAATAAGGGATCGTGAGGAATCAGAAAAGTGTGTGCTGGTTTGCTGGTGATATATAAAAATATAGAGACCCTGAAGTCACAGACGAGCCTCCAAGTCTCTAAAACAAGGGTCTTCAAACTTGGCCCTTTTATGACTTGTGGACTTCAACTCCCAGAATTCCTCAGCCAGGTACGCGTGCCTGGCTGAGGAATTCTGGGAGTTGAAGTCTACAAGTCATCAAAGGACCAAGTTTGAAGACCCCTGTTCTAGATCACCCTTTTCTTGTCTAGGTCTTTCTAGATGGCTTCTGGTTCTCTAGCATCTCCAGCTAGGTTGGACAGCGACCATGATGGTTTAAGATGAGAGATCTGTAATCCGGGGGTCTTCCAACGTGGCCCTTTTATGACTTGAGAACTTCAACTCATGCCTGGCTGAGGAATTCTGGGAGTTGAAGTCCACAAGTCATAAAAGGGCCAAGTCTGAAGACGCTTGCTTTAAAAGAAGGCAAAAGGACCAGCTGTCTGTAAGGAGTATAAATCCTTCCATACTCCACCCTCCAATCAGAGCTGAAGAAGCTTCTGGAGTGAAAAGCGAAACATCTTCAAAGGAAAAACGAGAAAGTCCAGTTGCCTCCTGAAAAAGCACTTTTGGGACAATCACGCCCCGGATGACTGAGAATCTCCATACACCTAAATAGAAATAGTTTACAAAAACACATATTTTTAATTTTTTTCGTCCCGCTTTTGTTAGTTTTATAAATCACTCAAGGTAGCAAACATAGCTAATTCTCCTTTCTCCTAACAACAGTAACTCTGTGAGGTGAGTTGGATGGGCCCCGAAGTCAGCCAGTTGGCTTTCCTGCCTAAGGTGGGACTAGAACTCAGCTCCTCAATTCCAACTAGACAAAATTAGACAAAACTAGACAAAGAAGGTAAGCTTTCGTGGCCTAGGGTTGTCTAAAGCTACCTGGTTATCTAAAATTCAATGTCCCTCGGCTCACAGCGGTTCATTTAGTGACTGTTCCAAGTTACAACGGCACGGAGAAAAAAGCGATTTCACGCTTACGACCACGTCGGCATCCCCAAGGTCACACGATCAAAATTCAGACACTCGGCAACTGACTTGTATTTATGTCAGTTGCGCGGTCCTGGAGTCCTGTGATCACTGTTTGTGACCTTAGGGACAAGCAGAATCAATGGGGAAGCTGGGTTCACTTAAAAACTGTGTAACTAACTGAACAACTGCAGTGATTCACTACACAAATGGGGCGGGAAAGTTCGTAATATGGGGGCCAAACCCACTTAAACAATGTCTCCACTTTGCAACAGAAAATCTGGGGCTCAGTTGTGGTTGAAAGTTGAGGACTACCTGTAATGTTAAGTGAATGCAATCCACCTGCTAAGGGACACAGCTGTTCTACATCTATGATCTAAAATGCTATATAGGTAAAGTAGAAGAACTCCATAACGCAGAAGCTATATTACTGGCTTTTATCAAAGGCCCCCAATGGATCCCACAAAAGGCCTCCTACAAATGCAGTATTTTCTCAACTCAAATCCACAGAGATTTTTTTTTTTTAAAGCTGAATAGAGAGCACAGGGAAGCATCACAATATTTGCCCCGAGATGTTAGAGTGATATAAATTCAAAATTCGTTACAGGTCAAAAGATAAAGGCTTCATATTTTTACAACTCCAACTTCCCCCAAAAAATACATCCTGGTATTTAAACCATAATCACTGCAAAGCATATTTTATTTATACAATGTCCATTAGCAGAATAAATAGCATTCCAAAAATAAATCAAAAATTCAATACGATGCTGTTGTTGTTTGGGACTGCCATTGATTTCGGATGGAAAGAAAAGAGGACAACGTAGCTACTGTTAAGTCCTGACTTTGAACGTGAAGGAGCAATAAAATGAGGAATTTGACTCTCACAGCAATGAGATTTAAAAGACCAGACACAGAATAAACCATCAGTTACCTCTGACAGATTTTTACTTGCCCTTCAACGCAACGTTCTCCAAATATACTATAAGATTGACTCTAAGGTGTCCCTAAAGTTAAGATGTATGTTTTGCCGCATGAAAAGCAGGCAGATAAAATAAAAACCAAATGGGCTGAAGTTGAGAGACTACAATAAACAAGAGCTGGTTTTACTAGTTATGCTGTTGCAGCATTAAGCTTTTAGTGCTAATTGAGGGCTGATGTGAAGCCAGAAGCCAAGCCTGTATAAAATTGTGAAGCAATTTGCCTTCTTTAATAATAAACGGCCTTGAGAAGGCAGAGACATTGATCTGAAATTTAAAATGGGGTTGCATGGATACAAGGGCAACCCCTGAATGATCTGAAATTAGAGACAAGGCCCAGTTGCAAATAAAATGATTTCATTAGCAACTGGCTTTGGTGCAGACAGCTGCAACACTTGTTTTCATGCCAGAATTCATTATAGACAAGTATTTCAAGAACTAGTATACTAAAAAAAACGTATTGTATTTAATATTAATGTCCTTTCATCCAAATTTCTTACGCCACCTAACATTTGTTGTGTGTCATGTCCGTTTCAAGTATTTATGAACTTTACTTTCCTCGTCCATAAAGCAATCTTACTTCCTTAATTTTATTTGATTCAGAAATTGTTGAGCAAGGCAAAGGCTCCTCTAACGCAAGGAAGTGATACTCAGTTATATTCTTTCAACACAAAAGATAGTTATGACCCACATTTTACTATTTGGTAGGGTCTGTAGGTAGATCCAGAACAAAATTCGGTTTCCCAGGAAAAAGATACAAGATATAAGGCTCTTATGGATTGGTGTCTTTTAAGTCAGGGGTTCCCCAATCCCTGGTCTGTGGCCCGGCATGCCAGCAACTGGTCCACACAAACAAGCAAAGCCCCATCCATGGGATGCAGGCAGCACATAAAACCACGCACTCTCCAGTCCATGAAAAAACCACTCTCCACGGAAGCGGTCCCTGGTGGCCAAGAGACTGGGGACCTCTGCTTTAAGCAACCTGCAATCATTTCAGGTTACGAAGGTTTTTGCAGTTAGATCACCAAAGTACTAAAAACCATGAAACCTGGCCTTTCAGCTTTTTCTAACCCAACTTCTTTTAGATAATATCTCCCAAATATTCAACTCAGATACTTTGAGGGTTGGAAATGAACAGGAATTAGGAATCCAACGTTGGAAAATGCGTGTGCGCGCACACACTTATAAATTGTGCCATCAAGCTGGCGTCGAGGCTTAGCAACCACCTATTCATACAGATTACAAACAGGAGCTTTTGAAGCACACCGTGGAAAATAAATCGTCAAAGACTGTTAAAGAATTCTGACCCTTTATTTATAAAGCAAGAGCACTGCTATAGGACAAAAATGAGACTTTTCTTCAAATTGGGTCATGACATTTTTCCGTATAGTATGAACTGAAGAAATGTTGACCCAGTAAGCTCCAGCTCCCAGTTTTGCTGGCTGAGGAATTCTGAGAATTGAAGTCCACAAATTTTAAAGTTGCCAAGGTTAAGAACCCCTGATATATACTCAACAAAAAAGGGTATATTAGTTAACCATGACTAAAAAGTCCAGGTCTGTGTTGTTTAGCATTGTGCATAAAGTAGGACTGTGTATTGGTTATTTTCCGAATAGAAAATCATAAGCCAAATACAAACTGCTGGCTACTGCATATTGGAAGAGAATGAAGGAGGGGATACTCAAATGTACACAATGTTCAGCAAACCACGGATTTGCTAGCAAGATACAAGTCCTGCTAGCAAGATACAGTGGTAGGAAGTGCCGCAGTTCTGATAAGCCGCAAGGAAAGGATCTCTGGTATCCCTGCCTGCAGCTATGCACGCTCAACCTTGACCGTGGCAAATGTTTTCACACAAGACCCTTCAAGCATTTTATCACACAATCCCACAAAGAAACCACAGCGCAACTCACTCTCTTAGAGTCTTTGACAAAATAGCTTCCGCTGGAGCCTTGGGAGATTCTTTCTGGAAAGACTTCGCTTTCAATGGCTTGTTCAGCTTGCTGCATGATTTCGGCAAATTCAGGGTCGTCCATGGAGAAGTTCATCTCTGCGATGCTTCTGACATGTCCTGTGTGGATTGTGACAATCATTTCAAAGGAGTGCCGGCAGCTGATTATTTTTTTCTCTTCCTCAACTCCATTTACCCCCTCCCTCTTCATCTCTCAATATACACTCAACCCTGGCTCACTCTCCAGTAAGACAAAAATTACGGGGGCACAATAGAAATGCCAAAATAATATGCACTGCAGTGGCTACGTTTGCATAATGCAGCCACGTGGTTGGCAATTTGACTCTTACAACTATCCAAATTACTGAGGGTGGTTCACACAGGCACGAGGACAGCGTGCGGAATGAATCATATCAGACCCAGATAGAACACTGTTCATACAGGACGTCTCCATCCCCTGCTTATCTCCTAAGAGACGGAATACGGCCCAGCGATTCGGTTTAAGTCTTCAAAAAAACAGACCTGAGGATTTCCCTGGAAACAAACCAAGGGCTCCAGTTCGTCTTGTACACTACTCTACTTGACTCTCCCCAATTCTCCCTAATTCCTACAATAACAGTGCCAACAAAGGAACAGCAGATAAAAGATTCCCTAAGCATGCATCCAGATTCAAAGAGTTGCCCCTGTTTAAACCACAACAAAAAAAGTTTAATTCAGCCACACTGCTCTCCCATCTTCAGCCGCAAAGAGCAAGGATATGGCCCCAAAGCAGCTGCGTCCCACCCCTAAATGAAACGCTTGAGGATCAGCTAGCTGGCTTCGTGCATAAGCTGCAACTGGAACTCTCAAGTTTCTAGCCCTGATGCCTAAGTAGTCCTCTCCTTCAAGTCAGTGCTGACTCCAGGCAACTGGCTGGATTACTCCCTGCAATTTTCCAAGCAACATACAGGTAACCCTCGACTTACGGCCACAACGGGGCCCAAACTTTTATGTTGCTAAGTGAAACCTTTGTTGAGTTTTTGCCCCACTTTACGACCTACCTTGCCAACGTTAAGCCAGTAACACGGTTGTTAAAGAGGATCTGATTTCTCCCTTCACGCTGCCTGTGAATCACGTGACCCCGGGGCACTGCAACCCGTCATAAATATGAGCCAGTTGCCAAAGCGTCCGCATTTTGGATCACGTGACCCTGGGGATGTTGCAACAGTTGTTAAGTGTGAAATACGGCCCCAAGTCCCTTTTCCCAGTGCTATGGTAACTTGGAACGGTCGCTAAACGAGCCGCTGTTAAGTTGGGAACTACATTTTGATCACATGACCAGAAGAACGCTATAATGGTTGTTAAGTGTGAAACGCGGCCCTAAGTCCCTTTTTTCAGCGCCGTGGCAGCTTCAAACAGTCGCTAAATGAACTGTTTGTAAGTTGAGGACTACCAAATTTTGATCAGAATACCGCAACAGTCGTTAAGTGTGAAAGACGGTCCTAGGTCCATTTTTTTCAGGGCCAAACGGTCGCTAAAAGAACTGTTGTTAAGTCAGGGACTACCAAATTTTGATCACGTGACCAGAAGACTGTTACAACGGTCGTTAAGTGTGAAATATGGTCCTAAGTCCCTTTTTTCAGTGTTGTGGCAGCTTCGGTCATTAAACGAGCGGTTCTTGAGGACTACCTGTATCCAAAATTTTGATTACACGACAAGAATGCCGCAACGGTTGCAAGTGTGAAAAACAGCCTTAAGTCTGTTATTTTGGCACCGTGACTGTTTCCAACAGTCACTAAACGAGCCGTTTGTAAGTAAAGGACTATCAAATTTTGATCAGAATGCTGCAACGGTCGTTAAGTGAGAAAAACTGTCCTAGGTCACACGACAGGAATGCTGCAATGGTCGTAAGTGTGAAAAACAGCCCTAAGTCCTTTTTTGGTCGCTAAACAAGCCGTTTGTAAAGTGGAGGACTACCAAACTTTGATCAGACTGCCGCGATGGTCGTTAAGTGTGACAAACGGTCCTAAGTCCCTTTTTCAGGGCCAAGCGGTCACTAAGCGAACTGTTGTAAGTCGGGGACTGCCTGTATTTACCCTCCCCCCAGACCCAAGCAGAAGCGACAGCAGGGGCATCCCACGTGTGGCCACGCCCCCTCCGGCCACTGCGCAGGCGCGCTCCGTTTCCTCACGCGTCAACAACACCGCAGCTTACCCGTCCCCTCACGGGCCCGCCGACCCCAGCCCGCCGCCGCCGCCGCGCCCAGGAGCGGCTCCGACTCCTCGCCGTCGCCCTCCTCCTCCTCGCTGGCCGCCTCGGATGGGTCCCGGCCGGCGGGGAGGCGGACGGCGCCGCCGGGAGCGGTCCGCGCCGCCCGTCCGGCAAGCAGCACGGCCGGCGGCTCCGTCTCCAGCTGCAGGAGCTCCTCGTCGGCCTCTTCCTCTTCCTCCGCCTCCGGGGAGAGCACCGGCCGGGCCTCCGCCATGGGGGCTCGCGGAGCCAACGGCCGCTCTCGGCCTCAGGCGCCGGGCGGCTGAGGGCGCATGCGCGCTGCTCGGGAGAGAGAGAGAGAGAGGGAGGGGGCGGGCGATCTCGCGCCTGCGCGGAGCGAGACCCTGGCGCGTGGGACGTCAGGGCGCTGGGCGGGGCCGAGGAGAGGGCGGGGCTTTACCTCCAGCTCCACCCTTCACCTTTTTCACCTGCCATCTATATTACAAAGGGAAGGGAATGCGGTTCAGCGCTGTCGTGGGAATGCGCTGCAGATGCGTGGCGTGTTAGAAAGTGAGAGTTTTTTTTTTCTTTCTTCAATACATTGAGGGGTCCATCCTGATTTGTTTCTGAGGGGAAAATGCTGGGTCTGTATAAGAACAGGGGTCTTCAAACTTGGCCCTTTTTATGACTTGTGGACTTCAACTCCCAGAATTCCTCAGCCAGGCAATGTCTGGCTGAGGAATTCTGGGAGCTGATGTCCACAAGTCATAAAAGGGCCAAGTTTGAAGACCCCTGGTATAAGAAAGACAGATAGGACATTAGGGGGGGTAGTAGTAGTAGTAATAGTAATAATAATAATAAAGTTAGAAGGGACCTTGGAGATCATCTAGTCCAACCCCGTACTAAGGCAGGAAACCCTATGCCATTTCAGACAAATTCTTGTCCAGTCTCTTCTTAAAAACTTCCAGCGTTGGAGCATACACAGCTTCTGGTGGCAGGCTGTTCCACTGGTTAATTGTTCTTAACTGTCAGGAAGTTTCTCCTTAATTCCAGGTTGCTTATATCTCCTTGGTCAGTTTCCATCCGTTGCTTCTTTCAGGTAGTCCTCAACTTATGCGCATAATGGAGCCCAAAATATCTGTTGTTAAGCGAGACACTTGTGAAGGGACCTCTCCTGCCACAGTTGTTAAGGGAATCACCGCCCTTGATCAGTTAGTAAGCTGATAATTAAGGGAAACTGGCTTCCCCTTGACTTTGCTTGTCGGGGGGGGGGGTCTCAACGGGGGGAGATCACATGACCTTATGACCCGGCCACGGACATAACTACGAGCCAGTTGCCCAGTGCCTGAATTTTGATCACGTGACCACGGGGACGCTACGAAGGTTGTAACTGAACAATGGTCATAAGTGATTTTTTTCAGTGCCATTGAGGTTGCTAAATGAACAGCCGTAAGCCGAGGACTTCCCATAATGCCTTTTGTAGGTACATCCTTCAATCTAAAGGACAGGAAAGCATTGCAGCCATCTTTCCCATCATGAATAAGGAAATCCTTCAGCAGTCCTTGAGTAAATGCACCAATGCACGAACGCCTTTCCTCTTTCCCAATCGCTACGCTGAGTAAGTCAACGTTGAAAATGTCACAGAGAGAAGGGTGGGGGGTTCGACCTGTCTGAAACGGTCTAGGCCAGAGTCTCATGCTTGAGCAGGGGGTTCGTCTAGAAGACCTTCAAGGTCCCTAACCAGTGGAATAGCTTGCCTCCAGAAGTTGTGTATGCTCCATCGCTCAAGGTTTTCAAGAAGAGATTGGACAGCCATGTGTCTGGAATGGTACTATAGGGTCTCCTGCTTGAGCAGGGGGCTGGACTAGAAGACCTCCAAGGTCCCAACTCTATTAATATATGTTCTAATGACTAGGGGTGAAAGGATAGCAGTGTTCCAATATCTATGGGGCTGCCACTAAGAGGAAGGGGTCAACCTATTCTCCAAAGCACCAGAGGGCAGGACAAGAAACAACAGATGGAAACTAGTCAAGGAGAGAAGCAACCTGGAATTAAGGAGAAACTTCTTAATTAACCAGTGGAACAGCTTTCTACCAGAAGTTGTGGGTGCTCCAACACTGGAGGTTTTTAAGAAGAGACTGGACAGCCAATTGCCTGAAATAGTATAGGGTTTCCTGTCCACCCGTCACATTCCGGCTCTCCGATGGTCCTGCATGAGCTCCTACGCCTTCCACATCAAGCTGAGCAGGATAAAATGAGGGCCATTAAAACGGGTTGTTAGTCCCAGAGAAATGGTCCCAAGCTTGAAATGGTTTGACCACGGAAGGGCACTTCCTGAGTTTCCTGCAGATCTTGTTTCAAGGCGGGATATTTTGCAATGAAACATTTGGCACACCCCTTAGTAGTCCTTTGGAAAGAAAACTCTGGGATTCAACTCTGCCCAACTGCATTTTCTTAAAGGGCCCAACCTGAATTAAAAGCATACTTGCAAATATTCTCCCACTTTTAAGTTAAGAGACTCTGCTGATAAATAAAAACAACATAAAAATCCTAGATTTCATTAATTTTATATTATTAACATAGATTTATACCGTTGATGCGTTGATTTCAAAGGCATTTAAGGCTCACGTTTTCTTTTTACGTGTGTGGTTATATCAGGTGCGGCTCCAACATCCCCTGGCAGTCGGAGAAGTAGCATTTTGCCATGTATAATGGAGACAAATTTTTGTGTGATAAATTGGCGCCCTCTTCCGTTTGTAAAATATAGAAACTTCCGCGCTTTTTATCAGCCTTCATTTTTAATTCACCAGCGTACAGCTAGCAATAGACAGGATTATATACCAAAGTAGAATCAAGGTGGGGGAAAAAAATTCCTATACATTTGTTAAAAGATTTACAATCATTTATATTACCTTTCTGCGTCAACTCAAAAGATGGGCATTTCCTAAGCGATGGTATTAGAATGAGAAGTAGACTATGATTGTGAAATAAACTAAGAATTTATCTGAATAAATAGTAAGTGTATTTTAGACATGATAACTATTTTGTAATGAACGAAGGGAACCGTGGGTTATCTGAAACCTAAATACTATGGACATTAAGCCAACTGGAATACTGTAAGTGAAATCAGATAAAAGTTAAAAACAGGATCTGGAGACATATAAGTCAAAAGTTGTTGATAAATGTTTTAAACGATTGAGTTATAACTAGCAATGTATTAATTTGAATTTGGTATAATAACTAAGGGAAACAGTGAGGAAATTTTAACCACCATGTTGCTCCCTCAATACCCGAAGCTTTTTAAAAACGGAAAATTAATAAAACTTGTTTTTAAAAAAAAAGATGGGCACTTCCAATCAAAGTCCATGTTTTTATCAATTCGGGGGGGGGGGGCAGATACTGTATAGCAATAGCACTTAAGACTTAAATGTGCAGCGTCACAGTGATTTACAGCCCTCTCTAAGCGGTTTACAGAGTCAGCCTGTTGGCCCCAACAATCTGGGTGTCAATACGGCCAACATCGGATGTTCTTGCTTTAACAACAAATGGGAATGCAGCCATTTTCTCTACTGCTTTTAGAATTAGTTGCTGCTGGGAGGGGGAATAGGGATGAGAGCCCAGCTAGTCATAACAATAATAACTCAACCGTGGGAACCCAAGGTCATTGGGCCCAGAGCTGATAGTGTTTTGGCTGGGCTGGGGAGCTGGGGAGAAAGCCTTGGCTTCAAGCTAATTGGGGTGTGTGATTTATGATTGTTTATTGGAGAAGGGAATTGCACTTTGTTACTTTGTTCCCAGGGGAGGGGAATTTAGTGTCTGGTTTCGACTATGTAATAACGATACTTTGTCTCTCAAATAAAAGATTCTTGAAGGTAAACAATGCCTCCATGTTCTTTCGAAGAGTTTCACCTATCGGAACCAGGACATCAGATCCTCATTTTAACAACCTAGGAAGGACGGAAGGCTGAGTCAACCATGAGCCAGTCAGGACAGAACTGCTGGCTGTAGGCAGAGTTTGCCTGCAATATTGCATTCTAACCATTGTACAGGGAAGGAAGGAAGGAAGGAAGGAAGGAAGGAAGGAAGGAAGGAAGGAAGGAAGGAAGGAAGGAAGGAAGGAAGGAAGGAAGGAAGATAGCAATAGCCCTTAAACTAGGGGTAGGCAACTTTGGCCCCTTCATGACCCGTGGACTTCAACTCCCAGAATTCCTGAGTCAGCATGGCTCAGCTTGGAAACCTCTCCCTTTCCCCTCAGCATGGCTGGCTCAGGAATTCTGGGAGTTGAAGTCCACGAGTCATAAAAGAGCCAAGGTTGCCTACCCCTGCCTTATACACTGCTTCACAGTGATTGACAGTCCTCTTTAAGCGCTTTACAGTCAGCCTATGGCCCCCAACAATCTGGGTGCACTATAGAGCAACCAATACTTTTTGTCATATTGTATTAAACAATGGAACTCATCGAGACTGGATACCCAGCCTGTAAATCATCCCCACTGGGTTCCAGCTTATATGCCTTACAAAAGGCAAGGTGAAGCCCCTAATTTTTTTAATTTTTTTGCTTTCTTTTCCCTCCACGGTGATGTTTAGCCCAAGAAAGAGCTCTGTGACCTTCCAAAGGTTGCAGCTTCTGTTGAGATTTGGAAAGAAACAGGTACAGCCACAGCGTGAATTTGCAGATATTTTGGATCAAGTCAATCAGAGTATTCAGAGCAGCCCGGCTGTATGGGGACGGAGGGCAAATGACAGGTGGGTAATGCCACCTGGTTGCCACCGTTATGCAAACCTCCCAGCTGTTGTACCTGTACCAGGTATGGGGACACAGGTGCCTAATGCTAGCTTTTGTTGTCATTTGGGTATAACTGCGGTTTGATACGGATACCTCTGTAGGAGGCAGATCTTTAAAAAAAAAAAAAAGACAGAAGAAAGAAAGTTCGACTCCTTTTCTTAGAGGCATCCACTGGTCCCTAGTGGTTTGTCACTGCCTTTTTATAGGATTTTCCCCCCCTACATCCCAATCGGGCCTCCAGCCTGAGGATCGCCAAGTGGTCTCCCAGCCCAGCACATTATGCAAAAGCCCCAGCTGCTGCACTTGTACCAGGCAAGGGGATACACACATGCCTAATGCCAGCATATTTGAGCGTAGCTGCAGTTTGACACGGATACCTCTGCAGAAGGCAGATTTTTTTTTTTTTTTAAAAAAAAAGGGACAGAAGAAAGAAAACACAACTCTTTTTCTTGGAGGCATGCACTGGTTTCTAGTGGCTCTTCATTGCCTTTTTATAGGATTTTTTTTTTCTCTCCCCACTTCCCAATCAGGTCTCCAGCCTGGGATCGCCTAGTGGTCTCCCATCCCAGCACTAAATCAATTAAATTGGACCGCCGCTGAGCTTCCTCCGCCTGGCCTGTAGAGGGCGCGCGCGCCGCCTTCACGCTGCGTCGCGGTGTGGTTCGGGCGGGCGGAGTTACCTGTCAGGGGTTTAAGTGCGCCTGCGCACCGGCCTCGCTCGAGCCCCGCCTTTCTCCTGCTTTCTTGCTCGCTCGCCCGTCGCCTGTCATGAACGCGGAGAACTTCCAGGCTGGCGAGAGGCTGGTGAACGCGGCCTACGTGCGGCAGGGAGCGCAAGGCCGACGCGCCCACGAGCTGCGCGTGCGGACGCTGCTGGAGCAGGTAACGCTCGGCCGGCTGGTTGGGGAAAGAGGGAGGAGGCGGGGTTTCGGAAGAAGCCCCGCCCCGGGGGCTGGTTAGGCACGCCCCCCGTGGGAGGGCGGCGCTTGGATCCAGGCGCTGCGTTTGCTCTAGCACGGCTGCCTCAGGAATTCTGGGAGTTGAAGTCCACAAGTCATCAGAGGGCCATGGTTCCCCCACTCCCACCCCTGCTGCCTCAGGAATTCTGGGAGTTGAAGTCCACAAGTCATCAGAGGGCCATGGTTCCCCCACCTCTGCTTTAGCTCCTAGTCTGGGCTGGTTGGTTCTTGGATGGGAGGCCACCAGGAGACCCTCGGGGTGTCAGATTTTTATTTTCATCCTTTTGTTTTCTAGACGCCCTTGGGAAGTAGCTCCCCACCTTAAAACTAGCCAGCTATGATTTAACCCAGTCTGCTGGGCTTGAGTCCATGAAATCCTAAGCTGGCTTGCTTTTGACTTTATTGAAAAGAATGAACCCCGTTGTTTTACGGATTGGCATAATATATACTGCTCAAAAAAATAAAGGGAACACAAACGTATAGGATCCTATACGTTTGTGTTCCCTTTATTTTTTTGAGCAGTAAATATTTACTAGGCCATAACAGCTGATATAATAACTCAGAGGGGGGGGGAAGAAATAATCAGGAAAATACTGGAATGTGCAGAGATGGACAGATTAACTATGAGGTTCAAAGACAAAGAAGATACAGACTATCAAATTTGGAATTTATTTTATTCTTGGTTAGAGAAAAGAACGAAGGATTAGGAATTGAACATGTATTAGCTTAGCAAACTCCAGACAACTTGTTGATTGGAAAAATTGAGATATGTTGATGAAGAAAAAATTAATAATAAACAATTACGTGGAAATGAAAAAAAAATAACTCACAGGGACCGAATTGTAACTTAGCTTTACATCTTATTTCAACCAGCATACCTGATTATATCTTTAACAAAACCGATTTTTCCCCTATATCTTATAAAAGGATAAAAAGAACAGATAGTTTTTTAAGCACTTTGCAATGAACAAGTATTGTTTTAAAATTAAAAGCCCAACTACTGTTAAAATTTAGATTTTTCCATATTTTAGCTTGGTTTAGCTATATAAGCAGTCAAACCTTTACTACGGTCTTTAAAACGCATACAGACTTTTAACAGAATAATGGAGCTGGAAAGGACCACCGAGATCTTTTAGTCCCACCTCCTGCTCCACTATTATTGCTTCTTAATAGTTTATTTTATAAATAGGCTTGTTCCTACGAATAAAGCTTAAAAATATTGCAGTCAAATGACACACATTTACATATAATAACTGTATTACAAAAGCAGTGGCAACCACCGAAATGTTTGCTAAACTTCAACGACAGTTGGGGCAGATACAACAAATAAAATAGCACCAAATTGAGCAGCCTGGAAAGAGATTGTCAGGATCCTGGTCAGAGAGAAGAAAAGAAGGTCGTGTACTTTTCCATATCTCATTTATATTACATTATATTGTGCTGGTTTTTTTTCCCCCTGAAGGGCAAATGTCCTGAAGATGGATGGGATGAAAGCACAATTGAACTTTTTCTTCACGAACTTGCAGTTATGGATAGCAATAATTTCCTGGGCAATTGCGGTGTAGGTGAACGAGAAGGAAGAGTTGCATCCCAAATGGTGGCTCGGAGACATTACAGGTAAAGGCGGGATTTTTCAAGTGGTTTGATCTGACCAAGGTTTGTTTGTTGGGCAAAAGCAGTGATACAATATAATGGACTCCGGGTACAAAACAGATCAGTTGGGAAAATGTTTTGGCTAGCGACAATCGAAGTTCGAACGAATCTTAGTCTCTGGCGTGCTATTATTATAATAATAAGAAAGTTGGAAGGGACCTTGGAGGTCATCTAGTCCAACCCCCTGCTCAAGCAGGAAACCCTATAACATTTCAGACAAATAGCTGTCCAGTCTCTTCCTAAAAACTTCCAGTGTTGGAGCATTCACCGCTTCTGGAGGCAGGTGGTTCCACTGGTTAATTGTTCTCACTGTCAGGAAGTTTCTCCTTAGTTCCAGGTTGCTTCTCTCCTTGATTAGTTTCCATCTGTTGCTTCTTATCCTGCCTTCAGGCGCTTTGGAGGATAGCTTGACTCCCTCTTCTTTGGGGCAGCCACTGGTTCATTGTTCCAACTGTCAGGAAGTTTCTCCTTAGTTCCAGGTTGCTTCTCTCCTTGATTAGTTTCCATCCGTTGCTTCTTTTTTAGGCGCTTTGGAGAATAGCTTGACTCCCTCTTCTTTGGGGCAGCCCCTGAGATACTGGAACCCTGCTATCATGTCCCCCCTCGTCCTTCTCTTCATTAAACTAGACATACCCAATTCCAGCAACCGTTCCTTATATGTTTTAGCCTCCAGTCCCCTGATCATCTTTGCTGCTCTTCTCTGCACTCTTTCTAAAGTCTCAACATCTTTTTTACATCGTGGTGACCAAAACTGGATGCAGTATTCCAAGTGTGGCCTTACCAAGGCATTGTAAAGTGATATTAACAAATCACGTGATAATACCACTTTACAGTGCCTTGGTAAGGCCACACTTGGAATACTACATCCAGTTTTGGTGACAGGATAGTAGTCTTCCAGTATTTGAGAGGCTGCCCCAAAGAAGAGGGAGTCAAGCTATTCCCCAAAGCCCCTGAAGGCAGGACAAGAAGCAACGGATGGAATCTAATCAAAGAGAGAAGCAACCTGGAACTAAGGAGAAATTTATAACAATTATAATTGTTATAAATAAAATTCTACCAGAATCAATTGTAGTACTTCCCTACAATTTCACCCAAGAGGAACTACTCCTTCATCGGCAAGGTTTCATCTGCTCCTTAGGTCTTTCCGGTTTTAAATCTTTCATATTTTCGGCAATATTCTGCTTGATTTCCAGGTTGATTCATGGGATTGGAAGGTCAGGAGACATAGCGGCGGTCCAGCCTAAAGCGGCAGGCTCCAGTCTCTTGAACAAGCTGACTAATTCAGTGGTCTTGGATGTTTTAAAGCTGGCTGGTAAGAATGGAGCAAGGTTTTCTGGCATCAAATGCATCTCCCTCTTTTGAGGGGTCCTGGGTGCTCTCTGAGCTGGGTGGTCTTCTTGCAGACGTTTCATGACCCAAACTAGGTAACGTCATCAGGGCTAGAAGGGAGGGGGGTTTGCAGAGAGGAGGAGGAGGAGATGGAGAAGGGGAAGAAGGACAAGAAGAGGAAGAAGAAGAAGACGGAGAAGAAGAAGAGGAAGAAGAAGAAGGAGGAGGAGAAGAAGGAGAAGGAGAAGAAGGAGGAGGAGGAGGAAGAAGAAGAAGAAGAAGAAGAAGAGGAAGAAGAGGAAGAAGAAGAAGAAGAAGAAGAAGAAGAAGAAGAAGAAGAAGAAGAAGAAGAAGAAGAAGAAGAAGAAGAAGAAGAAGAAGAAGACGACGACTGTGGGGTCCTTGGTGCTCTCTGAGCTTGCTATTTTCCTTGCAGACATTTCATGACCCAACTAGGTAACATCATCAGTGCTAGTAAAGGGTGCAGTTTGCTCTCAGTTTATATTCTGCTGGCTTGCCCTGTCAGTGTTGGTGGGGATAATGGTCTTGGTGGTTCTTTGGTTGGGCTGTTTTGACTTCTTTGGCAGTTTCTTGATTGGGGTGTTCTTTATTTGATTGTTGGCCTGATCTTAACCTTGGAGTTAACCTACATTGATCTGGGTGCTGATTGGAGAGATGCCTGGGTCTTTTTTGTTCCCTTTTGGGGCTGGGGTGGGGGTGTTGCCTCTTGGGTCATGAAACATCTGCAAGAAAGCCACCCAGTTCAGAGAGCATCAAGGACTCCTCCTCCTCCTTTTGGCAAAGTCCACCCCCTTCTAGCACTGATGACGTTACCTAGTTGGGTCATGAAATGTCTACAAGAAAACAGCCAAGTTCAAAGAACCACCCACGAGCCCACAGTCCTCCTCCTCCTCCTCCTCCTCCTCTCTGCAAACCCTCCTCCCTTCTAGCACTGATGACGTTACCTCGTTGGGTCATGAAACGTCTGCAAGAAAACCAGCAAACTCAGAGAGCACCAAGGACCCCTCCTTTGAACCCCGAGCTGCAAATATGATTATCTTTTCTTAAAAAGTTTAGATATGAATTCTCCTTTCCTTGCAGGGGTCAAGGCAACCAGTAGCTGCTTTGTGGTTCCCATGGCAACAGGGATGAGCCTCACTTTGTGCTTCTTAACCCTTCGGCACCGGAGACCGAAGGCCAGGTACATCGTCTGGCCTCGGATAGATCAGAAATCCTGCTTCAAATCAATGGTGACTGCAGGTACGTCGCAGTGGCCACCGCTGCTCCCGCGGTCACGTGATCTAAATTCAGAGGCTTGGCAACTGGCATGTACTTATGACGGTTGCAGTGTCCCCCGGGGTCACGTGATCCCCTTTGGTGACCTTTGGACAAGCAAAGTCAATGGGGGAAGCCAGATTCAATTAACAACCGGGCTACTAGCTTCACAGTGAAAGCGATTCGCTTTACAACGGTAGCAAGAAAGGTGGTGAAATGGGGCAAAACTCACTGAAGAATTGTCTCGCTTAGCGACGGAAATGTTGGGCTCAGTTGCGGTCGTAATCAAGGACTACCTTAATCTTCAAAAGCAAGGTCAGCTTGCCTGCAGCATCTGTGAGATTGGTCATCTTAATTTTTTTTTTCTTCATTTTAAGTACACTTATTTTGTTTTATCATAAAAGGCAATAGACAAAACAGGAAAACGACAAAGCAAAGCGAAAACAGATGTTCAGCACTAACAAAAAAAATGGTGTACAAAAAAAAAGCGAGAAAAAGGTGATCCAAATACCAAATTTAACATTTAACATATAGAATCCACCCTGCCTGGAGACTGAAAAAAAGAGAGGAAAAAAAACCACATTAAATTCTCCTCCTCTTATACAAATATATATGGAATATATGTATGTATGCATGTATGTATATTTGTAAAAGAGGAGAATTTAATGTTTTTTTCTTTTTTTCTGTGGACTGGGGGGGGGAGAGATACAAAGACAGAGATAGATAGATAGATAGATAGATAGATAGATAGATAGATAGATAGATAGATAGATAGATAGATAGAGATACAAAAAAAGTTTGATATAGATAGAGACAGACAGACAGTTTGATAGAGACAGATAGGTAGATATACAGATAAATGAGAGAGAGATACAAAGACAGTTTGAGATGGATGGATGGATGGATGGATAGATGAAGAAAGAAGAAAGAGTAGTCAACAGGTTAAGCTAAACATTACACAAATCTTCAAATCCCTCTGTTAACCATCTATTATTGTATTTAGCTCATAGAAAGTCCACAAACAGTTTCCAGTCTCTTATAAAGCTGTCTAGTCCATGATCTCTGATCAAAGCAGCCAATTTTGCATTCTCTGCTCATTCAGTCAATTTTAAAATCCCTCGTTCTTCAACAGTCGGCATCTCTTTTCCATTCCAGTGCTTGGCGAGGACAATCCTCGCAGAAGCCAGCATGTAAAAGGAATCAGCACCCCATTTTCGATTGCCTTTGTCCATCATACCTAAACGAAAAGCTTCTGGTGTCATTAATATTTTGTATCTTAACTATTTTCTGCACTGTCGTTATGTTCATACAGGACATTTTCACACATTCGCAAGATATATTTGTAAGCTTACATTTCCAAACGGGCTGCCGTCATACACAAATAGACCCCCCCCCCTAAAAAAATTAAAACCAGTGAAGTGGAAGGGAAGGTTTTGCAGGTAAAAGAACTAAATTACGGAAGGATCCTGGATTCATTCATTCATTCGTTCATTCTTTTTGTTGGCCTGGACCAGGTTTTGAGCCAGTGGTGATAGAAAATGTTTTGGAAGGAGACGAGCTACGGACCAATCTCCGGGCAGTGGAAGCTAAAATCCTGGATCTTGGAGCTGATAATATTCTCTGTGTTCATTCTACTACCTCCTGCTTTGCTCCAAGGGTGCCTGACAGGTAAATAAATCCCCAGGTAAACGTTTGGTGGCATTAAGAGATTGAAGGGGATGGTGAAGCTACTGGCAATGAGAGAGATAGACAAATAGGTAGGTAGGTAGGTAGGTAGATAGACAGACAGACAGACAGACAGACAGATAGATACAGAGATACAGAGATAGATTAGATAGATAGACAGACAGACAGACACAGATATACAAATAGACAGATAGATAGGTATACAGATATACAGATAGATATACAGACAGATAGATAGATACAGAGATAGAGAGATAGAGACAGACAGACAGACACAGATAATAGATACAGATAGATATACAGATGATAGATAAATAGATACAGATAGAGAGAGAGACAGACACAGATAGATAGATACAGATAGATACAGATATAGATAGATACAGATAGATAGATACAGATAGATAGATAGATACAGATTATAGATAGATAAATAGATACAGATAGATAGAGAGAAACAGACAGACAGACAGATAGATAAATCTTTATTGTCATTTTTTACTCTGGGCACAACGGCACACATTAAGAATGAAATTTGGTTGCTTTCAAAGTGTACACATACATAACACACATTTAAACATATTATATACAACGTATGTATAGACCTACACCCTTACATATAAGTAACCTATAAATATATGTTATTTATAACATAAATAAGTAACATATAAACTCTAGCTGAGTTTCACAATTGGAGAGGGACGAGGCAAGGAGAGACTTTGGCTTTGTTGGCTCCTCTCCCACAGGCTGATCCTAAATGCTGGAAAAACAAGGATTGATTCAAATCGGAGTAGGACAGGGATTATTCAAATGTGGGATTGGATTCTACAGAGGCCTAGTGGGAGGAGAGAATGGCCCAGAGTATAGATAGTCCTCAACAAACAATTTTTTAGTGACTGTTTCGAAGTGAAAAAAGAGACTCTTAAAGTTCTTAAAAGATAGCCTTATGATTACGGGAAAAAAAATATACCAAAATTATGAGGGGACCATGACATAAAGGAGGTAAGGCACCTGTCAGAGGACTTTGCCAACTTTGTTTCTAGTCCTCAACTCCCTGGGCCCAAAACTTCTGTCGTTAAGCGAGACCTTTGTTAAGTGAGTTTTCCCCATTTTACGATCTCACTTGCCACAGTTCTTAAGGGAATCACTCCAGTTGATAAGTTAGTAACCCTGTTAAATGAATCCAGCTGATTTTGCTTGTCAGAAGGTCGTGGGACGCTGCAACCGTCCTAAGTACATGCCAGTTGCCGAGCCTCTGAATTTTGATCACGTGACCCTGGGAACGCTGCAACGTTGTGTGAAAAAAATGGTCCTAAGTCACATTTTTCAGTGGCGTCGTAACTTTGAATGGTCACTAAACAAACTGTTGTTAAATGGAGATCTTGCCTGTACTGTTATGGCTCAATTTGGAGGAAGGGAAGTCTAGAAAGTGCGTCTCTTGAAGATCTAAAAGTAGGATGGCACTCACCTTATCTGCTCTCAAAGCTATTTGTGGATCAGCAGCCTCATCAGATCATTTAGTCTTCTCGTTAGGAACATGCATAAGAAATTCCATTAAGTCTTTTTATGCCAAGGGGTTGTTAATTCAGCAATAGTTTAAAGGTCTCTCTGGGGTGTTTTTTTGTTGTTGTTGTTTAATTTCATCAACTGCATCAAAACCCAAGCTGCACGCTTTGAGGTCAGCAAGAGTTATTTTAAAATAAAAGGAGAAACTCTGCCTAGCACAATACCGTAGCTAAGAGCCTTCACAACCTCTTTTCAGGGTTGAATTATATTCTCATTTTGTCGGTGATTTGGGCTTGTGCAAGGAAGCAGAGCCAGTGACTAAGCAAATCAATTACGCTTGCAGTCCCAGCATAATGAGAATAGTTTAATTGTTAAGGTTAAATTGTCTTCCAAGGAGATGTTGCTTAAAAAATAATGTTCAGGAAATTTTTTTCCTTACGTGCAAATAGGTACCTTTGCAATCATGTGGCTCGAAGCACAAGGAGAGCTTTTAGTTTCTACGTTGTAGAGTGATATTGATAAGACTTTATTAGTGATGCCACCGACACAATTTTTAGACCTATCTATGCAGGAGGTTCCAGGTGTAATTCAGCAATCAAATTGTCGTTTTTAGGTTTAAATAGTTGGTAATAATTTTTAGACCCTTGGCCTACCTATACAGGAGGTTCCAGGTGTAATTTAGCAAACAGATTGTCATTTTTAGGCTTAAATATATGGTAGTTTATTGCTACCATGGTGTCTCCAGTTATTGCATGAGTTTTCCCCTGAAAAGCTTAGCATTTGCATCCATCTAGACTCAAATAAAAATTAACTACCCCGGTAATTTTTGTCCCGTTTATTCTAAATGAGTCTAGCTGCTCTAAGCTATTTGTTTTTTTACAGTCGTTATTAATTTATAATATAAAATGCAAAAGCAAATAGTAGGGAAATTAAGGGAGGGAAAAAAGGAGAATGGAGAAAAGAGAGAAAAGAAAAAAGGCGTTGATTTCTGACTCCCCTTGTGCAATAGAATAAGATAACAACATATAATCTCAACTTTTTACTTTTACATAATAGTATAAACTAGCCATTTCTATAACAACAAATCTGTCTAATCAGTAAAAACCAAAATCAAAGTTTCATTTTTTTGTTCCACCTCGAACACAAAGTCCAGAAGCGGTTTCCAAGTAGTAACAAAATTAATTGTGTGCTTTTTTTCTTTAATCAAAGCAATCAGTTTAGCCATCTCTGTTAACTCCCATCAACTTTTGCAGCCATTCATCCATTGTGGGGATTGAAGCATCTTTCCATTTTTGTGCATAAAATAATCTTGCTGCCGTCAACATATATAACGTCAAAGTTCCAATTCTTCCCCCTCAATTTTTTTCCCATTAAACCCCAAAGAAAATTTGCTGCCTTTATCTTTATATTCCCATCTGTTTTAGAATATGAATGCTACTCCAATATTTCTTTGTCTTAATACATCTCCACCATAAATGATTAAAAAGTTCATTCTTTACCTTTGCATTTCCAACATTCATTCGAAATAGCTTTATACATTTCTGGATAATTTGGTGTTAAATACCAGTGATACATCATCTTGTAGAAATGTTCTTTTAAATTGCAATTTAATGTGCATTTTAATCCTTTTCATCCACATATTCCCCCACAGTTCAAGCATAACATTATATCTGAACTTCCTTACCCACTGAATCGTACAGTGCTTTTGCACATTCACTTTCCAAATTCAATTTCAATAACGTTTTATAGAGCTAATTAGCAATAATATGTTCATCACTGACATACGGTGAGATTTTTTCATAAATCACTTTTTCCCATGCCATTGTAACTTCGACCGGTCACTAAATGGACTGTTGTAAGTCAAGGACTGCCTTTATTAGATTTATAATCAAGTACCTCAGAAAGGTGGAGAAGCTGATCTGATCAGAGTTTAAATTTTAGTGAGCCTTCTGTTTATATATCCTCTTGTGAACACCCACCTTTAAACCAGTTTCCCTAATTCACTTAAAATAGTTATTTCATGTGACTCTTCAAATTCAATTTCCCTTGGTTTGGATATAACGTCCTGTTTCAAAATGTTTTGTTTATCATGTGTGTGTGGTAAAAATTCATAGAAGATTTTTTTTTCAGTTCTGACTTTTTTTTTTAACCTGTGTTTTGGTTTTTTTGCAGATTGGAGGAACTGGCTGAGATTTGCACAAAGTACGGCATCCCGCACATTGTCAACAACGCCTACGGAGTTCAGTCTTCCAAATGCATGCACCTCATTCAGCAGGTAAGGTGAGCGGGATCCCCACCACAGAAGGAAGATGGGGGGGGGGGAAAGGTGAGGGAGCTGGCAGAAATGACAAAAACTGACTTTCGGTTGGAGAAAAGTACCTATCCAGTTTTGGTTCTGCTTGGAAACCACTTCTGGGCTTTTTGCTCGGGGCAGGAAAAAAAAAAGGAAATCCTGATGTTGGGTTTTGCTGATTAATGTAAAAGCAGTCCTCAACTTTACAACAGTTTGTTTAGTGACTGTTGGATGTTACCACGGCACTCAAAAAAAAGGACCATTTTTCACACTGTTGCAGCATCCCCAGGGTCACGTGATCAAAATTCAGACGCTGGATAACTGACTCGTATTTACGACGGTCGCAGCGTCCCCCGGCGGTCACACGATCTCCTTGACAAGCGAAGTCAAGGGGGGCAAGCCAGCTTCACTTAACAACTGCAGGATTCACTTAATTGCTGTGGCAAGGAAAGGTCGTAAAACGGGGCAAAACTCACTGAACGGCTGTCTCACTTAGTGACGGAAACTTTGGGCTCACTTGTGGTTGTAAATTGTTCTGATAGAAATGGCTTATTCTGTACTTTCCTGGGCTAAAAACAGTTGGACGTCGGTGCTTTTTTCGTTCTTCCCCTGTACCACCACCCTTCTCTCCCTTTTCTTCCCCTTTCTCCCTTTCCTGTCACCTTTATTTCCCTCTGTACATGTGGTCCTCGGGTTACGACCACAGTGGAGCCCAGAATGTACGTCGTTAAGCGAGACATTCATTCAGTGAGTTTTCCCCCGTTTTTATGACTTTCCTTGCCACTCTTGTTAAGCGAACTGCTGCAGTCATTAAGCTAGTAACACGGTTATTAAGTGAATCCAGCTTCCCTGTTGCAAAGAGGGATCGCGTGACCCCTCCCCCGGGGACGCTGCAACCGTCCTAAGTACATGCCAGTTGCCGAGCCTCTGGATTTTGATCACGTGACCCCGGGGGACAGTGCGATGGTTGTTGAGTGTGACAAAAGGTCCTAAATCATTTTTTTTCAGGGCTGTCGTCATTTCGAAGGGCCCCGAAATGATCACTGTCGTAAGTCGAGGATTACCTGTAATTGCTTGTTAAGTGAACCTGGCTTCCCCATTGACTTTGCTAGTCAGAAGGTTGCAAAAGGGGATTGCATAGCGGCCGTCGTAAATAGGAACCCATTGCCAAGCATCTGAATTGTGATCCCGTGGCCACGGATGCCGCGACGGTTGTTAAATGTGAAAAACAGTCAGGTGTCCCTTTTTTTCAGTGCCGTTGCAACTCCGGTCACTAAATGACCTGTTGTTAAATCGAGCACTACCTATATTTTATAGTAGGATCATTTTAATAAAATTCCGGGGGGGGAGGGAAAAATACCCCAGGTAAGCTAACATTCACCTCAGACGCTTCCTGGTTACTGTTGAGATAAAAACACCTCCGTAGACCCCAGTTTGTTGGGTTCACGTAACGAAGGAAGCCCAAGCCAGATACGCGCGTGAGATTCTTGCATTGGGCGAACCCAACTTCATAACAGCTTCATTGCTTTTGTTCTCTTCCTGGTTTTTTTTTGGTTGTTGTTTGTTTCTTTTGTGCTTTTTGTCTTTGGTTGTTGTTTTTTAGGGCGCCCGTAGAGGCCGGATAGATGCTTTTGTACAAAGTCTGGACAAAAATTTTATGGTGCCAGTCGGAGGGGCTGTCATTGCTGGCTTCAGTGACTCCTTCATACAGGAAATCAGCAAAATGTATCCAGGTAAGTCGTGGGTTTTTTTGTTTTTAATTGATGTATTTTTTTAAAGAGATTGATTGATTGATTGATTAGGGATAGGGTTACGTCACCTGAACTCATATGGCACTGACTTTTCTAGCCTGCCCTATCTATGTTTCCTGGTAAAATGCATTGGAAAAACCCATTGGAGGAAAATTCCACTTAGGGTTAGGTCACCATGAACTCATAGAGCAAAATGGACATCGCCAACAAACTCGGAGTGCTTGGGTATGGTTAGGGGGGCACTGACTTTTCTAGGCTGCCCTATCTATCTTTCCTGGTAAAATACATGGGAAAATCCCATTGGAGGAAAATTCCACTTAGGGTTAGGTTACCATGAACTCATAGAGCAAATGGACATCACCAACAAATTCGGAGTGCTTGGGTATGGTTAGGAGGGCACTGACTTTCTAGGCTGCCCTATCTATGTTTCCTGGTAAAATACATGGGAAAATCCCATTGGAGGAAAATTCCACTTAGGGTTAGGGTTAGGTCACCATGAACTCATAGAGCAAAATGGACATCGCCAACAAACTCGGAGTGCTTGGGTATGGTTAGGAGGGCACTGACTTTTCTAGGCTGCCCTATCTATGTTTCCTGGTAAAATACATGGGAAAATCCCATTGGAGGAAAATTCCACTTAGGGTTAGGGTTAGGTCACCATGAACTCATAGAGCAAAATGGACATCGCCAACAAATTCGGAGTGCTTGGTATGGTTAGGAGGGCACTGACTTTTCTAGGCTGCCTATCTATCTTTCCTGGTAAAATACATGGGAAAATCCCATTGGAGGGAAATTCCACTTAGGGTTAGGGCAGTGGTTCTCAACCTTTCTAATGCCGCGACCCCATAATACAGTTCCCCATGTTGTGGTGACCCCCAACCACTTATACATCACCGGGTGTCAGGGGCGTGGCCAAAGAAAAGGGGGAAAAAATGGCGGACAGCCTTGTTTGGCGACCCCCGTGAAATGGTCGTTTGACCCCAAATGGGGTCCCGACCCACAGGTTGAGAACCACTGGGTTAGGGTTAGGTCACCATGAACTCATAGAGCAAAATGGAGATCTCCAACAAATTTGGAATGCTTGGGTATGGTTAGGAGGGCACTGACTTTTCTAGGCTGCCCTATATATATTTCCTGGTAAAATGCATGGGAAAATCCCATTGGAGGAAAATTCCACTTAGGGTTAGGTCACCATGAACTCGTAGAGCAAAATGGACATCGCCAACAAATTTGCAGTATGATTAGGAGGGCATTGACTTTTCTAGGCTGCCCTATATATGTTTCCTGGTAAAATGCATGGGAAAATCCCATTGGAGGAAAATTCCACTTAGGGTTAGGGTTAGGTCACCATGAACTCATAGAGCAAAATGGACATCGCCATCAAATCCGGAATGCTTGGGCATGGTTAGAAGGGCACTGACTTTTCTAGGCTGCCCTATCTATGCTTCCTGCTAAAATACATTGGAAAATCCCATTGGAGGAAAATTCCACTTAGTCCTTGGGCCATATCAAAGTGCAAAGGTCCTGAAACCAATTATTACCATATATAAGCGATTGAAAATGGAATTAGATAAAAAATACAATTTAAAACGAAATTGGAGTGAAATAAAATGAAATTGGGATCAAATGCCGTCTGAAATGAAATTGGAACAGAATACAATAATATAAGATATAGATGATATACGACAAAATTATATTTCGGGGTCACCCCTGCAATCTACCCCAATTGGTCCCACATACGCCAGTCTCAGCTGGACCATTTTGCTTAAGCCAGGGGTCTTCCAACTCGGCCCTTTTATGACTCGTGGACGTCAATTCCCAGAATTCCTCAGCCAGGCACGCGTGTCCTGGCTGAGGAATTCTGGGAGTTGACGTCCACGAGTCATAAAAGGGCCGAGTTGGAAGACCCCTGGCTTAAGTCCTGTGCTGGGTTAAATGTTATTTTCAGATTCTGGCCGCACATAAGGTAAGTTGTTTTGATATGGGGATCCCAATGGGTCATTTATTTAGTTTATAGGCCAAGGTACCTGTCTCTCCTTCATATACAGGCAACAATCAAATAGTATGTGAGCCAGGTCTTCTACCTTTGCCACCCCGCAAATATTTTTTTTAAGAGTGGAAATTAGTGTTAAAAAAAAGCCACCATATCCCTAGAGGGTTTTTTTTTTTTTTGCACAATAAGAGCAGATATGATCTCTCTCTCTCTCTCTCTCTCTCTCTCTCTCTCTCTCTCTCTCTCTCTCTCTCTCTCTCTCTCTTTCTTTCTTTCTCTCTCTCTCTTTCTCTCTCTCTCTCTGTATCCATCTATCTGTCTATCTGCCCATCCATCCATCCATCCCTATCTCTCTCTCTCTCTGTCTCTTTTTCTATCTCTCTTTCTATTTCTCTCTCTCTCTCTCTCTCTCTCTCCATATCCATCTATCTGTCTGTCTGCCCGTTCATCCATCCATCCATCTGTCTCTGTCTCTTTTTCTATTTCTCTTTCTCTGTCTCTCTCTCTCCGTATCATCTGTCTGTCTATCTGCCCATCCATCCATCCCTCTCTCTCTCTCTGTCTCTTTTTCTATCTCTCTCTTTCTCTCCATATCCATCTATCTGTCTGTCTATCTGCCCGTCCATATCTCTCTCTCTCTCTCTGTCTCTTTCTATCTATCTCTCTTTCTCTTTCTCTCTGTAGGAAGAGCCTCGGCTTCTCCGTCGCTAGATGTGCTCATCACGCTCCTGAGTTTGGGCACGAAGGGGTACCGGCAGCTGCTAAGAGAAAGAAAGGTAGCCCTCCTAGATTAATGGATCTGAGATTGGAGTTTTCATCTATTCAGAGATGTTTGTAGAGTTTTGGTCGCCTCTCTGAATTCTGATTTTAATGTTTTGGCTGACGACAATCGAAGTTCGAATGGATCTTAGTCTCTGGTGTGCTGTTATTATAATAAAAATAATAAAGTTGGAAAGGGACCTTGCTCAAGCAGGAGACCCTATATCATTTCAGACAAATGGCTGTCCAGTCTCTTCTTAAAAACCTCCAGTGTTGAAGCATTCACAACTTCTGGAGGCAGGTGGTTCCACTTGTTAATTGTCCTCACTGTCAGGAAGTTTCTCCTTAGTTCCAGGTTGCTTCGCTCCTTGGTTAGGGGAATGGAGGCTAAAACTTACAAGGAACAGTTGCTGGAGTTGGGAATGTCTAGTTTAATGAAGAGAAGGACGAGGGGGGACATGTTAGCAGTCTTCCAATCTCTGAGGGGCTACCCCAAAGAAGAGGGAGTCAAGCTATTCTCCAAAACCCCTAAAGGTGGGACAAGAAGCAATGGATGGAAACTCATCCAGGAGAGAAGCAACCTGGAACTAAGGAGAAATTTCCTGACAGTGAGAACAATTAACCAGTGGAACAATCTGCCTCCAGAAGCGGTGAATGCTCCAACACTGGAAGTTTTTAAGAAGAGACTGGACAGCCAGAGATTAGCAGGACTCTAAACAGCTTGTTTTCTTTCTCTTTTTTTTTTTTTAGGAAATGTTTTCTTACCTTTCAACGGAGGTGAAAAAATTAGCAGAAAGCTACAATGAAAGACTGTTGGATACCCCGCACAATCCTATCTCGCTAGGTATGGTTGCCTTCGTGGAATGAAATGCATAAACGACTTGCTGATTTTTCCCTCCCAAATCAGTATATGGTGTGTGTGTGTGTCATATGTCATATTCTGGGCAGAATGAAATTAAGACGCTGCACACGGGATGACTTGGTGGCAGCCTTGCAATATTTGAGGGGCTACCCAAAGAAAGAGGGGGTCAACCTATTCCCCAAAGCAGCTGAAAGCAGGACAATGGGTGGAAACTACTCAAGGAGAGAAGCAACCTGGAATTAAGGAGAAAGTTCCTGACCAGTGAGGACAATTAACCGGTGGAACAGCTTGCCACCAGAAGTTGTAGGTTCTCTGTCACTGGAGGTTTTTAAGAAGAGACTGGACATTTATTTGTTCTGAAATAGGGTCTGCTGCCTGAGCAGGGGGCTGGACTAGAGGACCTCTAAGGTCCCTTGCAACTCTGTTGTTCTGTTTGTTACACATTTGTAGTTGTGCAGGAGAAACCGTGTGGCTGGTAGCTTCATTCCAGCTCAAGTATCACAACTGTTGCTTTTGCACCAGCTGCTGGAAGGCCACTATTCCTGCCATTTGCCCACACTTTTCTAGTGCAAGTCCCAGTGCATCGTCTGATTTGAGTGATAAATGCACCGTTCATTTATCTGCCAGCTGATTGCTACTCAGCCTGTCTAGAGTGCCTCCTTAGCATCAGGAAGAGTTCACTCTGAAGAGGGTGAGGGTCTGCGTGAAATGTGACACTCTGCATTTCCACTCCCTCTCAAAACAAGAAGTAACGGATGGAAGCGTATCCAAAAAAAAAGAACCCCAGCCTAGAATTTCCCGACAGTTAGAACAATTAACCAGTGGAACTTCCTGCCTCCAGAAGCTGTGAAGGCTCCAACCACTGGAAGTTTTTAAGAGGAGATTGGACAGCCATTGGACTGGAGTGGTATAGGGTTCCCTGCCTGAGCAGGGGGTTGGACTAGATGACCTCCAAGGTTTCCTTCCAATACTGTTAGCGTGGGAATTTCAAAGCGGTTGTTGGTGATCTTTTAAGGGTTAAAAGGTTGGCATCAAAATCCTTTGGGAGTTCTGCTAAGAGAGTGAGTGAAAATCCACTTTTCTTTTTTCTGGAAAGAATAAAAGAGAAAAAGAACATAAGGGCATAAGGCTGTGCTGCTGACTCTTGATCTCTTAATTATCGGTTGAAACAACGGCAGAATTAACATCTGCAGCGGCCAAAATGTACTCAAGTCCCTGAAATATTGCATCTTTTTTTACTTAAAAAGGAAGGAAGGAAGGAAGGAAGGAAGGAAGGAAGGAAGGAAGGAAGGAAGGAAGGAAGGAAGGAAGGAAAGAAAGAAAAAGAAAGAAAGAAAGAAAGAAAGAAAGAAAGAAAGAAAGAAAGATCTATTGCCCTTGACTCTTTTTGTGCAAAATGAAAAAAAGACATTTTTTTTCTACTTGCCCTCCTGAACAACGTTCAGTGGAGCGCTTGAGATTCAAAAGAAGAAAGGTGTGGAGTGTTGCCACACACACACACACACACACACAACACCTGTGTTTTTGTGTTTTGTATTTGTGTTTTCAGCCATGTCACTGAGACAACTAGACGAGCAAAACCCCAAAGCCGTCACGCAGCTTGGATCGATGCTTTTCACCAGACAAGTTTCCGGAGCGAGGTCTGTCCATTGAACAACGTTTCGATTCAGGAATATCTGGGTTCCTAGACTGGCTTGTGTCCCGGAGCTTCTTGTGAAAATCTGGGGCAGTGGACCTGGGGGGGGGGGGGGAAGAGAAGGGACGGTTCTGTGTGAGTGGCGGACGAGCAGGCACACGTACGTGCCACCGTTTATTTGCGCAAGTGCCCGCTACTTGCGCAAATGGAAAATTGCACATACATGCACATTGCCAGTTGCACCGGGGCCACGGCCTGGGGATTGGAGACCCCTGTTTTTAAATAGTCAAATAAACAAACAAATAAATAAATATTGGAGACCCCCTGCTTTAAATGGTCAAATAAATAAATAAATATTGGAGACCCCCCTGCCTTAAATAGTCAAATAAGAAGAGATTGTCTCTTCCGTTTGTCTGAAATGGTATAGGATTTCCTGCCTGAGCAGGGGGTTGGACTAGATGACCTCCAAGGTCCCTTCCAACTTTATTATTATTATTGTAAATAAACAAATAAATAAATAAATATTGGAGACCCCCTGCTTTAAATGGTCAAATAAATAAATAAATATTGGAGACCCCCTGCCTTAAATAGTCAAATAAGAAGAGATTGTCTCTTCTGTTTGTCTGAAATGGTATAGGATTTCCTGCCTGAACAGGGGGTTGGACTAGATGACCTCCAAGGTCCCTTCCAACTTTTATTATTATTGTTGTAAATAAACAAATAAATAAATAAATCCAATTAATGCACAGCACCAAACATTCTGCAAATGTTATCAGGCATATTTATTTACATATCAACATCCATCCATCCATCCATCCAATCTATCTATCCATCCGTCCATCCATATCTCATGGTGTCAAAGAACTTATTCTCTGAATCGATCCCAAAGATGTGCAGACTCTGTCAAACAGAGCATACAGATAGTACTTGTTTTATGACCGAAATTAAGACAGATCTCCTTGGACGTCTCCATCACGGTCCGAGTGACCGACCTGATTTATACGGATTTTTTTGGGTGTGGCTTTCGGCAAAACCGTCTCTATATGACCCAGTTCTGACAGTCCTCCCCCCCCAGTCACATGACTCCAGGTCGCTCGCTCGGCAACTAGCCCCCATTTACAACCGCTTTCAGTGTCCCGCAGTCACACGACCCCATTTTACGATGGTTTTGCCGAAAGCCACACCCAAAAAAAAATCCGTAAAAATCAGGTCGGTCACTTAAACCATCACAACCTACGACCGTGATGGGCAGACCCCATTACGGTCCTAAGATGAGGACTACCTGTATACAGCTTAACCACTGATTTTTTTTATTATTATTATTCAGGAGCAAATCCTGCTGGTTTTAAAGGAGCGTCCGTTTGGGCCCTCCCACAGAAAATGGATCCGCTCTTGGTGGATTTAGATTTCCTTCAATTCCCAGAACTGACCCCTCACTTCTTCCAAGTCAAGTTGTCCTAGAAAGATGTTTTTGACTCCTGTTCCTTCCCTTGCAGGGTGGTTTCTCCTGGGACCGTGCAAACTGTGAGTGGCTACCCATTCCAAGGTTTTATGGCCCACACGGACCAGTATCGCTGCTCCTACCTCAACGCCGCCTCGGCCATTGGGATGAAGACGGAAGACGTTGAGGCCTTCGTGAAAAGGCTTGATAAATGCCTGAAGGCGCTAAGAAAAGAGAAGGGCCAGCCAGATGGACCAGGGCCTAACGCAGATATTGGTCCTGATATGGAAAAATGCAACATAGGTGGAGGAGACATCCAGCCTTAGATTATCCCAAAATTATTTCCAGCTCAGAATGTTTTTTTTTTTTAAATAGAAAAATAATCCGATGTCAATGACCGCAGGGCATTCTCCCGGCAGACGTATTTTTTTCCCATTGGAACGAATAAAGAGATCGTTACACTCACTTACTTGGGTGTAGATGTCCGAGAGGGCCTTTAAATTTAAATCCAGATTTAATTTCCACCTTGAATTGTGGACAGCTGAGTTGATCGTCTAAAACAGTGGTTCTCTACCTGTGGGTCGGGACCCCATTTGGGGTCGAACGACCATTTCACGGGGGTCGCCAAACAACGCAGTCCGCCATTTTTTCCCCCCCTTTTCCTTAGCTGTGCTACTCCCTTTTATTCTCTTGGCTTTTGAAAGCCAATAGAATAGATTCTCTTGAATAGAGTCTAATTCTATTGGCTTTCAAAAGCCAATAGGAATTGTCCAGGCTGTCTCTGCCCTGCTGAGCCCGCCAAAAGTCCCATTCTGCAAACGATGCTGCCCCAGTTGAGTAGTCCTCGACTTAACGACCGGTTGGGGGTCGCGGCATTAAAAAGGTTGAGAACCACTGGTCTAAAATGTTCAAAAAGGAATTTTGATAGTCCTACATGACGAGGACAGATAAATAAGAGTTTCAATTCATTCACTGGGGTATAGCTGCTCAAGGTTCAACAGCTGCTGTTCTGCATGTTATCTGCTACTTTTCCAAGGAGTTCGTTGTAAATTCTGTAGTTGGATAGTGCCTTTATTAGGACCGAATACGGTGGCCGCCAAAATCCAGGCAGGCTTGGAAGTTCTCCAGAACTTTTAATCGTATGTCTTCTTGAGACGTAAGTGCCTGCAGACAAACTGTGAATTCGAATTAACTGGCTAGGCGTAGCCTTTGAGACTGAATTCCAGGGCCACTTTCCTCAGGGTGAATTAAATTATCTCCTTTGAAAAGAGTTTGTCCTCCGTGTGTTGTGCATTTCTTCTTCTGAAGAACCTCTTCGTATGTGTGCAGACAAGAGTCTCAGATTCCCATATCCCTTTTATCAAAAAAGGAACTACTTTTTTTTTAATGTTGCTTCCTTTCTGGACAGGGTTCCAGATCTTAGCAGTAGCTCATCGTGATATTGGTCTGGATTCGTCATCCTTGCTAAGCCACCATTCTCTGTCTCTGGATAGAGACGGGCATGCTAAACCTTACATCGAATTGCCAGTTGTCGTGATCTTCTGTGGAACGGGAGGTGTACTGGAGATAAAAAGATACAAAGTGCTTTGCGTGCAAAATAAATAATTTCTATCGGCACAACGCGCATTGTTGGCAACGGCTGTCAAATACAAAATCACAACGTTTAAACAAAGCGGAGGGCAGGAGTACGTATCTGCTCAAATTCTAATTTTCTCTTGGAAGAGGCAAAGCAATGTTTACAATGTTTAGGTTCTAACCAATATTTTAGGTTTGGTTCCAGGAAGATGCTTTGGCATGTCGGGTGCAAACGTAGCATTGACTGGCAACTCATTAAAGCAGCCACATCTTTTCCCAACGTTCAAGCCCGCTGGTTCTGTATATGCCTCTGCTTTCTGGGAACCGAATCCAAGCTGCTACAAACGCCTTACGTACTATCCATAGGAAAGACGAGAAAGAGTTTGCATGTGGCTCCTTGCCTTAATATACTATTAACCCTTGCTTGAGCCTACTCAGTAAAGCAGGCTTCCTATGTAAATGAATTATATGTGAAACGGCTGTAATAGTCATTGGTAAACAAATGAAGTAGTCCTGTCAGCGGTGCTACAATCACAAAAAACGTTCTCAGGTGAGATACCTTTTGTTGTCCCAACCTTTGATGAAGTCCTTCACGTATCATTTGAGACCCTTTCTATGGCATGACCTGGAATGTCAGAGCCTGTCTCATTAAAGCATCCACCTCACCAAAATCATATTCAATCATATTTCAGTTCCTCTCGTGTCCTGAAATTATTTCAGAAAGCAAATTCTCATTTGTGGAGTTGTACCTCTTTCGCAGAGAACCAAAAAAATAGAACTTCTCAAAAACCTTGCAAGATTATCCTGGGTACCGAAGGATCCCTTGGTTTGTTAACGTTAAGGCTGCTCGACATGATTTAACACTGCTTGCTTTGCACAAAGCCAGTCTCAGCTGAAACTTGTCGGTTTTAGATTTTGGCTTCTCTTCAGATAATCAGAAATAAATTAAAGATTCATTTACCTTTGGTTTTTTGCGTGTTTTGTGGGTCGTATGCCCGTGCTGTTCTCGCTTGAACGGATTTGTATTTTGTTGGGGAGTTGATCTTGTTCATACGTTGACCTTCTGAAGCCCTTTAATACCGTAGTAGGTCACGCCGTTTCCTGCAGTGTAGGATAGACAGGAGGTCTCTGTGATAGGCTCCGGGTTTATAAAACGGAGAACTGGTAGTCCTCAACTTACAACAGTGGACTGTTCAAAGTTACAACGCCACTGAAAAAAGTGACAAGGAGCCCATAGTCATAGTCGTTCTCCTCCTCTTTACAAACCCTCTCCCTTCTAGCACTGATGATGTTACCTAGTTTGGGTAATGAAACGTCTATAAGAAAACAAGCTCAGAGAGCACCAAGGACCCCACAATAATAATCCTCCTCCTCCTCCTCTCTGCGAACCCCCCACCCTTCTAGCACTGATGATGTTGATGTCAAAGCTGCCAACATCGGATGTTTTTGCATTGACAACAGATGGAAATGTAGCCATCTTTTTCCTTTCGCTTTTACAGTTAATGATGTTGGGAGGGGTGGGGATGTGAACGAGAGTCCAGCTAGACATAACAACACTAAACACAGTGTGAGAATCAAGGTTATTGAGCCCAGAGCTGATAAAAGAATTGGCGGACTGGAGAGCTGGAGAGGAAGCCCAGGGCTTCAAGCCACATTGGGAGATGTGGTTTATGACTGCTAATTGGAGGAGGGAATTGTGCTTTGATGCTATGTGCTCAGGGGAGGGGAATTCAGTTTTTGGCTTCGATTATGTAAGTGCCGATATTATGCTACTTGAATAAAAGATCCTTCAAGGTAAACAATGCCTCGAAGTTCTTTTGAAGAGTTTCATCTATCGGAACCATGAACCCTACACCATTTCAGACAAAGGGTGGTCCAGTCTCTTCTTAAAAACTTCCAGTGTTGGAGCATTCACCACTTCTGGAGGCAGGTTGTTCCACTGGTTAATTGTTCTAACTGTCAGGAAGTTTCTCCTGACTTCTAGGTTGCTTCTCTCCTTGATTAGTTTCCATCCGTTGCTTCTTGTCCTGCCTTCAGGTGCTTTGGAGAATAGCTTGACTCCCTCTTCTTTGGGACAGCCCCTGAGATATTTGAACACTACTATCCTGTCCCCCCTCGTCCTTCTTTTCATTAAACTAGACATACCCAATTCCAGCAACTGTTCCTTGTATGTTTTAGCCTGCAGTCCCCTAATCATCTTTGTTGCTCTTCTCCGTACTCTTTCTGGAGTCTCAACATCTTTCCTACATGGTGGGGACCAAAACTGGATGCCGTATTCCAAGTGTGGCCTTACCAAGGCTTTGTAAAGTGGTATTAATACTTCACGTGATCTTGATTCTATCCCTCTGTTAATGCCACCTAGCACTGTGTCATGAAACATCTACAAGAAAACAAGCTCAGAGCATGCCAAGGACCCCATCCTCATCCTCTCTGCAAATTCCACTCCCTTCTAGCACTGATGATGTTACCTAGTTGGGTCATGAAACATCTACAAGAAAACAAGCAAGGTCAGAGAGCACCAAGGACCCCTCACTTTCAACCCCGTGCTACAAATATTCTCCTTTATTAGATGCATAGTTTTCAGTGAGGGTTTTTTTTTTTTAAATTCTCCCTGCATTGCTGCAGCACAGGACATTGACAGAATACCAAACGCAGCGATCAGATTTATATTAAGGAAAGCAAAAGAGCCGTTAAGTGGGAAAGGATGGCACTGCAGCTAAAGCTGGGCAGACCGACTGTTCCGTCCTGTACAATCAGCAATTTTGGAAAAAGAAGAAAAAAAAGCTGGTTGCACAGATGCTTACCCACCGATCTGCGTCGCCTCAGCATTTTGTTTTCTTTATTTCACTTTATCTTGCTTGGTCTTGCTGTGCCTTCTCCTTCCTCTGCAAAGATGCCCTACTTCTCAACAGTGTCTACTTCTGAGGAAATCAAAGGAGCAACCCGCTTGCAAATTTTGCAGCCTTCTTTCGACGTGGTCTAGGGGAAGATTTTGGAAGCAACGAAAGTTCAAAATTAGCCAAACTCAAAAAAAAAAAAAAACCTGTTCATTTCCCAAGGATTCGTCCATAGATGATTTATTGGATCCCGATCACAACTTGATCAAAAAATGTGCAGCGTTAGTCACTTAAACGTCATGTTCCTCCGAGCTTGCAAACAAAACTTACCATTGCTTTTCCTTTCAATTGGGGCTATCCAATTTTGGCAACTCTTCATTGAAGACCACAGGTTTTTAAGTTGCTAAGTTTAGACACCCCTGGTTTAAGTATTATTTAATGGCCAGGAATCGTTATGCCATATGTGATAATAATAACAAACAAGAATAATAAAGTTGGAAGGGACCTTGGAGGTCTTCTAGTCCAACCCCCTGCTCAGGCAGGAAACCCTAAACCATTTCGGACAAATGGCTGTCCAGTTTCTTCTTAAAAAACAACCAGTGTTTGAGCACCTACGACTTCTGGAGGTACTGTAAGTAGTTCCACTGGTTAATTGTTCTAACTGTCAGGAAATTTCTCCCTAGTTCTAGGTTGCTTCTCTCCTTGGTCAGTTTCATCCGTTGCTTCTTGTTCTGCCTTCAGGGGCTTTGGAGAATAGCTTGACTCCCTCTTCTTTATGGCAGCCCCTGAGATATTGGAAGACTGCTATCATGTCACCCCTACTCCTTCTTTTTATTTGAGGGCCTCCTACAAAGATGAGGGGGATCAAACTATTTTCCAAAGCACCAAAAGGCAAGACCAGAAACAATGGATGGAAACTAGTCAAGGAGAGAAGCAACCTAGAACTAAGGAGAAATTTCCTGACAATCAGAAGAATCAACCAGTGGAACAACTTGCCTCCAGAAATTGTGGGTGCTCCAACACTGGAAGATTTTAAGAAGAGATTGGACAGCCACGCGTCTGGAATAGTATAGGGTTTCCTGCCTGAGCAGGGGGGCAGACTAGAAGACCTTCCAAGGTCCTTTCCAACTCTTGTTATTGTGTTATATTGTGGGTTCATTATTTTACCCTATTGCTTCGTAACTATTTTAAAGATTCAACTCTGGGATATGTTATTGGAAGAAGTGATAGGTAAATACTTGAAATCACAAAGTAATGCACCTTATG